ATCCCCGTCGCCCATGCTTGGCCCTGCCCATATTAGGCCATAAAGACCAGGAAAATAAGGAAACTATATAGCTGTCTGGATTCGGTTGCATTTGAAGGAGGAGCCCAGAGAGGCCACAAAATAGCAACACTCATCGACTAGGAAAATAGTCGTAACTGGTCCGCCTTTCAGTCGTTCCAGCAGGAAGAACGAGCGAAGATGAGAATTGGCCCCCTATGGGGTAGGCCCTGGGCAAGCCTAGAGCAAGAGCAAGCAAGAAGGCCAAAACCGGAACGCGCTCCCAATGGTCAGGCTGACCCTGGTGAGCTTCTAAGCATGACCTCCGCCGCCCGTGCTTAGTTTTAACCATATTAGGCCACAATGGCCAGGGAAATGCGAGGCCTAACTACTAACGTGGACTGAGTTGCGTTTGGGTTATCCTTCGCGGAATCTAGTCGGCGCAGGATAATTAAGAACCTGCCCAAGCCCTCTCCAGTGCGAGGCTGCCAAAGCATCCAGCGCCCACGCCACCCCTGCCCAAGGCCTTCGCGATGTAGTGAGCCACACGCACGACCGAGGCGGCAAGAGATGCCCGCTCTGTGTCCCGCGATCGCTGCCCAGCCGTAGCGAAACCGATAGCCAGACGCCAGAAAAGCGCAGAGAAGGAGAGAAGGCAACACGCGAAACCGATGACGAAAAGGGCGGCGCATGAGCAAACCGCGGCCACGCCTTGGCCAGGATCGGGGGAAGCAAATTGAGACAAGAGGGAGCAAAGAAATCCAAAAGGGAACCGAAGCAGCGCTTTCCCTTAGCGGTTTCGCCTAAGAGTTTCGCGGGGGGGACACCGATAGCGCGCATGTGTCTGCCGAGACATCATAACAGGACTGCGGCGCAGAGGTGGCCGACCCGTGGCATTATATAGAGAGAGACGCGGGGAGGCGCGATAAGCAAACGAGGGAAAGCCGCCGACGCGAAACCGATAAGCCGACGCCAGAAAAGCACAGAGAAGAAGAGAAGGCAGCGCGCGGAACCGATAACAAAGCGGGCGGCCCAAGAGCAAAACGCGGCCACGCCTTGAGCAAGACCGGGGAAGGAAAATGGGAAAAAAAGGGGGCAGAGAAACCCACAAGGGAACCGAAGCAGCGTTGCCCGCAGCGGTTTTGCGTAAGAGTTTCGCGGGGGGGGGCCGCGAGGCCCGGGCCGACTCTTGGAGAGTTGCTGAGCAGAACCCGCGAAATGCCGCGGCCTTGAGAGCAGAGGGCCACGTCTGCGCCGGCGTGGCCCCCTGCTCCAGCAGCTTAATGAGTGGATGACTTTGGCAAACCCTCGCGCCCCTTGCCGGTTTCGTGTGGCTTCGGTCCTTTGGGGTTGAGAAGGGTAAGGCCGGACATGTGTCCGGATTCCCTAGGGGTTTCGCCTGTGTTTTCAGCCGCCGCGATTCCACACCTGAAGCGTCACTACATCCCCGGCCCTTCCGCGTCCAGCTCAGCGACGGGGAAAGCAAGTGGATGATGCCATAAAAAAGCCAGCTGGGCTTCGCGGCTTCCCAAGACGGCACCGCAAAGCCCGGACTTTTGGAGAGATTCCAAGCAGAACCCGCGAAGCGCCACGGCCCCATGCTCCAAAAGTCCGCGATAAGTCGACGACTTCGGCGCGCGTCGGGCGCGTCGGCGAACCCGCGCGCCGAAGTTGCGGGCTTCCCCTCCAAGGGCCGGACGTTTGGAGAGTTTCTGGGGAGGCCTCTCGGAAAGCCACGGCCCTAAGAGCAAGAAGCCACGAGTGCCCGCCCGTTGGCTCCATGCCCCAAAACGCGGGACCCGGTCCGCGATAAGTCGACGACTTCGGCGAACCCGCGCGCCGAAGATGCCCCCCCCCAAAAGCGCGGACTTTTGCCGGGTTTTTGGGGAGAACTCTCGAAGAGTCGTGGCTTTGAAAGCCAGAAGCAACGAGCGCGCACCCGCGGGCCCCAGGCCCCAAGGCGTAGCAGTCGGTCCGCGATGGGTCGACGGCTTCGGCCCCCCCGCGCGCCGCAGTTGCCGGCGTCCCCTCCAAGGCCCGAACCTTGCAGAGCTTCTGGCAAGAATCCTCGGAAGTTCACGGCTCTGAGAGCAAGGCGCCACGAGTGCGCACCCGCTGGGCCCATGCCATAAGACGCGGCAGCCGGTCCGCGATAAGTCGACGACTTCGGCGAACCCGCTCGCCCTCCCGCACTGGCCCGGCAAATTTCCCCCCGCCGCTGCCATGGAATGCACACCGCACTGCGCACCTGCCTGCACGGCGCTGCAGCGGGTTCACCATGGAGCGGGTTCAAGTGGAAGGAGAAGGTGGCAGCATGGCCTTCCCGCCGACGGGGGCCGCCCGGTGTCTGCCAGCCAAGACCGCGCGACCCGGGCCGCGCTCGCCCTCCTCTGGGTGTTGGCACCGGGGAAATCAAAGTGCCCGTAGAACAAGTTCGTGCGCGATACGCCAGTAGATGATCGGACGTCTGTGGAACGGACTTTCAAGAAGAACCACTACGCCCAACCACGAACACTACCATCCCTGAGAAGATGTATCCTGACCGCTATAAACTGAAGACACTTATTATCGGTTTGGCCCATCCGGGTTAGCCTACACAATGTAGACTAAGCTCTCCTCAGAAGAATCTAAAGGCTCCCCTGCTTGCTCTGTAGTATAGCGAAATATCGGTCAGAAGAATCTGCTCGTTAGATAAGATTACTTCGCTTCACGTGAACGTCGCTAATAAAAAAGCTTAAATTCTTTTAATGATCAGAATTTTTTTGGTGGTCTCCTGCGAGGTCCTTTGAAATCCGTGAAGGCTCGCCAACGATCACTTCGATTTTTCGCTATTTTTATCAAGAACCCCAACCCGTATCAAATTCAAGTACATGTAAGTTGCTTGCTTAATCGCCCCAATGAAGAAAGTAAGCGCGTCCTCATTGTAGCTCCACAAACGTCTACAGGGAGTCGCGACAAACAGAAGAACGATCGTTTTTCAAAAATCCTCGAATTGTTTGCACTGTATTTTCACTACTCCTGGTGGGCTTCCTCGCTTCGTCAGTTTCTAAAATTTATTGCCTTGTCATCTCTGTTCTAATCGTTTGCCACAATTCGGTTTGTCTTGCTTCGACATGACACACAGACATCCCATTTGATTTTGTTTGTGTTCCACGCTATCCTAACATAATAGAGATGGAGCAGTGTGTGTCAAAAATTCAATATTTCGTTATCCTCTTCCATGTCGATGAAACGCACATCCAATTTTCACTAACTACTAAGTATTAACACTACACGTCGTGCGAGTATTAACTAACACTATCTTCATTATTTCTTCCTTCTCACAAACGGTAATATTTATTATCTGCTCTGCCAGCCAAAATGGATCACATGAATTATTTTTTCGCTTTGCCCAGACGTGAAGGACATGACGAGGTAGTGCTCTGCAAATTAAGAATCTTGAGATCGCCCAAGAATTTGCTACTGATTGATCGAGATCATAAATGCTATCCTGGATCCCTGTCGTTCCTTCCTTTGATCCAGCCCAATGGATCCCGTACATCATTCAACGAACACCGTTCCAGCGTGCGTTTAACTGCTCTGGCAGCCAAAATGGATCACATGGACTAACGATTTCCACCTCGTCATGTCCTTCACGTCCGGACACGTATGCATCTGCCCAGACGTGAAGGACATGATGAGGTAGAAATCGTCGAAAGCGGCGTTGACTCTTCGGGAAGTGGTGACGAAAATGACGAGAGTTATGATGAACGTCGCCAAAATCGCCAACTTCGTCGCCAAGATCGGCAAAAGGTGCGATTCCCTGAGGAGCAAAATTGGGGGTCCTCCTTCAGCAAGACGATGCGTGATGTCAGGGACTGGCTTGGGAATTTGAAAATTGACCCCTTCTTCATACCAAACTACAAAATCTACTAACTTCGCTGTTCCTTTATGTAAGAACAATGCTTTCGTCGTGATAGTGAAGATGTCTGGTCGTGATTGTGGTGCATGATAGATAGTAATAGATTTCTAAATGACATGCTCGTACCTCTGGTATTCATGATAAAAAGGGATTGGAGCGCTTTATTGCATATGTGATGTTTCGTGCTGTGATATTTTCCTCCAACCGCTTGGCGATGGTAAGACAAAACTACGGATCTGTATTTGAACTACTTGACCACTAATTTATTTTTTTTTTCCAAGATATGTGCTGAAGGATTTATGTTAGATATGTGATTGCATTGCGCCCTTCAAAAAGGTCTTTTTTCTGCGTTCTTAACAATTTTTAATCGATTGCAGCTGGATGTATTTTGTTGTGGACAACATGAATTGCATCAATTGAGTATTTTTCGGCTCCTCACTTCTCTAAGTCATGGTCGACCAATAGCAGTCAGGAAGAAGATTCTTTACCTCAGCTTCTACCGGTAGCTACTATTTTGATTACAGCATCAGCAATAGGAAGGAAGCAGCAATAGGAAGCCTCTCTGCAGGGGAGCCAATTCCTATCCTATCCTATGCTACATACAATGACGATTTCCAAATCTTCATGGTCCAACATTGTTGAAATCGTACAGAAAAAATTTTTTGCTTGTATTTCCAAGACAGGGCTTGTTCTCAGGCTAAATTAATTCGTGCCAAAAAATCCGATACCGATTCTATGTTAAAATCCGAGCCTGGTCTACTCTGTTTCTCAAAACCAAATGGCGCAGACGATGGACAAGGAATCGTCAACCGCCCAACAAGAAGGGCACGAAGATCCCGTTTAAGGATGCTGTTGTTACGTGCTTCATATCGAACAATCTTCCCCCGCAATGACAATATTCATGTGAGATGATAAATCCAAGTGGTGCTATGGATCCTATCCGAGGAAGATTCTCGTGATGATCCCTGTAGTTGGGAGCAAGATTATTCTTGGTTTGAAATCTTATGACACGCTTGTTTCATCACAATGACGAGCCTCTTTCATCACAATGACGAGCCTCTTTCATCCAAAGAAACCATCCACCCACATTGACAATGGTAACAGGCACGGCTAGATAGTTGCACGCATCATATTTTTAACAGTGATGCTTTCTAATTAAGAAGTGCTTAAACATAAGCGACAAGAAAAGAAAACAGCTAATTCAACATTTTTACCTGCTATTTACTACAACTAGAAGGTACAACTACAGAGTTGTAAGTAATTACCATACTACATCAAACCATACTACTATAGTTGCAATTACCATACTACTATAGTTGTGCTCGCCTCGCAGTTCTTGCACTTGCATACTACATCAAACCTCCACGATAGTACAGAAGAAAAGATGAAGTCCAACCCTCACGATGACATTTTGCAAAGCGAGATCCCGGAGGAGACGGGACGCCGACAAGGCATGCTCGAAGAGCTCAAGACTAGAGCAAAAGGGGCCTTCCAGTCCAAAGACTTGGGCAATGCGGAAATGCTCTACTCGAAAGCAATAGATTGTGCAGTGTTGATCGACGACGCGCCGAAAAGCGGACTGCATTTACTGTACTTAAGATCTGATAGAAGATTTTGAAGTTCGGTTTGGATAACTTGGATCCATTTTTGGTTCCTTCATCCATTTGTCTGCAATCACACTTATAGTATATTTGTAATCACTCTTGATGTACCCCCTAGTTTTACAACGGTGAACTAGAACTTCTTATAGCAAATGATCAATACATCGCAGGTACAGCAATCGTGCAGCTGTGCGGTTGCTTTTGAAGAAGAATGATGGCGCGGTCAAGGACTGCGAGTCTTGTTTGGCATTAGACAAGGCTTTTTTGAAAGCACATTTTATTATGAAGGGAAGTTGTTTCTCATATAGTTAAATAAATGCAACGTAGGAGGACGAGGAGTTGACTTTGTGATCATTGTCAAAACAAAACCTTAGAATACTTCTGGCTCTGGTTACTTCGTGTAGGTTCACTAGAAAAAGTTACTCGACTCAGTGTTGGAAGAATTTACGGATAATAACTATGAACGAAAAACCTTTGACGTCAAAAAAGCTCCACTTTTCTAATCCTCGACTCGCCCAAGCCTGGATGCGATTAGGGAAGTGGAAGAGCGGTATTGAAGCTTGTCGGACGGGTCTAGAGCTGCATTCTGGAAATGCTGAATTACTGTCGCTACAGGCAGAAATCCAAGAAGCGTGGGATAAAGATTTATGGTTGTTCTTCAAGCTACACCAAAATTATATGCGTTGATCAAATTATCGTTAAGCAGTATTCATATTCATATTCGAATGGCTTCAAAGGTAGATACGCCTCAAGGTGCAGTTAGACCGCAGCATCGTGTTTTCTGTTTGTTTCCTACCGGGACACATGACGGTCCTTCTCATCTAGCGCTAGATTTACCATCATAAGTCAAGATGAGAAGCCATTACTATAATTCTGTACCTATATACTTTTTACCTACAACTATCCTTACTTTTTCTTCCTAGTTAGCTTGGCTTCACCCGTATCATAAGTCAAGACGAGTAAGAAGTGTTCATCATCATAAGTCAAGATGATTTACCATCATCAACAACATGCACCTGTTCATATCCCACGGAAGAGAAAGCGAAATTTAATGCGGAAGCAAACGAAGTGCGCCCAGACCTGCCGAAGCCCGAGCCAACGCGAATCCCGATGGCCACCCCAAGCGCAGCTAGTAATGCGCCAAAGAAGACACAGGAAGAGAAGCAGAGCAATGGGACTAGCAGTGGTACTAGGGAGGACTTTGAACTTTGATGCTAAAAATGAGGAGTGTGACTACTACGGAGGACTTTGATTCAATGAGGAAGAGAAACTGTGACTCAAGAATACTTCCCAAAGTAATGATTGTGATTGATTGTAGATCATCTTGTACTTGATATGCCAAATAATTACCTTTATAGTTGCTCTCTTCTAGCTATTAGTCTTTTTTGAAAATGGTACCTCAAGATGCACCACATCTTCAGCTCCGCCACCGGATAACGGCATGCGAGGGTACAAGAAAACAGCCGATGGAAAAACGACCTCGTATTTCCATACGGATATCTCCGATGAGGCGAAGAAGCTAATCGGAGACTGCAAGCCGCAGAAAATTGATGCGGAACAGTTGAAAAATAGTGACCAAAGCAAAGCAAAAGTTATGGAGAATGTGATGATCAAAGTTTAGGTTATATTTAGTGCCGTATATTATGCTACCTAACCTGTCACTTCACGATAGTCCCTTATCTGTCACGTAGATATAGTCGCTTATCTGCCTCACGCGTGTAAGAAAGGGGTCGCTTATCTGCCTCAAATCAAATGTGTAGTCTCTTTACCTGTCTTACGGAAGGTCGCTTAAGCGATGACTGTGTCACCGGTTACTCGCTTAAGCGACGACTGTGTCGCCGTTTCGTCCCCAAAGGACACAATTCTATGACCACAAACCCTATGACTTAGAAGAGCTGCTTCTTACGACCAAAAATCTTGACCTCTTCATCTTGACCTCTTCTAATCCTTCCGGTAGCGCGTGGAATCAAGCTGGTACGTTTGAGGAGCGCAATTATACCAAGTGGTTCCACGAGAAAGTACGAGAGGAGATTCCAAAGAACACTGACGTTGAACTGCCGAACGACTTGCCGGACATTGTAGTCAACGTAGAAACCATTTCCGGAGACGCCAACATCGCCTGCACGAGAGGTATTTTTCGTTGTTTTGTTGTCTAGTGGAACGTGCTGCTGTTCTGGTGAGAGTTGTTGATTTGAATTTCGAAAAATATTTTTGTTGAAATTAATTTTCAATGTTGAATGATGATTGAAATGAATTACCTCGTCCACCTGGTCTTGCATCTATCTAAGTTCATTTCCATCCCACAAACAAGGTAAAGTGAAATATATCCACGACACCGTGGTCGAAGTGAAGTGGAATTTTACCACACATGACGATAAGAAAGGGTTGGGGACTATGCGGTTGGAGTGCGATGGGGACGGCGACTACGACATCAACGTTGACGTCGACTCTAAGACGCATTCAGGCGTGAGGCAAATCGTAAACGAGTTCGTGAAATCAAGCTCCAAAGGACTGCAGCCGTATTTGTTGGAACGATTACGAAGTGTCGAAAAGAAATTTCAGGCGATTCAGATATAGCACTGCAGTATTAAGCGCTAATAGCAGACGGAAGTGGCTGGATGAATTATGGTAGTAGAGAAGCTAACGATCATGGCCCCAGTCGGATGCAACCTACTTCATCTTTCCCCCATAATTATAAAGAAGAACAGTTGATTCTTCACCCGCAACAACAGCTGTCGTCCCTCTTCGCTGCTAGAATTCTGTTTTCCGAATGCTTGTGTAGTCTAAAGTTTCTTAAATTCGCACACTCAGTTCTTTTGAGGATGAGCTTAGGATTGCCTTGTCGATCTCTTGCTCGACCTAAAAACCTCGACGTGTTGTTGACAGTGTGCTATTATTTCATCTTCATCGTATCGCAAAGCAAAATTTGTGATTTCTACTAAACTCCGAGCAACTCAGCATTGCTGTGTGTTGATCGCTAGGTTGGATCGACTCTCGTTCAGTTCGACGTTAAGAATTGCATCTTCTTTTGACAAAGCTGAGTGAAAGAGAAAGGAGAGAGAAAGCAAATGGAGATGAGGAGGGAAGTAAGAGTTGCGTATACTGAGAGCGAAAAAGAGATAGTCGTCGAGAGATGAAAAATTTTTTTTTTGCTGAAGAAAATCTGCTTAGAAAATGAAAGAGAAATCGACGCAGTCGAGAGTTACCTTCGTATGTGATCTCGAAACCTGTGCAATCGAAAATTGGAATGTAGAATTATATATGTGAGTATGTGCTGCCTTACGTAACCCTTGGTACCACCAAAGAACTACTCATACACCGATTTATATCATGGACGTTAGTACTAGGCCTTCATGAACGGGCATTAACCGTCTGTACTTCTTCGAGGAGATACAATTGAGTCTTCTTTGTTCATCACAAAGAAAACCAAGCGTCATCTCTATCACACACAGGAATCCTAGAAAAATGGCGGAGTTAGGCGAAGACATTGATATGATGGATAAGTTCGCGGATGACGACAAGGGAAAGTTCAAGCCCAGCAAAAAGGAGAAGCCAATTTATGCTTCCGTTTGTTTATCGTAGAGCCCTGCTGATCCCTTTGCAGGAAAGAATGTTGCTACTAGAGATGCTGATTCTGATTTCGTAAGTCCCACCTTCCCCGTTGTTGTTCAACTGTAGTACCCCGTGTGTGGGTCGTTAAGTACGACTACTACTACTACTACTACTACTACTACTACTACAACTGCTACTCTATGATCTTGCGTTTTTGCTAGTGGCATCAGTTGCCTGCTCGGGGAACCCCTTTTTTTTTCCTTGTTCATTCCCCGGACAAATTGCTCAAGGACAAGGATGACAAGGACAAGTTGAAGGACAAGATGTCCAAGATGGAGAAGGACAAGAGCAAGTTGAAGGGAGCCAAGGATGACAAGGAGAAGGATCCAAAGAATAAGGACAAAAACAAAAACAAGGACAAGGCCGAAAAGAAGGACAAAGTGATTAAGGTACCAAATGAACTCTAAAATTTTATTCAGTTTCACAAACACAACCATGGTTATAGAAGCTAAATCTAAAATTTTCAGTTTCACAAACACAACCATGGTTAGAAGCTAAATCTAAAATTTTCAGTTTCACAAACAGAACCATGGTTAGCAGGATTCGGCTTGAAGATGTAGCACAAAGTAGCATGCAAACCTCGACGATTCGACGATGACAATTTCTTTGCAAGACTTCTCCCTCCGCGACAAAAAGTGACTCAATCGACCCTCCCACTCAGGACAACGACAAGAAAAGAAAGCCGAAGAAGAAGCCTGCAAGGTTTCTCACGTGGCAGTCCTATATCCACAAAGTCCTGAAGACTGTGCACGACGACTCCTGCACGCTGAGCTCGAAAGCGATGCAGATCCTCGACTCATTCGCAAACGACTTGTTCGAACGTATCAGTTTCTTGACAGTCTTTGACAGTATGAAATGAAATCATCTTTGACAGTCTTGACAGTCTTTGACAGTATGAAATCAAATCATCTTTGACAGTCTTGACAGTCTTTGACAGTATGAAATCAAATCATCTTTGACAGTCTTGACAGTCTAGTACAGGTATCTCCACCGAAGCCGTGAAGCTTCTCCGCCTCAACAATAAGAAGACCTTGACGTCCATGGAGATTCAGACTGCGGCCAGATTAGTTTTGCCTGGTGAGCTGTGCAAGCACGCGATCCAGGATGGTGCCAAAGCAGTCCAGAAATACAATAATTCTGCAGGGGGTGAGTAATCCGGGATTATGAGAACTCCTTGTCATAGAAGTGCAGTTAGTTTCTCCTCTTCTTATTGGAACTACTCTGATATGATGCTCTCTGATGCTCATGCTGACAAGAAACAACCCTGATTACTTGCGTTTGTGATACAATTAGTCTCTTTATTTCCCCAAGCGCGAACTCACTGAGGCGGTGGATGTGGTACCCCCCTGAAGATCCTGATGGATCCCCCTGAAGATCCAGTTGCTGGCAGTGCGTTGTGACAGAGAAACTTATGTTGTTTTGTGGACCTATCGATTATGATAAATCCTGATGAAGAAGAACTTCTCTGATGAAAGTCTGTTTAGTGCTAGTAGAACTACTTAACACACGGACTTGCCCGTAAAAATGTTGTTGTTCAACTATCCCCAGGCATGCCAGCTTAGCCTGCCAGTATGCTTTCTTGACACGCGTAGGTAAGAGTGGGCGCAAAGAAGAGAATTACATATCGGAATCGGTACGAAGCGAGCTGAGAGAGGAAAAATGAGCGGATACTGCCGAGGCCCCTTATTAGGAAATACCGCACTGGTATCTCTTACATCCCCATGCCCAATTCCCCGTCTGGCTTTTTCTGCTTAATGTTCGTGCTGTCTAATTCTCCCACCACAACAAAAGCCGTGTTAAGGAAGCACACGACGCAAAAAACAACTTTTAACAGGTAATATACTCTAGAGCGAAAATTGTCAGGGAGAGAAGGCGCCAGGGAAATCTTAGGCAGATTGCCGAGAAGATTCACATCATCATAGAGAGAAAATTGCAGCTCTTACACTAAGCGGACAGCGTCTTTTTTTTCCTAACTACTTATAGTAAAGTAGAGACACGGTAAGCGGTACAACAGTATCATGACAGGTTTCTCTTGAGTTGTAAGTAGAGAAAGTACCAAAAAAATGGAAGACGACATCGTAACTCGAACAGGGAACCGGATTTCCCGAAGTGCGGTTCTCTTTGGTTCTGCAAACATCGAGCTAGGCGGAAACTGCACCCTCTCCCCGGGAGCAACGGTGAGAGGGGACTTAGCGTTGTTGCGATTCGGGTCTGGATGTGTACTTGGTTTAAGGTTAGTCCTTCGTTTTGCAGGGGAGGACATAGCAGCTCCAGGGTCAATCACTTCCTTATAATAAGTTCTTGCGTTTTTTAGACATCTAATCCTTTGCTCCTGCGTGATCCGACCAAGTCGAAAACAGCACGTTTTCGTTGCTTCGAGGTATGGAAACAACGTCCAAGTAGGGGAAAATGCAGTTGTTCAAGCGGCAAGTGTAGGCGACGGTGTCCGCATCGGAAAAAACGCAGTGATCGGTGTACGTGCGCAATTGCATCGACACTGTCGTGTCTTGTTAAGGGTCGTACATCGAAATTACTATTATACATCCTGCACTGTCATCAAAAGTTCACTGGAGGTGCCATCGCTGATGCTCTGAAGGATGTAAAATTTCAAACTGCTCTAATTTCACCTGGCACTGTACTGCCCAGAGACGCAGTAATCCCACCTTTTGCGACGGTTGGTGGGGCACCGGGAAGAGTCTTATCGGATGAACATATTTTGTCCGATGTCGATGGTACTGCTGTTGAAGATAATTTTCCATCTTCGAGTTCGGAGACTAAAGGCAGCGTGAGAGGAGGTAGCGGAGATGATTCTTGGGGAGAAACAACGAATTATATGCCTATTGACAACATCTTCGGAGACCGACGACCTCTAAAGGGTCGCCCATTAGCAGTTGGAGGCGATAATTCATTGTTGAATAAACCGAAAGAGAAGTCTTTTTCTCCGGAAAGAAGGAAAAGCGCCAGGACTACACCAAAGAAGGACGATGGATCTCGCGAAGACATCAAAACGGAGGTCTCTACTCTTGTTGACCAAAAGAACGCATCTGCACCTGGTTTGAAAGAAGAAGAAGCTGCTGTTCCCGCTACCTCAACATCCCTGACCCGCAAAAGCGGCACTCTTGAAGGTGCTGGTCAAACAACAGCAGCCTCGAATGAACAAGGTATCGGGCGTGTGCTAGAAGAGCACAACATTCCAAGAACAGGAGCTTTGGTAACGACAAAAGAAGGCAAGACGTGAAGAGAAGTTTTCGCAAAGCGCTTTGCAACCTGTGTGACTTTGCAACAAGGGCTGTGGCTTGTGGGTTCCTGAGCACGGTTCTGTTAACCATCACCTAGAAATAAAGGTGTTCTTTTGATAAGATCTGAGGTGAGCAGGGAAAGTTCGTGAGAAGCGCCAGCATTATGCGCCTGAGTATTTTCAATTGCGTCATGACTGTTTAAGACGATGGATGCTATCGCCTAAGTTTTTAGAACAGTTCAACCTCCAAGGGTATCGTAACAAATATTTTTGCTTCTGCTATCTTAAGAACATCAGAAAATGGTCTACGGTTTGCTGATTCACGCACATGATGGTCGTGCCTTCTTCAGTATTTTTTGGAGTGCGGAAGGCAATGACAGTCGCAAACGCATTAGACAACAAGCTGTGATTCGCCGGGTTGTAGATTAAGGCTATTTGTAACTCATCCTGAGCAGCAATTCCCTGTCCATGGGGAAAAAGGAAACTGGAACTACTAGGAGGTCAGGATCATGATTTTATTAGCTGTCGCTTACCCTCTAAGCATCGGAGTGCACCTACCAGAAGAACTTCTTCGCACCGGCCGCAGAAGGCAGGCATAGACTCCTGGAAGGCTTATTCGGTGTCACCCGTGCGGAACGCATTCAAGACGCGACGAGAAGGAAAAATGGCAGTTCTCTGGACCTGTCTTTTCCATCAGCGTTGTTTGGGTCAGGCTTGTTCGGATCCAGTAGGGGGCAGAAGGACAACGACTTGTTTCCCCACGACGAGCGAACCCTTTTGAGCAGTGGCGATAGAGCTCAGTATGACGACTAAGGCTCAACGTAATTCTTCATTTCTAATGTTGCTCATTTTTCTCGGTCTCCCTGTTGGGTGGACTCTAAAGAAATGAAATGTAAAGAAGTGAATATGGCTGTGGCTCCTTTGAGCTCTAAGACGAAAGCTCCACAAGATGTGCTTTGCCAGGCCGCCAGCAAGAGGGCGTCTTGCGGATGGGCAGCCAGAGTCTGTTTGAGACCTCCAAAGTGATCGTGTGGAAACAAGTAGGGGATGTGTATTTCACGCTTATTTGCGAACCCTTGGAAAATTCCTTGTTGGCGAGGAATTTTTTGACCCTCTTCATCGCTGAATTGCATCGTCATTTCGAATCGGCAAAATACGATAAGAAAGACACGAAAGAGACGATTGGAGGACAAACTGCGGTTATGATGCGAGAAAGGAGTGTTGTTGTTCCATAGAATTTGACTATGTAGTCTTTCTGCACTTTCTGTTTCCAATAGAGTAGGAGACAAATCTTAGGCAGCTCGACGAATAGATTCAAATCATCAGAGTAGGACACAAATGATTTAGAATTTTTGATGAACAAACAAGACCTTCTATTTCAACATCACCGTACCTCGTATCCGCTAACACATCCTCACCCGAGCAGCGACCGAAAGGGAAATCGGAAGGCGGAATGGATGAGCACGTTTCGCAACGACCGGATGAAGTTTTGATGATGCTGCACTATCTTTTGCCTGGTGGACAACTGTTGTTTTCAAGCTATAATCTCCACAACTTTTTGGTAAAAGGACATGTAACAGAAGCGTTAGCGGAATGAATGTATTGAGGGCTCGCGTTCGACGCATTGGCTCGAGTCTATTTGCTTTCGACGCGTGAGTCAGCGCGTAAAATCAAATTTGGTTTTCAAAGGATCTTCAAAGGATCAAGCATGGTGTCAGGCATCGATAACCAATCGAAGAGTGATGCTCCAGATCAGAGAAAGGATCAAACATCTGGTATTGAGAAATCATTTGTTGAAAGAGTAGTGCTCCACTCCGGATCAAAATTGTGCCTTGATGGTACTGCATAGATCCGTGTGTGAAGATCATGCGAAGCTCCCAAATACGGATCTAGGATGCATCAATTGTCTACATTTTATACGGATCTAGTATGCATCAATTGTCTACATTTTATCTGTTTCTTGTTCATCTTCATTTTCCGGCGCTTGATAACTGGTGTTCATCATCGTTCCATGTTTCCGTCCATGAACAGGTCTCATCGTTGACAAAAACAATTGGTTTCCCATCATCTTTTCCGATTTCGGTAACGACAAACTACAACGTTGCATTGCACAAGATAAGTAAGACTATTTCTTCTTGTGTGTCTATACGATCAGAAAAAATGAAGAAGTCGATGAAAAAGCTCAACAGCAAGGCTGGAGGCAGTTCCTCCTCCACCAAGAGCAACAAGCGACCGAGTAATGACGACGCACCACAGCAGGCTTCAGCCCCCTCAAGTAAACCAAATAAATCTCCGACTGCTGGTGCCCAACCCGCAGCAGATTTCGAACAGCTCCTGTCTGGACCCGCACTGAAACAAGCTAAGAAGGGCTCTTTAGCCTCCTTGATGGACAAGATTAATGGCACCAACAGAGAAGGACGACAGCTATTGCCTAGGAACGCAGAGGAGCGTAAGGCAGGAGAGCGAGTAGTGGTCGTGTTGGAAAAGTGCTTTCTAGAATTGGTCCAGATCAGAAAAGGGGCTTATGAGTTGCTGAACAGTGACGACCACAAAACTTTGCTCATGAAAAACGAGAAGAGGAGAGCAGACATTGCAGAAGCAAGACCTGATATTACGCATCAATGCTTGATGACGCTGTTGGACTCGCCGTTGAATAAGAAAGGTAGAAGCCCTGCTGGAGGATGATTTTTTTCTGGTGTACGAGTCTAGTATTTTCAACCTAACCTGCTCATTGTCCCATTACGACATCCTTATAAACTTTCATTAATACTTATAAACCTCAAGTTAGGCACATTCATTCACTCACTTCCGTTTTTACCATAACCTACTACAGGTAAACTCCTCATCTACTTGCACACTGCACAAAACGTATTGATTGAAGTGCATCCGAGTTTGCGAGTCCCAAGAACATTCAAGCGATTTTGCGGTCTTATGGTTGAACTTCTGCAGAAAAACAAGATCCGTGCGGCACAAACTAATGAGATCTTGATGAAGGTACCTACTTATACTTTATTCTATGTCACGTCGTACAATGCTATGATTGGCTTTGCTTCTGGTGTTAGTTTGCCCACATTTTATCATCACAATCAATTAGGCCTCTACTACTTTTCTCACCTTCACTTCTATCTAACATTAGGTGATCGCCAACCCCGTAGAGAAGTATCTTCCACCCGGCGGTCGCAAAGTTGGTCTTTCAGTCGCGGGTGAAAGTGTCAATGCGCGGGATTACTGCGCAATGCTAGCCGCTGAGCAAAAAGCAATTAGCGGTAAGTCGGAAGAAAACAGCAGTAAAGCAAAAGCGGACGAGGACAGTGACGCAGAAGAGCCAACGCTAGTAGAAAATTCCACTGGCAAAGGCGCATTGCCGATCACCTTTGTCATCGGAGCCGTCGCCCATTGCGACCCTGCAAGCGAAAGTGGCTTCGGATTGGACTACATCAGCGACAAAATCTCCATTTCGCCCTTTGGTCTTTCCGCATCTTGCGTGTGCTCAAAATTGTGCCATGAGTTTGAGCATTTGTGGAACGTATAGGGAGGATGCTGATTCGACAGGAATTGCAACTCGCCTGCGATTGCGGGGATAACAACAGGGATATGTTGACTTCGCAAGACTCAGAATCTTTTCAGCTTCCAGACTCGCACAAGCGCTTGTAACCACTCAAAAGAAAATTTTTATTCGGCACAATTACACTTGTGCTAACCCGCAACAAGTATCTCATCCAACAGAGAACATCTCTTCTCTTTGTGAAAGTTTTCAATAAGTGTTGTTCGCCTATTGAGATAAAATCAGAATTTGAGGGAAACGAGGAGTAACGTGATTGTTGACGGAAAATGTGATTATTGACGAAAGAAGAACGTGATTATTCACGGAAAATGAAAGATGTATACTCTGTTTTTTGAGGAGTTGATTCAAAATGAGCTGTAATTCTGTACGATTGAGATACAACGAGCAGGAAGTAATGCAAGATTTAATTTTGTAAACCCTCGAGACCGCAGCGGGGTCATAAGACGTTTATCGAGCAGAGTACTTGATTGGGGTTCCTCTGTTGCAGGTACATATTGAGACTTGGTAAAAAATCTAAGCATTTGTAGTTCAAGAATACCAGAATCAAACTTTGATAAGCACAAAGATGGCTTTCAACCCGCCCCCTCGAACCGTCGGCAGTAATGCTACGGCGATAGCTGCATTGGAGCCTTCTGGAGATAACTCATCTTCGTCGTCTTCGAGCGTCAGATATGCTGGGGAAGGCGTCCATAAGTCGCCAGTAAAACACCAGATTTATACGTCAAGCGAAGATGAAGGTGCTGGTGAGTTGAATGCAGGACTTGGAAGCAGTCCTGGTATAGGCGGACCGGCAGTAGGGGCAAGTAAATTAAGGCGATATTATATTACGGTGTATAGGTAGTCTTTATGATTGGTGGCTAGTACGAAGCACGTTACTATGCATCTTCCGCGATGCACACGCAAACAGGTAACTGTATCAGCAACGGTAATAGTATCAACTAGCAGAAGTTGTAGATGTCTTTATTTTTCGACTTTGCCGTTTTATACTGTCAACATATTTCATCTAAGCAACGTCGTCCAAGGCAAGATGACGCCACAGCAATTGGCTCAGTTGCAAGGCGAAAGCAATTCGGGCGCAAGCGGTTCCGCTAATATGACAGACGTCGACTTAAACTTCAGCAGAAATAGTCTTCCAGTTGTAGCTGATCCTCCTGCGAGATTGGCGGGAGCAATCTCTCCAGGACAGAGGAGAGAAGACGACGACCGAGCAGCTGCCGCAGCAGAAAGAGAAGGACACATAGAAAGCGCACGGATGGTCGCAGGAGGAACAGTGTGCTACTGCGCATTCTTTTCGCTGTTATCGCTGATAGTAGGAATATCAGACGGGTCGGTGGCATTGATTGGTATGACGGGGTAGTGAATAATTGAAGAATGCAAGAATTGCACAACCGTTTGTTCAAGGTCCCGATGCCCTCATTATCGCCCCCAAAGTTCCTTGAAAAAATAGCTCGTGCAATGAATAGGGATATGATAAACATGGACCCAGATACTTCATGGTACTATTGTTCTTGATGTACCAACCCGATCGGAGATCTAACACCCATTCATCTTCCCACCCCCTTCTTCAATACCCGGCTGGCGGTGGAGTTCGCTTTGGATGGCCTAACATCCATATTAGTTTTATGGCGTTTCAAGAAGGGCAAAGCCAGGCAATTTGCTTCGCAGTATGAGCAAGCTGACTTTGCCGCGAAGCGCGAACGCAGGCGCGAGCGCAACAGTGGCATCGGCATTGGAATCTCGTTCATGCTGTCAGCGCTGTTTCTGATTTTACGGGAGGAATACGATTTCGCTTGGTGTTATAGATCCATGAGTGGGGCGATGAGTGATCGAGGTTTGTCAACTTTCTTGCCTCGAAGGAAAAGGGTAAGCAATGCCACCTATGGTTTTATCAAAAGATACAGTGTTGCCTACAGCAAGTTATTTGTTTGTCCCAGCCTCCATTCATATCCCTGCATGGCGATATACAAACTGAGCGCTTGGGATGATCGGGGAGAACACGCCAAAGAGAATACCGCGACAAGTTTTTACTCAGAAGCTATCGCTTGGCCATGCTGCATAGTATTCGGGATATTAGCAGCAGTCAAAAGACAATTGGCGATAGAACTAGGGAGTGCGGTGTTGTATGAAGGTATTTGTATTGCATTTGGTGTGGGGTAGAGACTACATTAAATTCTATCAGACTCAATACCTGTTGCACACGGCAACATCCTTACCCTTTATTGAGGACTCAGGACTCTTGTTTACTACCGATCCCTGCTCCCAGTTGACAGGAATTCAATCTGATTGATGTTACTCCCACATGACAGACGCTGTCTCCTCTTTTTTGGGCTGCATCCTTAGTGGTGTGGTAATACTAGCAGGATTTCTGGAGAGGATGGCCGTCTCTGGAGCTTGGCGAGCAGACGCGATAGCAGGTTTTTTCATTGCTGCCGCGTTGGGTTACGAAGGTGCACGCTCGTTGCAGGCGAATTTGGACCCTATAGACGAAGGTCATCAGATCATGCAAGAGATGATGTAGAGGATGAGATGGATTTCTTGGTTTGAAGGAGAGGACTTCTTGACCGTGTGCAGGCACGGTGGAACAACTGGGTAAACCCTAAGGTTGGACCTGATATCGGCCGCGACGCTTGTGTTTAGCGGTCCTAGTCTGCGACCGTGCAATCTACCTTCGCGGTCTCTTATCATCACATATGGAACACGAATATTTGCAGATCACTGCTAGTGCAACACAGTGCGCCTCATCTGTATTTTGCGCCTCTCTCCTGCATCTTCTTCATACTGTCTCTTGCTCTCTCGTCCTTCCCTCTTGCTCTCTCTACTTCTCTCACCGTGATGATCATGTTCGTTCTAGCTCTTCGTGTGCGTGCTTTTGTTGACACGGATATGGAGAGATCCCGTAGAAATCAACAATTGGTAGAGGATCCCCAAAATCTTATGTTTTCCAAACTTCGTTATGTCACATTCCTTTGAATGCGAAAACGAGGAAACGAGAATTATGGCAGAGTGTCTCTACTACGAGGACAAGAGGGGGTGATCTCACAATAAGCTATAGTCTTCCATGACTATTCCTTCTGGTTGCGTTCCATGCTATCTCGATGCGTTCCAAAAAATTCTGAGGCGCTCTCCAAACGGAGTCAAACAACTGCGAAAGCATCTTGTCACTCAATCCACGTCTATCCTAGAGATGAGTCTGGAGAGTGTTACAACGAGACAGGCATTTTATAGGTAGAGAACACTTGTTATTGTTTGTGGTAGAGAAAAAGGATTTCATTTGAATTTCATTCCTCTGATCATAGGTACCTTCCGCTAATATCTACTCTCACAAATTGGGACCACAGGAGTTTGTTCTCAGAGGATTCGTTTTTCCTAAATAATTCCGGTACTTGTTAGTATTTAGCGTACGCACTTCCGCAAATCCAGTCAACATCGCTATAAGCTTCAACGCAAATAAGTAGAAACGTATTTTCATCACTCGATCATCACGCAATCATAGAACTCGAACTTTCGCCACAAACAGTAGCCCGTAAGAACAATCTGTGGATCTTTCGTAGGACGATCTTAAAAAGCCCAATACTCACCTCTTGATCTTCCACCACAAAAGATGTCGATGTCTTTCGAAGAGGCAAGTTCTAAGGTGAAAGAATGGACCGCGAAACCGCCATCGCAGGACGACCAACTAGAACTCTACGGGTGGTTCAAACAGGTACTACTCAACTTTGGTACTAATCAACTTCGGTTCAAACAGGTACTGAGGTTATCACCGTGGGTTGTACCACTGTGGATGAGATGACATGAACTAGCGGTTAGTCCTGAGTAAGTAGCTAGTTGGGTACTCCTATGACAAAGTAATTTGTTTGCTTTGATTCCTACTAAATGAAGAACTACAAGAAGCACAGAATTGCTGATCAAACGGTGGACGGCGAGTCAACTCCTATTCCTATCACTCAAATACTGAACTCAATACCGCTAAATGTTAAAGATTCTTCCACTATTCCTCTCTTTCCTTGTTTATCACAACTTCACTCTTCTTTTTAACGCACTTCTCTTAGTATCACCACCTTTTGAAAAGACACGATAATTCCTCTCATCTTCCCTTGTTTATCATCTATCTAAATCTAACACTCTGAGGTGAAAGAAGGCGACGTGAAGGGGGATCGCCCTGGCATGTTTTCGATGACGGCACGTGCCAAATGGGACGCCTGGGAGAAGTGCAAGGGCACCTCGGCCGATGATGCGAAGAAGAACTACGTCGCTAAAGTCGAGAAGTTGAAGGCCACTTGCGGTTGAGCCTACGGTCCTCTAGCAGGACAAGGTAATGGAGTGTGTTTGGAGGAGTGTGTTTCACGACGATCTAGCCTACAGTGGAAGGTGGAGAAACAAGAAGCACATTGTCGTTGGAAAAGAACTCGCTATGGACGCGAACACCGATAGTCTTCTGACACCGGTGGAACTTTGTTTTAAACGATGGGGTAAAACTTCAAGAATCGTACTGCTAAGCATTTCTCCGACGATTTTTATTGTATAAGTCTGTCTAAAATGACGGACTATCAAATAATAACGTCTACATAGCATTCAACTTCTCGATTACGACCGATTCGATGCGATTGATACTATCATTTTTGCAAGTACACAATTTACGGTTGCCGGCTTTCTGATAAACCTGTTGCATGGCACAGTTGAACTGAAGAGCGGCCTTTCGCAACATTATTTGTGTTCTATTGAGGTGCTTCCATGTCGGGATGTCGATATACAGTAGTTTTTGGTCGTCTAATAGCCATTGTGGTGGGCTAGCGATCATAGTGGAGGAAGGATCCGTTCTGCTTGTAGGACAACTGAACGGAGGTCGTGTGTGTGTGCTGGATCAATCCTAAAGGAAGTACTAGTAGCAGAGAACGTAGTAGCAAGCAGCACACGACTTTTAGATGTGAAATTTTTGACGTGGCATAGATCGGCTTGGAGACCGAGTATATGGTAGATTGTAAGAAGTCGGTTATCCTGTCACTAGACCTAAAGCAATCGGCCGGTCTTCCTCCTATGATCCATCCACTCACTCCGCAACTTACATGTTCACAAAACTATAGGGAAGATATCTAAAAGTAGCGTCTCTAGTACTTCGTCACTCACTATTTGAACCACTCACTTGTCTTTTCTAAAGACATCCCAACGACTCTGACAAAATGGCCAAGGCAATGAAGAAAGGTGGCGCTATGAAGAAGGCAGCGCCGATGAAGAAGAGCGTCACCAAGATGTCCAAGAAGGAGGCACCGAAAAAGCCTGCTCCTCCGATGAAGGGAGCAGCTATGAAGAGCATGAAAGGCGCCATGAAGAAGAAGAAGTAAGCTGCTTGGCTTGGGGGAACCAAAGTGTCTTGGTGGTGGGCACGACTGGGACTGGAGACGTATAGCTGCTGCTGCTGGAGACGTATAGCTGCTGCTGCTGGAGACGTATAGCTGCTGCTGCTGGAGACGTATAGCTGCTGCTGCTGGAGACGTGTAGCTGCTGCTGCTGCTGGAGACGTGTAGCTGCTGCTGCTGCTGGAGACGTGTAGCTGCTGATGTGTTGGAGGCAGAGGTGAGGGTCTGGGGGGGGGACTGCGCTTTCGATGATTTGGAGCTCTGGGGTGCTTGGGGTTGACGCATGTGAAGGCTACGGGTTGAAGCACTTTGAACATTGCTCACAAATGAAGCAAGGACTCCACGATTACAGTAGACTTGTAGTACTGTAATGCCCCAACGAACATTCATCTGCAGTATCCTCCAATGTATCGCATGATATCGCTTCCAAGACAAAATTCCAAACTTGACCTGCCTTCGAGGTCGACCACACATTTAGTCTATTCGATATGCAGAGAAATGTGTTCTGTCTCTCGTTCCATTCTCGCAGCAGTGACAAAACAGGTCTAAAAGATGAAGACGAGGTATCGGTAGACGAGAATACAGATGTTGCAAAGATGGTGCTTGTCCCGAAAATCTCGTGCCTGCAAAACAGCTCTAACATTTCAAAAAAATTGTTCATGTGGAGTTTGCTCTGACGATGCTATCCGTATCCTCGCTGATGCTATCCTCGGAGTAGTTCTAGTTCTCATATGATAGTTCGGATGTGATCTATCGATCTCTTGCGGCGTGCCGCTTTGAACTCTCAGACATGGAAGTACCTTTTTTTCTGGAAGCTGATAAATTATTATTCTACACGTAACGATGAAGGAAAAAACTGTATTATTATAAATCACGATGTGGATTATCATCTACACGTAACATGAGCACGTAACAAGCTTTCGCTCTTCCTGTTTGTATGGTCGCAACTGTTCTGCAATTCCTTTGACGTAGTACCTCGATGATAACATCATAGCAAGCACTGATCTTGTTCTGGGATCTCCAACAGCAAACACGATCTTCCCCTAAATGTTCGTAGGGTACAACTGGTGGTGAACAGGCGAAGATTTTCTTTAGGTCAGTGAAGAAGCCTCGTTTTTTAGGGGTGAATGACCAGAAGATGCCCGTTTTTTGAGGTGGATCTTTTGATCTTCTGAGATCAACACGAGGTGAGGATCTAGATCGCTTTGCGCAGTCGATCAGCGAGTCACTGAGAGCAAGTAGTACCTTGCCCACAACAAGAAGTCGTTGGAGCCTGCTCTAGAAGATTAGTACCAGTAGTGCGGCAGGAGACAAGAGACCCTGTAGAAGAATAGTACGAGTATTGCGGCAAGAGATAATCCCCTAAAAATCAGTAATCTGATCCCCTGTGGTTTTCATCGGGGACTATCGACAGCTACTTCGATCTATGAAGTTGCGACCGAACGACCGCTATATCCATTACGCGGATTCTTGAACGGGGCAGCACTACGCAGGTCGATTTCTCACATCGTCACGCATACTTCTACGACTCTTACATCTGGTGAACAGCTTGAAAGCACTATTACTAAAAAATACTTCTCTCGGTAGTAGTCAGCAGAGATAATAGTGGAAGACAGGAGACAAGATGTTTGTTGGAGGGGTGGAGCCGTTTCCTGAGGTGCATGAGAACTCTTGTGGCAGCTCTAGGGAGATGGAGAACAGCGTAGAGAATCGGTCAAACACGTCTACGACATCAGCGGGTGATCATGGTACCTCCATGTCGACAGGGATATGCGGGAGTGGAGCAGTGCTTGTTATGATTTGCGAATTTGACTCATTGATTCACTACAGTGTAAGTAGGCCTTCTTACTTTGGTTATCCTACCAGTACCAGCATAGGTTCTACTTTCTTCTGATTCTAATTCTCATTCTAAAGGCCCAAGAGGCCTGATCATGTTTTCTAGTCCTGAAACCCTCTAAGACTTAATAATGTTTTCTGTATGATGATCATGTTTTCTATGATGTATTACTGAAAAATCCCTTCTCTAATCCACGCGGCAGTTCATCTTCGAGTTCCTCACGAACGTGGCTGTGTCAGCAATGCACTACTTGGATAGCCATGGAAGAGGAGCGGTGTCCTGTTTGCAGCATGTGGGAGGCACCAAAACCCAAGCGACAGAGAGTACTCTTGCTAGACCTCCCTTATTTCAGTCAGTACCTCGGTTATTTTCAGTAGTTGCTCGCTTATTTCAGTTTTTCGAATAGAGAGTTTCCAGCAAGAACCAGTAGTACTGGGAAGAAGTTAAAATATTTTTGTACTATGAGCTGCACATCATGATCTGACGTGCTAGCAAAGAGTATCCGAAGGACTTGATGATTTAGACCCTAACATCAAGAACAACTCAGTAGTAGTAGCACCACAGATCCACGACGACCTTCTCCCAAACAACACCCCACAACTAGTTGCCGACGCCGCAACGCGATGGGCAGAAGGGACGGGAGAAAGGACGTGAAAAGGGTATGCAGCGAAGAGGAGCAGGCTCATGGCACTGCGCGGACTGTTATTACGATAATTTTCCGGATAGAACAACCTGCAATAAGTGCCTGAAGCCGAGAGAAGCATGCGAAGGTTAGATTTCTTTCTAAAATCATCTTCAATATGCTGTTGTCTAACGATTGGAGACGATCTGATCATCGTACTTTTGCATTTGTGATTGTTGAAATTTGTTTTCTCTTTTGTCTAATCAGGACTTTTTAATAAGTAAGAACGAATTTTACTCCAAAAAAAATGTATAGGTAAAGGAGCGTGTGGAGTAGAGGGAGAGAGTGCAAATGGGGCCACCGCTAAAAAATGCACCACAACAGTTGTTGCTACAACAGTAGCTGCAGGTGATCTCTGCAACATTTTTTAGAAGCGCTCATTATTGCCAGCTAGTGTGGTGGAGGTTTTTTTTTGTTTACGTATGCATCTTTTAAGGAAGAGTAAGAGTATTTTTTCTTTCGTGTTTGCTTTGCAAGATTTGTTTCTTTGCTAGTCAGTATCATCTTGCACTTTTTCTCTGAATTTATCGATGTTAACTTTTCTTGCACTGAAAAAAAACACAGCAGGATCAGACATGGGGATAAAACGAAAGCTACCGGATCCTAGCCGCGCGATGCTGGACTACGACCCTGCCCTGCCAGATCCCTTCACAGCAAAAGGAAAAGGCAAGGGGAAAGCCGGTCTGAGAAGCTTAGCAGCTTTACTTGGGAACAATAAACTGGATATTAAGGCTCTGAGTTAGATCTTGAAATGACAGAGACAGTTATTTAATAATGCCTTGAAACAAATAAGTCTGTTTAGTTAATTAGGGGGTAAAAGTCGTCAGGGAAATCTTGGGCAGGTTGCCTAATAGATTCGCGTCAGTTTTTAGGGCAACAATTTGGGCGTGTACTACTACCCAGTCTCTTCTTCTATTTCACTTAGCTCCTCCAATGTCCTCGCAGACCTAGAACGGATATTTGCGTCATCGAAGGAGCTAAGGGAAGCAGCAGCGGCACAAGGCATTTACGACGTACATCAACTGCAGTCAGCTCTAGTCGCAATAGTTAGACAACAAGCAAGCTCGATGGCGTCTAATAGAAAAGACACCTACAACCGTGGCAAGGGCGGAGCGAGAAGTGGTAGTGGCTTTCGATTGAGTAGAAGTATTCTTAAAATTTCATGATGATCACGACGTTGATCCCTGTAAGTATGTTGTTTGTTTTTTGTGTCACGAAGACTGAGCAAAGGCATCCTATCATATCCATTTAGACGTAGACAATTGTAAAGCTGCAGTCTAAATATAACATCTTCATCAAAAGAAGTGCAAAACCTTGCAACACCTAAAAAAGACCAACAACCCTCTCTCCCACCCCTTGCAACTAGACAATACCTCGCGAACAGGTAAATGAATGAAATCAAACATCATCAACGCCCCCTGATTGGGTTCACCATATAACATCTTCATCAAACATCATCAACATCCCCTGATTGGGTTCACCATATAACATCTTCATCAAACATCATCAACATCCCCTGATTGGGTTCACTACTCCACCCCGCGGACGACCACAGGCGTCCACGAAACATTGCGGATGACGGATTCAGGACACGTAGTACCAGTGGATAAGAGTTCATCACGTACGTCAACGATTGAAGACGTTGAGCACCTGAATACGCTCTTCCGGGATAGCAGTACTTTTTACTAGTTTTATGTACAATTAGACAATACCTCGCGAACAGGTAAATGAATGAATGAATGAATGAATGAATGAATGAATGAATGAATACAACTTACTACTTTCATGCGCGGCAGCGTACTTACTACTTTCATGCGCGGCAGCGTTGCTACATTTATAAATTTCAGTAGTCTACTTTACCTGTAATCATGACGAAAATGAACTGCTTGTTTTGCACCAACCCAGATGGCGGTCATGGTCCTTGAATCATTGTCAGGTACAAATAGCGCAGGCACGTCGCCAGAGATAGCGAAAGTTAAGGAGGAAAAGATGCTCTATGAGGGGATCTTGCAAAAGCTGAAGGAGAATAAGGTACAACTTCTACTTCTGCCTTGAGTCAAACATCTAGATCATTGCTGTCACATTCGATTTGTGCAAATGCTCATACTCGTCGCTTACTCGTTCAAATATCTTGATCAGTCTAATAATTAAAACTTCTGCAATACCCCATGAATGCGTACACGACTACTACTACTACTAAACCATTACTCCCCAGGAAGAAGAAGATTACGACTTTGATGCTTTTGGGCCTTCTGAGAAGTGTCCCTTAGCAGACCATCCGGAGCTAGAGAATTATGGCATTAATGGCCCAGAGCATACGACACTCCTCAAATTCTGGTCAGGGAGCTCGCGAAAAGAGGCTGAGGTACTTCTTGTTTTGTAGTTAAGGGTTTCCAAATTTCATCCTCCACCAGCATCCTCGAGCTTATTTCTAGTAGGAAAAAGGCTAAGAGTGTTCTGAGGAATGCAATTCTGCAACCTCAAACGTAGTTGACAATCATAATCAAGCTGAAACTCTTTTTTTGCTTCATTCTTTCCTTGACAACCTCCTCGAGGCTAGCTACCGTTTCAAAATCCGTTTTCAGTTTCGTGTCTCCCACCTGCTCAATTTGTTTTAGGTACAATCATCATCGTCATCATCATCCCCAGCTCTCGCCACTACTTCTACAGATCTGTCCTCGATTCCACGTCCTAGAAGCTGGCGAATGGCGCTGTGCAGGTTGCGGCGGAGATAACCGAAATCAAGACCGTATTTGCACACACTGCGATGAGATTCGGGAAACGACACAATGGTTATAAGGCTCCAAAGATTCAGAATATGTTGATTCTTCTGAGCTGGTGTCAATGTGTTGATTCTTTTTGAGTCTCTTCTGCGATACGACAGTTCATCTCTATTAGCGATGCAAACAAAGTGAAGAAATATGCGCACATTTACTTCGGTCATCCAACATCAAAACAGTAATAATATCTTATCTCGCATCTAACTAGCTAATTAAATCTTCTGTACCCCGCGATTGGGTACACTACTACTACTACTCCTACTACTACTCGTGCTCGTCCTCCTGTTCGTCCCTCTCTTCTAATTTCCCTGTCGCCATAGTTGTACATGGCAGCCAAATGTCGTAGGCGACGCAGAAAAAGTGGAGATGTGTGCCGTGTGCAAGAAACCTCGGACAAGATGCGAAGCAACGCCAGAGATGGAAGTCTTTCGGATATTTGGGTACTTACTTCTACGTACTTGATTTTATTTCTTAAATTTGTTGCTCATCAGAATTTGTACTGAGAGATGTGAAGACGAAATCGGCAACCATGATCGGCATAAACAAGCCTCAAAATTGACCTCTTGCCAGGCACATCAATCAATCAATCAATCTGCCAGACTACGACTAGGGCATCAGTAAGACTAAGATTCCAAGTCGTCGTTCTTAAGCTATCCTCGTGTGTACACATCAAAATTCTTGATCCAAGGTATCGCCATGAGGAATCGGAGGAAGGGACGACGTATGAGGATTTGGTACACGGAATGGTCTGCGTGATGAAGCGCATTCTGAAACGTTATTCCATCATGGAAGAAAAGGAGCGATGCCTTGCCAATGGAGGTTAAAGGAATGCCTTCTATCAGAGGCAATGCAGTGGTATAGGCAGCACTTCACTACGACAGGGCTTCACTACGAGATCTTAAGTATCTTCTGGGTATCCGCGTATTATGTGGATGAATGTTGAATATTTGACTTCCTGCTATGACTTCTTGCGGGAGCAGGGTGGGAGATGACTGGCAAGGTTGTTGTATTCAGTACATAGCAGCTACCTGCCTCGTTCTTGAAGAGTGATGCGTAGCTGCTTTGTGCGCACATCAGCCATCCTACTCCAATCCTCGATGAATGATGCTATATTATTTGGGACTATAATTTTGTACAGTCGTGGAAGGCATGTGAAGGTCAGTCATGATCTTTGTACTACTGTAAATATCACATTGGTTTCACTACAAACTACTACGAGTCTTTTTACTACAATCCTTCGATGAAATAAACAGAAGTATCCTACTTACTAAGAACAAGAACTGACTGATGTTATTGTATGCCTTCGAAATTTCCATATGATCTTTGTTTTTTTAATCTTTTCCATCGTGTGTATTGGTGTAGTGGCTTTTCAAGTTTGTTACCTTATATCTGGCACTATTGTTGATACTAATCTCTTCCTGTAATTCCTATCTGATTCTCAAACCATGACTGCGGGTGCTAATATGAATCGAAATGAATATCAAAGGTACACTATACTACTACTACTAAGGCTATAGTCGTTCCTTATTGGATGATATTGTGGGATCAAATAATTAAAGCGTCCTTTGGATTATAAAAATTGGGTGAATTCTTATAGATGGTGAGTACTAGTATGATGATGTCCAAAATTTTGAATATTTTTGCTCGTCCCTTACTTACAGTTATGAAGAGATTGTCGCTCCGCAGGTTTTCTTGACAGCCCCCCTCCAACGAATTTCTTTCTTCCTACAATAGTATGTGTAAATCCTTAGTACAACGTCTTCTACGAAAGCGAATATTTACGGTACCGCAATAAATCGTGTCATGAGGTGAAACAAGAAACTATTGTGTAGTCATCACACACAATTGTTTCTTCTTCTTCACAACCATGAAATGTACTATCTCTCTCCTTTTCCTAATGAGCCTAAATTTTCCAGTCACTTGTGCCTAAGAAATAATCGACTTCGACAATCTGACCTCGAGTTGCCTCTCGCGTTACCTAAGCCACTTCTCCTGCTTATAGCACTCTATCACTTAGCCAGTGTGGCTAGTGATGGTTGCCTGAGTGGACCACCATATTCACCACCACTAGACCACTACCTATGAGTATGCTTACAAGCCACCTCGTTCACCATGGATTATTCTAGAAATATTATTTCTTATATCAAAATCAACACTTGCTCTGTACATCTCCCTACTAAAACAAAAAAATACAAGACGAACAAATCAGTGAATACCCGCATTACACCCTAAATCCCATTTATTTCCCCCCTGTGTCGCCAAAGTTGCGACCTTACTTTTAGTTCTTAAAATAAAACAAGCGCCATATCATGATGTTTCTCTTGGCAACGCGGTGATTGTACGCAAGAGATGTATTCTTGGCCGGATTGAACGAGTTGGCTCGTCTATTTGTCATACCTAATTGTTGTGAGATGTACTTGACTTCAAGAACTTCTATGTGAATGTTGTACTATCCTGTACTTTGCACAACAAATATTAAGAATTAATTGTGATACCTGTTCTCATAAGCCAATAACTTCTAGAGACAAGAAGTCCTGTTCAACATGACCATCCTGCTATTGGAATTTTCTGCTTGATTCTAATGGGAAGATGTTTACCAAAACTTCTTGTTCTCCAGAAAATAAGATGTTTGTCCGCTATTGTTCTCGCTGTGGAGGGAGACTGGAGCATAGCTGGCCGCGTTTGTGCGTAGCTGGCGCATGTATTGCCCTGCTATTAGGAAGTTGTTCTTGGCGGGGTCCTCACAGGTAGAAAGCATACGAGGAAGTCCTGCAAAAGACGGCTTCCGCAAAAGTGTGAAACTACAGATGAGGTCTAAGTGCTCTCTGCTACCCCTGCAAATTGGCTTTTTGCATTGACGAAATGGCCAGAAAAATTGTCTGCCAACCTAAAAAATTGAACATCACCCGTAGCATTGTGTTAGCGGTCCCTCGACCATACCATTTGCAATAGAGATTGAGTGATATTTTTCTAGTGAAAACACTTTTCTAGGTTGACACTGGTACACCATAACTAAGGAAAAGTATTAATTTGAAGTCATCAACAATCAATCAATCAATCAATCAAGTACCTGCAATTCAGAAGTCATTGCAAGCTCGTGGTAATTTGAGCAACAAAAAATGGCCGATGAGGAGAAGAGCTGCTTTCCCCCAGGTGTGGGGGACACCAGAGATTTGGCCGATGTCGATCCTGTAATGGCGAAGCTTGTGCAGCAAGAAAAAGCACGGCAGCAATCATGCATCGAACTCATTGCATCGGAGAATTTTACGAGCAAAGCGGTACTTTCGATGATAGGTCAAGAAACTATAGTTTTCCTTCTCACCCACGAGGTCGTGAAGAATGAAATGTTGACATGAAAAAATGCTTACATCAGGTGATGCAATGTCTCGGAAGCGTGTTGACCAACAAGTACTCCGAAGGCCAACCCGGTGCACGTTATTACGGTGGTAATGAGATCATCGATCAGATAGAGGAATTGTGCAAAGAGCGTGCAATGAAAGCTTTCTCCTTGGACCCTGAAGAATGGGGAGTCAACGTGCAACCCTATAGCGGTTCACCAGCAAACTTCGCTGTGTACACGGCACTACTGAAGCCACACGATCGGGTGATGGGATTGGATCTCCCAAGTGGCGGTCATTTGACACACGGATACTACACGCCGACTGGTAATTGTTTTGATGATACTAGGTGGATTTCCTCAATTCTTTCAGCTTGTAAATGTTTGAGGCTTGAATGTTGAGAGTCAAACATTTGATGACGAAAACTTCGTGATAGTCATATTGACAACGATCACCCTTCAACGAACAGGCAAGAAAATTTCCGCGACGTCGATATATTTCGAGTCAATGCCGTATACTGTGCGCGCGGACAACGGGTTGATTGACTTCGATCAATTTTACGGCAAGAGAACTATATAAGGAACTTCGACAGGTTTTCAGTCAGATGAATCCTTGACAGGATCGAGGCACTCACAAAGAAGTATGAACAATCAAGCATTATAATCACCCCTAACGTTTGGATCCCTCTAAACTCAACTCGAGCGCGCGAAATTATTCCGACCTGCGATGATTCTTTGTGGTGCCTCTGCCTACCCAAGAACTATGGAATGGGCCAAATTTAGGGAAGTTGCGGATGCCGTTGGCGCCATTCTCATGGCAGATATGGCGCACATATCCGGATTGGTTGCTACTGGCGTCCATCCTAGTCCATTTCCATTCGCGGATGTGGTATTGCTTTGTGTATCTTAAGCATCGAGAGGACCTAATTGTTATCGTGTTTCTTCGGTCTATGAAAAACTGCAACATTGAAAAACTATCAACATAGAACAAAGTAGTTTCTTCAACATACACTTTTAATGTCTCACCAACAACTACCACTACGTTATCTCAGCACTACGTTATCTCAGCATCTCAGCAACTAAGGTAACCACAACAACGCACAAGAGTCCACTACGTTATCTCAGCACTACGTTATCTCAGCAACTAAGGTAACCACAACAACGCACAAGAGTCTTCGCGGACCTAGGAGTGGTATGATCTTCTTCAACCATAAAAGAATTGCGGATGCAAAGACGAAAATCGACATGGCAGTTTTCCCAGCACTGCAGGGAGGACCGCACAACCATCAGATCGGCGCACTAGCAGTACAGCTAGCAGAAGTGCAGACGCCGGAATTTAAGGCTTATGTCCACCAAGTCGCAGCAAATGCAAAAGTGTTGGGAGAGGAGCTTGAGAAGAGGAAGCACAAGTACCTACGCTGCGTAGATTCAATTTGCTTCGAGGTAGGCTTTTCTATGACACATGATACTTCTCGTGAAAGAACTCTGATGAGACAAGTTTGAAACAGCTGCACCTTCCTGTTCCCTGAAAGCAAATAGCGTCGCCGAATCATAATCTGAATCCATCAGCATCACAACTCCATCACACCAGGTTAGTAGCCGGTGGCACTGACACGCATTTGCTTTTGGTGGATTGCGTCGGACCATGGGGTGTAAATGGACGAAAGGTCGAATTGGTCTGCGACGTGTGCTCAATCACCCTGAACAAGAATTGTATACCAGGAGACACCTCTGCACTCACGCCGTCAGGTGTGCGCATTGGAGCTTGCGCGATGACAACTAGAGGCTGTCTAGAGGAACACATGTTATGATAGTAGTAGGCGTAGGTAGGTGCAGTTTCCTTGAAGATGTCAACACTCTATACTCACTAGTACAACAGGAGCGGCCTCCCTCTTTCTCTTTCTCCCTGGTGCCAGTCCTTCTTTCATATCTTGCGAAAATCGCAGAGTTTATAGACGCCGCGGTTCAGATCGCAGTTGCAGTCCAGAAGGAGAAAGGCAAGAAGATCAAGGACTTTGAGGTCGGCTTGTCAGACAGGGACGATGTTAAAGCCTTGAAGGCTGAGGTGAACCAATGGGCTACGCAGTTCTTCTTTCCTGGATTGTAAAATTTACCCCCCTCAACAGACGTAACCGCGCCGCTTCTCCACTCCAATCTTTGCGTGAGATCCATCGTGTGTATCATCTATGGCGCCCTTGTGGCAGTCTGCGCTGAACTTTGTGCGAGATAAATTGTATTGGATTGTACTACTTCTCGTCCCAACAACATTTCTGATAGCGGTACACTGATAGCGGTTGTTCTGGACTTGTTTTACTCCATCGCAATCATCTTCATCCTACTACTTCTCGGCAATGTCCTCTGCCGTTTTTTTGGTTGCATTTTTGGATTGGTGTTGTCAGTACATCTACATCTTCGTGTCAGCAGCGTGTGTAAAGACCCAAACGGTTGCTTCCGCTTTTTGTGTGAAGAGAAAGCTGCTGTTGATAGAATGAATGAAGAATTCTTGTCGTGTATATGGGTTTTTAGTGTGGCCTCTTATCAATCCAGAGACTTTAATGCTATTGAGTCGGTCCCCATTATAATGTTGTTGAGGAGACGCGCTGTATCTCCACCTTGCTGTTGCTATTTTCCACCTGGTGTTCCTCACCTGGCATATGTTGAGGTGATAAAACTTTGTGTCTACAAGGCCCACGTGGTGGAGTCAACGCAGATTTTTTGCGCGTAATAAATGAATGAATGAGGTCAGGAACTGCTTAGTGAGCTTGGTGCGAAACTTTTCCATCCTCTTTCGCCGTGGCTCTTTCACTTTGGCACATTTCTAATCGCGTGCTTCATTCAGGACCTACCTCAAGGACGTTCTCCATCTGATCATTGGGATTTTCAAGTTGAAACTCTCCTCTTTGGGACTTCCTCGGAGCGTTTTTGAGAAGATTGAAAAAATCAAAGCAAGAAAGACTGAAAAAATCGAACCAGTAGAGACTGCGTGCTGTCTGCACCTGTGGTTGCACATACGATCCTGCTGCGCTTCTTTCCCCTCAGAAGCATCATCCAGTTGCGGTTGCACTGTCACTCACTAGCATCTGTGAACATCAAGACGCGAGATGATATTGCTGAGACTGCGTGTAGTTCTGAACCACCTGAAGAATGCAACTACTCGGCAAGAACCTACTTTAAGTACAGCGAAGCTGCATTTCTAGTTTTCGCAACTTTGTAGTATCTGGTAGTAGTTTTCTTCAACTGATCTTACATCTTGTTTTCGCAAGAGTGGGTACATTCATTCATTCATTCATACCTAGTCTAATCTTAGGCTCTTCCCACTACTGTGCTTTCTTTGTCTTTGCGTCTGTGAAGTGGATGCTTTCTCTGCGGCCACCCGAAAAATGCAGTCAGCTTAGGTTTTTGATTTAGATCTTCTCGAGATTTCTGCTTACACTATCAATCATAATTCTAATATTTTTGTGATTTTTGTGTAGTTGTTTCACATTGACTTTCGATGCGGCCTTGGTTGACTAAAGCTAGAGTTACAAGAATATTAAATGGAGGACGCAACTCAAGGAAGCTAATGATTGGTTCATATCTGACTGAAGATTTCTAGAACTACACCGTGAAGGTCAAAAATAACACCGCTAGAGAACAAGATTGTCGTGGACAATGAATAATAACCATCTCATCGGTGAAATAGTTTCTTCGACTATCTAAGGTGAACAAGGCCATACCTACATAAACAAAAGAGTCATCCTATCGCGTTGAGTACTTCTTAATGTCATAACATTGATTTGGGACCACTTTATGAACACAAGGAGATAACATAGGAGCAAGATTCATTGGAGAACAAGATTTTTTCTGGTAATAATACGAACAAAACGTATGACCACATACATCGAGCTCTTTCCACACACGGCACAATAAACGGGTCGAAGAACAACATACATATGATTCAGGAATAAAATCGTCCAACGAGACCTAATGTTTTGCCTGAGAAAATCGACAGCAGTAAATTTAATATCATCTGACAGCAAAACTACTTACTCAAGAATTGGATTTGTTTCTAGATAGAAGTCTGCCAGAGCCTTGTAGAAATAGAGGTTCACGGGATAAGTTGAACTTCTCTCAGTGCAGTTAAGTTAGTTTGATATGGGACAAGAAGACACTTTCTCAAGGTGGAATTTATTCGTACAGAAAAGTACTAAATACATGTTAATAAGATCTGCTGGATCGATAAGAACTATTATATGGTGAAAGCTATGATGTCTGACTTAGAACATAGATGAAGCTAGGATAAGGGTTGAAGATAGAAGTACTAACGTTGAAATCGTAAGCTAGAACTAGATTGAAAAATTTCGATTTCACTCATCCGTGAACCGGCTGTAAGTGTACTACAACTAAGTGGCAAAGACAATAGAGATATTCTTTTTTCTTACAAAGAGATCGCTATCGGTATTTTACGATACATTTAACAAGTAGGTAGTAGTAGTTGAAGTAGTTATAACAACTTGAATGCAGTAGTTGAAGGCGTTCCCTCCTGTCGCTCCCGAGCGTAGAGGTGCGGCAGTCGCAGCTGCGGGGAGGTCGGTGCCCTGTGGAGGCAACCTGATTGACTGACTTCTGACCAGTAGTAAATATTTAAGTACATTTATTTTTGTGGAGCCACTTCTTCTGATCGATCCGTTCGTAAGAACCACAACGGCAAAAGATGATGAAAGAACCCAAGATCACAGCGCACTTCCACTTGCGCGTCGCTCACCAGCGTCGTAGCTTGTTGAACACAACTACTAAAAGAGGAGCAACCACGCTGTTGGCCGCAGTGTCGATGACAACGATGATGGCGAGCAGTACCACCTGTGATGCTTTCCAGGTTCTTGCTGGGTCGCCGTCTCAACAACATCAAACAGAAGCAATTGCTTCTGTAGCTCCCAGTACACTGACGTCGATGGATGTCGATAGTCTATTCACGGACGTGGTAGGTACTGGTGGGGCAAGAGGATCATCTGAAGGAAATACAATGCAGAATCATGTTACTTTTCAACAAGAAGTCGCTGCACGAGCAGATATTCGTAGTAGAAGTAGTACTAATATGAATATCGCACCAGCAGTGCCTATTGCAGGTGCAACGGAAACAAGTGTAAGAACAGCAACTATCTTCACAAATGCTGATCGTCGTGGGGCTAATCGAGGAGCAAGAGATCGAGGACCTAATGCAGGAGAACAAATGGGAAACCGTGAAGGGGAACAACAACCACGTGGAGGTGAACATTGGCGTGATGATGTCGACATGGGGTCTAGTGGTTCTGCTAATGTTAAGGCTACCAAGCGAGCATCCCCCTACAGCATGATCCTTGTCTCATTTTCAAGAGGGAAATGGATCCAGGGAGGAGGGTCTCAGGGATGCACGTTGGTAGCTCTAATCCCAGTCTTCAAAGTCGTGGTCCACCCAGTCTTCAAAGAACGCAATGCCAGCGAGGCCCGTTTGATCCTCTGCCGCAAACAGGGTCTCAGCATATCCCTACCGTTTTTCAGACTCTAGGAAGTGGGAGTGGAGGGCAGGCTCAAGAAGTAAATGGATTGTCCATGGCTCAAGAGTCTCTCAACGCTTCAAGACAGCGAGACACCCTACAATTGCACCAGAAAGGGATTGTATCACCATCAGACTTGAGGCAGGTGTTTCAGCGGAAGTGTGGACCTTAAGAAAAAGGTTGTTTAGAATAGTTGTTTAGAATTTTTCGATGAGTAGATAGATTGGAAGTTTTGTTCCCTATATAAGGATAGAAGAGTTGATGATGTACTACGGTTGATACAATCTGAATCAATGCAGGTGTATTCACGATAGTATTTACGAAGTAATGCACACCAGCATCTAACAAGTGTTGACATTTGGTGAAAGATATCCATCAACTACATTTCAGAATTTAATAAACAGAAATGAATCCTGCGAGTGCTTGTAGATAGGTCTAAAGAAGAGCCGAAAGTTTGGACAAGATGTTAGAGCGCCATTTACTTCTTGGAGGAAAGCACAGTGAAGCGTCTTCAACGGCATCAGCAAGTGGAATTACGAGAGCCCACGATTGGCCTGCTGAATTCGATGGGCCTGCTGCATTCGATTGGACTGCGGGTATGTCGAATTCGACGACGCGCGTCGCGAGTTCTAGCGACGATGAGGATGACTCTTACACAACGCCGCCGCCGACCAGACGACAGGAATCGTCAGATGAAGAAATAGCACTACCTTCTTGGGCGTCACAGTCGACAGGTCGTAGAGGTGCTGAAAGAGGAGGTGTTGCTCCACAAGCAGGTCGTGGCGGTAATGCAATTCCTGGATCTTCTAGTACTACGAGACGTGACGTCGCGGCACCTGTAGTTGCAACGAGCAGTAGAGGTGCTGAAAGAGGAGGTTTTGCTCCACAAGCAGGTACGAAACCGATGGGCACGGAAGCACCTGCAGGTCGTGCATTCCTACCACCTAGAGGACCGGCTGCAACACGAGCTCCGTCTGCAGATGGCAAGTTCTGCAAGAACAGGGGGTACTTAAGACTACTTTCTAGAAAACAGAATGAGAACATCTCTCTTTGAAGAAGGTGAAAACGTCACTATAACTTCTTGTGCCGTGAGTGCCTAGAAATCGTACAGAATCCATGTTGGACTAGCCATTTAATTCTGATCCCCTTAGCCATTTAATTCTGATCCCCTTAGCCATTTAATTATGATCCCCTCCTCGTCTAAGATTTAGACGTCCAACTCTGGCCTTCAGACCGGGTGACCGAGATCCAACGCCAGGAGAGATTGCTCGCGCCGAGGCCCTAGCTGTTCGCGATTTTATTCAGACGAAGGAGAAACCGAAAGAAGAAGTTTACAAGACTTTGAGGAAGTGCACTCGTCACGGTCTGAAAACTCTACAATGGATGTTCGATGAGGAGACGCCGCAAGTGATTCAGGAGAACATTATAGGCGGCTTTTTAGGGAAGAAGTACTACAGGAGCAGCTTTTTCCGCCACAGAAGTACTACAGGTACCACAGGAAGAAGTGCTACTAGGTATGAAGAAACACCACAAGGACAGCAGAGAGCTACACATGGTACCATGAATACTAGTACTCCAGTTGGAGCAACAGGCACTCGTCCAGTTGGAGCAACAGGCGAAGAAGACCGTCAGCATGCTGGTGACGTCACACCTGAAGGAATGCAAGATGCTTCTCAGTCCGTTGGCAGCACAATGTCGCCACCTATCAGTGCTGCTTTTTCTCCGCCAGAAAGTTCAGAACAGTGTGCGAATTTACTTTAAGGCTTCCTTGAGATAGTAAGTTCTTGTCGAATCGGTCGTTTGTGTTTTGTCATCTGGAAATAAGCGCATCTTTTATCAATCTCGGAGTAGAACAACAAAATTTATTAAGAACCTGCTCGTTGTAGTATTAGTTTTCCTTCTACCTTCAGCCTCGACCTTTCCTCCTCTAATCCCCACCAGGCTCGGGCCATACTTTTTCCGCCAAGGACGCCAAGGCTTTAGAGTCAGGTCTTAAGAATTTGCTCGCATGTTGCGTTAAAGAATTCTTGGTGGAGATGTGGAAGGAGAAAGCCGAAAGAGACCAGAGGGAGCTCTTAAAGAGATTTGCAGAGAATGTGCGGAAAAATCTGCCCGGGTCGCCAGAGGTGTATACTAGAACAGTGACATCGCAAATCGACGTGCCCGCTTTAGTGCAGGGTCCGAGTGGCAAGAAGGAAAGGGGAACGAAAAAAGTTCTTATGATATGTTGGACTGTACAACATGATCTTCTTCTTGTTACTAGATTTCTAAAGGATCTATTTAGTGCCTCACTTTTTATTTTTGCTCTCATATGAGAATAAGTACTCCTTTATATCTTGCCTGGTAGATGATGGACTCGACCTCCTCTAACTTCCAAAGAAAAGTACAGCAGCTGCTGTTTGAACGCAGGCCTGTGCGACACAAGAAAAATGAAACTGGAGAATACGTCAAGTCTGAGGAAAGTAAAACAGTGATAGCGATGGTAGAACTTCCAGCGACGCGGAGAAGCAGTACGATAGGCATCGGCCCAGACGCGGTTTTCGTCGGACACGTCACCACAGCCGATGAACAAGTTATGGGCACGTTGGTGTTGTGAATTGATTCTTAGTAGAGTGCTTGGGACCACTAAGAGAATCTATAATCTTATACATAGTGAATCTATAATCGGATTAAGGTTTTGATTTTGTTGTTTCGAGATGGACGTAAATGTCAGCTACTAGAAACAAGCATCTTTTAGGCGTGCCTCTAACTGCTCCCGCCGTCCGGATGGTACGATCCTCGAAGACCGATCTGCCTTCGAGAAGCGCTTTCGGCGAGGTCAAGAAATCGTTTGCAAACAAGATGCTGAGGGTTGCGGAGAAGCCAACAACCGGAATAAACGGTTCATGCTAGATCCTGTTGTCCGAAAACTTATCGAGGGTGATCACAACGCGAAGATGGTGGGCCTTTCTTCATCATCATCTGGCTCTCCACCTGAGCTGCAACAGCATGAACAATTCCTGAAGAGGGATCACCTATTCGAGCCTCGCAGTGATATTCGAATGGATGATATGAAACGAAAAAGTGCACTCACAGTCACACTCAAGGAAGTACTTAGCTACTTTCCTGTTTGTGAATCCTAGCCGATCTGTTGAGTGTGAGTGCACTTTTTCCTTTCATAGATGAGAAAAATGTTCTCATCTGGACACCTTGGAACTGGGGAGCTGCGGACCCTGCACCTAGTCATCTGGAGTTTGAAGAGGAAGAAGTCAACGTGGACGCAGCTAACGAGACTCTTCGTCTACGCGTAGCTGAACAAGCTGTGCAAAGCAGCGGCTTTTCATCTTCTCCTTGGAGTTCAAAATCACGAATGATCGCTTATTTGGGTGCTGGTCTTGGTGCTGAGCCGATTTCAACAAAGAAATCTGATGCTAATAATTAAGGGTTGAAGAAACATTTCATTTTGACGAGGAGTGCTCTTGTTTACTTGAGATTCTTGCTACTAAGAAATGAATTCTTTCAACCACCTTTAAGAACATAAGAAAAAAACCGGACCGTTCGGGGGAGAAGACGAGTACTCGGAATCGTTATTTACTACTTTTGGTAGCGATCCAAGTGTCGAGGATCAGAGCAATGCCGAGTTTCAGGCCTACTACATCACAGTAAGGCACCAAGCACGTAACTTGCTAAGCGATTTGGTCGACGTAACAGCTGGCGAAGTGTGCGACGTTCTAGGGACGAAATATTTCAATGCGATCGAAGAGAAAAATCAGCCCTCTTACACTGCTCCACCTGTGGGTACTACAGTTGAAGTCCCCCTAGTGACAATCACTGGTGGAACCAATGGTAGTTTTGTTCCGGCACCATGCTCGCAGCCTCGACCAGCAGGCTTCGAAATCGCTGGCCTTACTACAACTGCAGTAGAAGGTCTCCCAACTACAGGTGAAAATACTGTTGTACATGAGGAGTTGCTTCTACCCGGATATGCCGCAGCTAGCAACCTCCCAGAGAATGCGCGCCTCTTTGGTCCCGGTAGCGCTGCATCTCCTGGCGCTTCCAGCGATAGTAAGTTGCGAAGAGTCGACTTCTTCGAAAATGGTGATCCATTGGTAGCTGGTGGAGATAGCTTGCCTGGAATGGAATGTGAAGGAGACTATTTTCAAGTAGACTCGCAGGTAGTACAAGAACACACTCAAGTACAACAGGTAGTTCAGCAACAGCTGCAAAATTCTGGGACGACACGCTGTCCTCCAGGTACTGGACAACAACAACATGGTAGGACCACACGTGAAGATTGTCCGCCACTACCACTACCACCTGCAGTGGCACCTCCAGACGAAGAATTTGTGCAGAACAAGCGGCTCTGTAAGTTAAGGGCGTGGGAAATCCATCCCCAAAGCGACTTATCTGGAAGAAGAATGAAAACAAGAAGAAGGGACCCAGATGAGGGCTGGGATGAATTTCCTACAACGTCTAAGTAAAGGACTAGACTCACCCGCACAAGCAGGCAAGAGACTTCTGCGCGAATTGCTAAAGCATCATGCTGAAGAAATGTTAAACCATTGGATTTTTGATTCCTGGCGAACAGTGGCCTTCGACTTCGAAGGGTTCCGTTTGAAAGCACTGCCACTACTCGTTCGCGCAGCTTACAATATACCGATTCCAGAAAAAGAGAAACAATATTGGGGGAAAGCATTGCCGAAAAGTGACCAAACACAAGAAGAGGAGACTCAGGTACTGATTTTGATTTGACTCTGCTGCTGGAGTGTATACTTATGGAGTATCTTCGTGATCTGTGTTGTAGCTGTGGACTGCCTAGGCAATGATAATCAATTTGATGTGATTTCTCGCCTTCTGGCTAGGGAATCATTGATGATTGGACTCAAATGTGTAACTCATTGTCAACTGTGTCCAGGTACCAGTAAGGAGAAGAGAGAATCAGGGCGTAGACGACGACATACGGCGCATGGGTCCACGAGGAAGAGCGAATGGCCTGTCACCTGCGGCAGCCCTTGAAGCTAGTGTCCTGGATGGCTTGATTTTATGACGCTGCATAAGTCAGGGAAATCGTAGGCAGATTGCCGAGTAGATTCAGATCATCACCAAGGCCCACTTTTTGAAATCAATTTGAATGGAACACTAGGATTTGGCATTTAAGATTTGACTGTTACAAACTAGCATCCACAAGCTTCGCCCGGCTTCAGTTTCGCACTTTTCTGCCTCCCACGGGCTGCGGCCGCTAGAGTAGAGACAGCCCGCGGGTGAGCTGTTGCACCCTGCGAATTGGCTAGGAGGTCTTTCGTCAAAGGTCTGCTCTCCTCTTAGGTCTCTTCTTTCGTCGCAGGTTTTTCGTGGAAGGTCTTCCGTCGAAGGTCTTTCGTCGAAGGTCTTGCTGCGTCAAAGGTCTTGCGTCAAAGGTCTTGCGTCGAAGGTCTCTCCCCGTCAAAGGTCTGCTGTCAAGGGTCTTCCGCGCAAGGTCTCTCGTGTCAGGTCTTTTGCCAAGGGTCTTGCGTCTAAGGTCTTTCGTTCAGGGTCTTTTTTCGAAGGTCTTCTGTCAGAGGTCTCTCGTCGAAGGTCTTTCGTCAAAGGTCCTTCGTCAAAGGTCTCTCGTCAGAGGTCTTTCGTCGAAGATCTTTCGGCAAAGGTCTGGCGTCACAGGTCTCGCGTCGAAGGTCTTTCGTCAAAGGTCTGCCGTCAGAGGTCTTTGGTGGGAGGTCTGCTGTCAAAGGTCTCTGGTGAGAGGTCTGCTGTCCCGGGTCTTTCGTCAGAGGTCTCTTGCCAGGCGTCTTCTGTCAGCGGTCTTGCGTCAGAGGTCTTTTGTCAGAGGTCATCTGTCACAGGTCTTGCGTCGCTTCGGACTTCTCTTCGCAGCTTGCGCCTCTACCACCGTCGGGCATTTTTCTGGCTTCTTTTCTGGTAGTCTGCCACGGGGCCGCAACGTATTCCCCAACATGAAAACGGTCGGAGACTATCGCGGATCGAGATGGAGGGGAAGGGGCCGGAGGCTAAGAGCAATAGCCCCGCGGGAGAAGTGGACTAGTCTCCGGTGGAGTAGGCGGGGAGTTTTGTGGCGGTGATTAGTGGCGTGGCTAAATATAGAGCAATAATATAGAGCAAGAATATAGAGCAATAATATAGAGCAATAATATAGAGCAATAATATAGAGCAATAATGTAAAGCGATGATATGGCGTGGTAATATCGAGTAATAATAAAGGGCAAGAGTATAGATTAATAATATAGATTTTTTTTTGTAATGTTTTTTACCTATCAACTTATAATAATTTGTTGAGACGTGAGGGTGATCATGATCGTGTTCCTTTCATCTTATCCCGGAGACCCTGGGTGGCCCGAAGCTTGTAAACGTCGTCATGGCGCAAGAGTTTGGTCCGTTGTCACCCAGTCACGCAAACCTATGGATTATGGCCAAGACCGAAGCGCCTTTGGAAGTGCGGCGAAGATGTTTGCACAGGAAAGACGCATGGATGAGCTCGTTGCAGCCTCTCGCCGTCTAGCTGAGAAAGCGGCAGCAAAATCGAAGGAGCTGAAACAAGTAAGAAAGACTTTCATTCCAGATTCTACTCGGATTTGTTGTCCCTAAGAGGGCAGTTGTCCACAGATTTCTTGTCCCTAGGTTTGTTTCAAATAATACTTGTGGAGGCATTGTTTCCTATAGAGTCTTTGGTCATCAGTACAACAAATGGCTATGAGACGGTATTATCTGTCTCGATGAAGAATTCATCTCAAGGTTTCCAGTGCAACAACGGATTAGAGGTGATATCGTGTTATCTTCATGGTCTCCGTTATTTGTAAAACATCGAGCATCCATCATACATCTAATAAAACAGCGAGCATCCAGAGGACAGCACATGTCATGCGCGGATATATGGCCGATGTTCACTGCCGAGCCGTTACCTTTGCGGTTGCATTTCGGAGAAGACAGAAGTCCGGCTTCCGCAGTACACCAGTCAGTAGATATGGCTTTGTTTGCTAACGGAGTCCAGTATGTTGATAGTAAAAAAATGTTGATCTTCATAGTGTCTTTCATGTGGCTTCTAGTGTCAGTCTTTCATGCATAGGGTTTGAGAAATATTTTGATGTTTAAGCACTCGGTTGTAGAGAGAAGAACATGAAGCGATTACGTCTACAACCAATGCATTAAAAATGAAGCGACTTTGGATCTTCTAAGAGATACCTGAGCGATCGAAATTTCGACCATACGGTCTCCATGTTGTTGGATTTTAGGGGAAAGAGGGATCCTATTCCACTCGCGGAGCGCAGACAAGGACCATTACCGAGTCAGAATAGCGTGCAACTGACCGAAACGGCAAATTTCGAACAGTTTCTGAGTCTTTATGATGCTGAACGTTCCAAGGAGTAAGTGAACGAAGCTCCCTAAGAGAAAGTGAAAGAGTGTGATGCTTTTTCGATCATGTTCTCTTCCTCTTGCTTTTACTGTAGGTATCTATAAGAGTGTGTGACCGTGAGTCAAGAAGTTTTGGCAATCTAGGACAAGAAGTGCACTAAAACTAATGCTTATTAACTACTTAGTAGCTGTAGGTGTAGCAGCCTAGACAAGTTCACTGATACTTATTAACTAGCTGTAGGACGTCTTACCCCTACGTCTTCCGTAGTTCCACTCTACAACAGTACTAAAAGCTTATAGAAGACTCTCTGTACAGTATTAAAAGGCTATAAACTCTCTGTATTAAGGTAGGAGTCCGGGGGGGATCCCCAACCAGAAGTTTCCCCAACCTAACCAAAGCTTACTTGTCTAAGTTAAACCCTACGGTATTGAAGGCGACTATCGAGGACCGCCGAGTGACGATGACGGAGGACCTTCCAGTGACGAGGGCTCGAAGGATGGACGAGACGACCATGGACGACACGACAATGGAGTTGAGCTTCCAACTTTAAGGGATCTTCCTTCTACTTTGAGGCTCTCAGTAAAATCGTTTGGACTCCACCGCCCTCTTTTGGACTCCACTGGATACTTGGTTTGCGAACTGGATAAAACTGGGATCACCCTTCCGGCGGTCTCGGCATACAAAAAAAAAAGATTAAGTCAGGGTGGGGCACATGAATGAATGACTGCTCTAACTACGGCGGAAGACATATCGGCTTCTCTTCGATTAGCTGAGAAAGTTTTGACGAATGAACAAGTGGGCCTGCTGTTCGGATTCGAAAAAATTCAGAATCTGATAGCTGGCGTTCAAGAATTTATGCATCGGCGATTAAAAAAAGTAATAGTAGGTAGTGCTGCTTTTGGCAGAGTCTGTCTGTGAGAAGTAGTTTATTATAACACCCTCTCCAAGTAGAACGTTTCCCTTATCCAAAACTGACGAGAAAATACGAAAAGATGCTGTAGGCAAGAAGGTGGATTCCTCTTCATCTGGCGTGGAGCTGTAAGATCTGGCTCTATGTAGGCTCCTTTTCACTCGCTGGCTCGGAGTCTGGATACGAATGCTGGGTACACTACTACTATGTAGTGTCTCTTTTTCACTCAATTAGTTGCTCAGTCTCTAACGACTTAGCCAAGCCTCCAGTTCCAGTTGGAGCTGCTAGCGGGAGTAGTTCTGCAGGAAGTGGCATACCAAGTTTCGCTGCTGCGGTGTTTGCGCGTAGTGGCCATGCTTAGAGATCTCGATCTGAGACTCCATAAAGATGCTCCTTTCTTTGAAGTAGAAGATCCTAACTTATAAGGAGCATTTCCTGGTAATGAAGAATGGGAAAAAATATTGAAGATTTAGTATACTGCAGGATAAGAACGATGGGTTCAGGAATAGTTAATATGAAACAGAAACAGAGGTAAATCTAAAAACTGAAGAGAAAAACAAGCAATATCTACTTAAAAAGTTCAGTTGAGAACTTTCCCTCCCTTTAAACCCTATTGCCTGGCTAACTCGATCCCACGACGATACTTAGCGCCCAACAATTATCTTGCTAAGCATGTCGTCTTACAGTGCAGATAAGTACTTGCTAGACTTAAACCTGCAACGAGAACTCCGCTTAGCTCACCTCTTTATACAAGTTCAAAGAGTAGAGACAGCTTGCACTTCACCCAGTGGCCTCCGGCTGTTTCCTCGTGCTTACTAGAACTTCAGCACCTCCTGCAGCACAGCTACGTAAAAGGACGACCCCAAAGGGCACGGCCTTCACGCATCAAGAGGTAACTGAGCAGCATCGTAGCTCCCCTCTACGCTAAAAACCTTATAAAAAAACAAAAAAGAGACATCATAGGCTATAACTATAAAAAGACAAAAAAAACGTAAAATAGAAAAAAAAAAGTAGATAACAAAGGCACGCCCTTGTGAACCGTTGTAGTGTCCAGTCTTGGACATTTTTCGAGGGCGGCACCAAAACGGGCGTAGAAGTGGCTACGTTCGGCATAGGTAGGTGTTTCTGTTAGTCTTACCTACTAGCTAGATTAGTTGTTATGCCTATGACCAACTTAATAAGTGCAGTATGACTTACGACTTACCACAACTACTGAAGTGCAAAGGCCCTGGCATTTTGATCCGTGCGCGATGCTGTGACTATCTGTGTTATGGTGTTGCTGTTCCGTAATTCCTAAACCTATACAACAAGCACGGGCACCCCGATATCAGTACATTTACATGCTCAACCTCTTGAAGATTACGTATACGTTGAATGTGCGAAAGGTGAATTCTGTGGGCCTTCACGTGTTTGTTAACAGAGCCTTATTTTTGTGCAAAGTACCTGTAGGACCTGTAGGAGATAGATCTGCGTCTTCTACGCAGAGTTACTGTTATACCTGGAAGGCGGCACTCCTGGTAGCAACAAGCTAATTGATTTTCACATCCATTTACCGTGTCACCGACGTAATTATGGCATGACATACTTGAGTCTTCCATTTTCGTACACGCCACGCAGATGGTACGTATCAATCTCCGGCGTGGGGATAATGCGAGACCTGTAAGACACATGTAGCAGCTACTTCTTACGCCCAAATTATCGAGGCGGTCGTTGTTGGATAAGTATACTTTCAACAACGAAATGGGCATCGAAAGCAGTCAACAACAGCGAGAAGGCCGTCACAGTTAAGATCAGAAGTGTTATTAGACTACGTAGACGAACTATAGAGGGAGGCTCAACGCGAAGTAACGAGATCTAGCGTTGAGCCTCCCTCTCTTGCTGATGAAGAGTGTCGCACAGTTTCAGAGACTGATCACTATCTAGAAGCATCAACCCTCTAGGCGAACGGTGTGGAGTCGCTAGTCTGAAACCCTTAGCACTCGCGTAAACCGCACTAGAGGCAGTTTGCGAAGAGTCGGTGTATAATTTAGTAGAGGGCGAGCTTCAGACAACTAGTGCTCTATATATAGAGGGCAAACGTATTTAAGTTGAGCACGCGAAATCCTTCGAGGATTGAGAACGAGAACGCCTCGAGATCGATTTTTCGACAACAAATCTGATTTATCGAATTGTTCTTACTGGTTGAAAGAGTCGATCTACGAGGTGGGTTGGAGTGTGAAAGGAAGTTTACAAGCGACGTATCTGCATGGATTTACACCGTCATATTTGAAACAGTTCACTTCCAAACTTGACGACAGTGAACCTTTCCTCCCAGCCCAGAAATAGAAGGGCTTGGAACTTATAGAACGGGCAAGCTTCTAGCCCAGTATCATTGGTGTATCTGTTATTTCGATTTACATAAGTACTTACTTCATACCAGCAATTATCTACATCGCCATATTTACGCAACACACATAACGACTTCGATAATCGCCCGCCCAGCTAGTTAGTTATCTCTGCTGAAGATCAACTATAGTTAAACTATTGATGATAGGGCTCCACACAGTTAAATCTAACGAAGTTGCTGCGATTTCACGACCTACACATTTTGTTGTTTGTTGATTTTAGTGATTGTGCATTTGGATGTGAAGCAACTCGCCCCAGGCCTTCGCTGGGACTCGTTGTGAGATATTTTCGTCTACGCCTTCGCGAGACTTGTGAACTACAAGACCGATTGAAAGAGACTTTTGGTGTACGTTTGTAGTTCGCCAGGTATAAGGGAGACACAAACATCAACGACCGGCCAGTGCGCTTTACGCCATCAGAGTACTGTTCGTGTTTGCTGTTTGAGAGGCTATCTCAGCGGGTTCCTGTGTCTGCACCCATCTGACAGGGATCCTGAAAGAGTGAGTTGCTGTTTCCATTTTTACTTACCCATGAGTCAAGTGCTTCCACGTCGCCGATATATGCCAATGTAGAAATACAGTCGTTCGACGTGTCGTCGGTTCCATAGGCCACGCTGTCTCGGTTCGTTTTGGATGAGTTCGATTCATTGTATTTCCAGGCGACAGGAGCATCATCGAGCTCACTTACTTCTTCACTTACCTTTTCGACTTTGTAATGACGAGTGACGAAACGAGAGCTAGTGTGTGAAATGAGACATGATCGAGGCAGCATGCATGATCGTCATAGAATCGAACTTGAATATCTGTGTGTATCTCGGTGAGGTCGATGGCTCTGTAGATGAAGTCTGTGGTTGTCATCCCCTTACTAGGCTTTTCACTTCCACGGCCGTTTTCATTCTTGGAAGCACACTGCTGGAATTGATTTGTCCCCTCATTAGGCTCGGAGTACTAAATGGGACACCATGATGATGATATTATCTCGCATTTGAGTTTTGAGAGAACTAAGAAGTTCTCCCCGTTAGTCCACCTCTCACAGACGCACGTCGTCTCCCATTCCAACCTACCTCCAAGGATCCCATTTTATTTATTTATGTGTAAGTAGCAGGTGCTGGTGCAAATTCATCAGTCTTGATAAGAACTCATTTTGATTGGGTAGATCTTCCACTCATGTTATCCGAATGTCACTGTTGAACCTTTCCATTGAAACTCCCAATGAATTTCAATCGTAGCAGAAAGTCGAAATCAAGAGCGGCAATTCTGAAGAGTCAGTTTCAGTTTGTATTAAGGATTTCCACGACTTAAGAGAAGTGGCACATGAGAACACATACATAGAAGAATACCGTAATCATATCGTTGTTAAGCTAAGCATCAGCATCTACGAAGTAGAAGAACTACATCAGCGAACTAATTGATATACCACAGAGGAGGAGAACAATAGCTCAAATCTACATCACTCACAACTACTAGGATACCAAAAATCAAGTCCAAGAGGAACAAAATGTCAGAGAATTGCGAGAGGGGTCCAGGTGGCAACGAGGTGTGTCAGAGGAGGGGTAATATGTTAAGGCTAGTTTGTTTCTCACTAACTATCCGCATCCAATGATGTGGAGTATGCTGAGTGGAGTCAGTCCCCCTCGATCATTTAAAAGGGAAACTAAGGGGGACACTGACACAGGGCATGATGCATCTCACTCAGCCAAGGATTATAGTGAAAAACAAGCGCTAAGTATGCGTGGTGGAGTGAGGAGTAGTACCTCCACATCTACTTCTACCACATCTACTTCTATGTGGTCGAAAGAAGGCGGAAACTTGGGACGAGCAGGGGTAGATGAGACGAAGAATGAGACTACCTCTACTTCTATTAAGGCAACCGCTGATGAGGCATCCTCAGCAGCATCGATCCTTGTCTCTTTTTCTAAGGACTTGAAAAAGAAGCCAAGAATGGGTTCTGAGGGATGCGAGCGCGGTTGCTCTAATTCCACTTCGAATCTCCGTGGTAGTGCTAACATAGCCCAGCAGCCTCAAGTTGAAGAACTTATGACTCAAAGATGGCCTTTTAGAGTCTGACTTTTTTTTATAATCGTGCAAGACTTGTCTGAACTTTTTCGTTTATAGAAGAATCTTTGTACTAGTATTCTAGGCGACCTTATATGTCCCGAAACAAAAGATATGTATCCACCTGAGTCATCTCTCGCTCCTACCCACTCTAAGAAAACAGTTGTAGAGATAAAAACACCACCGACCCAGACACCGAACTTCCGAAGCTCTGTTATCGCACCTACTGCTACTTCTACTCCGACTGCTACTCCTGCTGCGGAGGCTGTTCCTGCTGTACCTGCTGTGCCTGAAAACAAGCTGAATTTGAGGGGCTCGGCAGAGAACGCCAAGACGGTAGACGCAAGCACTGTAGACCAAAAGCATGGACATCACCATCACGTTCACGATCACTCGGGACATCATCATCATGACCACGGACATGGACACGAGCACGGACATGGACACGATCAGGCTAAGGCAACAAGTGTTCTATCAGTACTGTACCGTGTGTTTGTGTAGGGTGTCTAGAGCTACCCTACATCATGTGAGAAGTGGCAACTCATAGGACTCTGCGCGGATGCGTTTAGTTTCATTCTCTTGAGTAAAGTAGTTTCTTGAATTCTAAGGCCAATGAGATTATTATGGGAAGGATTGCAAGAGACGGCTCCAAAAAATTCAGGGGATGAGAGGTCGTTCCAAAAAATTCTAATCACAGACACGGACACCACCATCATCACCATGCTCATGATTTTGCGGGACACAACGAACACGAGCATAATGACGCTGCCCATAAGGCCAAGGCGCAGTTCAATAAGACTTACGGCACATTAAGTAGTATTTGAACTCTGCACATTCAGTAGTGTTCGAAGTTCAATATGAAAATATTTTGAAGCTGCTCTGGTTTTTCAGTCTCATGTCAAGTAGAAGATCGTAGAAGATTTTTTGTCGTTTCGTCTCAACATCTGGAGATATCCTTGTCCACCATGAAGATCTTTTCTCTTCTAATCTCCGAACTTCCGACGACCGAGTGCTTCTGGCGACGCAGATTCGAGTGAGCCTTCGCAAGAAGATGAGACGGATACGCGTACCACTACCAATTTGCGTGGAAGACGGGCTCCTAATGATTAAGGCTTCTTGTAGCGGATGTTTGTTTATTGTTTGACGATAGAAGGAACTGACAGATTCTTTCTAAAACAGGTAACGAAAGTGAACCACAATTGCGAACCACCCTCACTCATCACCCTCACTTACCACCCTCAGCCCTCACTCACCCTCAGTCTAAGAACCTAAAGCTGGCGCAGGGAAAGCTGCGGGAGTCGAGAAGCACCATTTCAGACGAGCTCTGGAACAGTCGGGCGGTCGCTTCTATCGCACTCTGCAGCTGGGAGGATGTTTGATGATTGTAATCCCACTGATCTACATCATTCGTAAAAAGCTGTGGGCGTTCTTCTTTCAACAGGCTGACAACAGTCGGAAGAAACTTACGGAATGGGGGAAAGTTGAATTCATATGTGATATTGATATTGATACGCATAGGCAGCTGAAACTCAAGATATTGCCAGGTATAGACAAACCTATTATAAGTACAGGTATCCTGACGTTTTCGTGTAACAGCTAGGTATCCTAAAGAGTAGCTATTACAAGAACGTCATAGAAAGCACCACTTTCGTCCATGTCCCCTTTTATTCCCCCGGAAATCCCCTCCCCTCCCCTTCCTAACCCCACCCCCCTTTTCCTTCCCTTTCCCTTTCATGTTCAGCGATTCGTCTCGCGTGCCTTTGCCAGATGTGGAGGAATGTGTCCGCCAATTGAATTTTGATGATGAGCTACCTGATTTGCCACCGTTGCCACCATTTAAGGCTTTTCCTAATCTTCCATCTCTACTTCTACAGAGATCCCTCAACAGTACTCTATCTTCATCAGGATATAGAACCCTATAGAGGAAGCTCTAAACCATCGCGTTCGACTCTGCCGAGCCCCGCCAGTATTATGCCTAGTCCTGCATCCAGTATGTGTTCAGGAAGTTTGATGCCGAGTCCCGCTTCCAGTATCGCACCCAGCCCCGCTTGCTCGCCACCGGGGGATCATATGGCGAGGGTACTAAGTAAACAACCGGTTAGTTTTCCTTATATCCTAGGTGTATCCCTACATGCAATACAACTATCGCTTTCACTGTATTCAGGAAGAAGATTGATAAACTTGCTTCAACTAGTACAACCTACACTCTAGAACACTCATCATTATACACTTGTTTCAATTCTTCATCCTCAGTATTAGTTGGGTCCTTTTTTGCAGAAAGATTCTAACTCCTTTTCGTCAAAATCTTCTGTCCTAGTAGATGTCGTAAAAGGGTATACGCAGAATTTTAGACCGTCACGGTTTAGGAATAAAAACTCTGCGCCATTTTTGGTGGCGTTTATTCTTAAAATGACAGCGAGCGACCCCGACGATAGAGAGAAACGCGACGACAGGAATAAACGCCGCTCCAAGTTGTGAAAAGCGTGCGCGGCTTTGCTTGTTCGGTGTGTTTATTCTTATCCCGGGAAGCGTTCCCTAGATCGTCTCTTCGCCTATCGTTCTGCAGTCGGTCTGGAGCGAGGCTCGCGAAATGGTTCGAAATTGTAAAGGATGCGCACACCGCCCGCAGAGTTTGGCGTCCAACGCTGTCCGGCATTCGCGCAACTCTCGGCCGCGCGCTCCTTTGGCCCTCGTTCGCTGAAGGTGGCAGGATGAAATCGACGACAGACGCAGGCCGCGGCGTGGCTCGTTGTTTGTCTGGCTATTGTGTTGCGCCTGTCTCTCTGTGGCTGGGTCTGTGGTGTGTGTGGGGGCCGGCTGCAGATGAGGACAGCGCGGCCGCGGATATGTTCGCCGGCGGTCGGTCATTCGGTGTCTGTGTTCTTTGTCTTCCGTGTTCTGCGCCATCGCCTTGGGCTGGCTGTTTCGTGCGGTTCATTCGCCTGCAGCCTCTTGCGGCGTTGTGGCCGGCGTCGTTCGTCCACTGGGTGGATTTGCAGGGGTTTCGATTAATTTGATTCCTCATCTCCCCCCCCACCCCCTAGAGGCTTGCGGAGCTGTCTGAAAAAACCAACTCGCTTGCAGGGCCTGCGCCAGTCTTGGTTCAGCTGACTGCGGGCTCCTGCAGGTGGGTGGGGCTCTTTTCGTGGTAGATGCACCTGCTAAGGGCTCTCGGGGTGACCTTGGCCAGGGTTGGCGGCGTTCTTGTTCGGCTTCTTTTGGGTTGCTTCCTAGCTACGCTTCACCCTTCAGAGGCCTGCCAATCAAGCAGAAACGCGGGCCGGCATGCTGTGGGGTGGATTTGCAGGGCCTTCGCGTTTTGCTGTTGGCAAGCTCGGCCTCTCTCGGGTGTCTATCCTAGTCCCCTTCGTCGGTGATATCGTTGTCCGCTTTGTTTGTTTCTCGAGCGTCTCTCTGTATTTCCACGGGGGAGAATGTGAAGGGCCACACGATTGTCTCGTTTCTCGGTCTTCTCTCCTCGGTTTAGGTATAAACAGCCCTCGGCAGTTGTGCTTTTCTTGTCTTCTCCAATTATATTCGAACTTTGGTTCCTCCTTTTTTCTTCGTAGCCGAGTCCTGGTTAGCGCTTCCAAATATCTTTGCGTCACATGTTTTTACCTATCGTAGCGTTGCCGCCTATCGTTCTGCAGATGTACCATGTAGATGTTGTAAAAGCAAGCCCACCAGCACGTTCATTGATTTATACCTAGGTGTAATATTAAATGAATCTACAACAAGAGAACTGCACAACCTTCCACCACGACCATCACAAGAACAACCACTCACAACAGGTGTATTCCAGTTCTTCAGTGAAGCGCCGTACACGTCAGATGCCAGCTCAGTCCTACACGTTTGTCAGCACAGCTGGTCCATGCATGTATACACACTCTTCGACTTCGTATACACCATTTGAGGAGGAGCCAGTTGCTATCTTTGAAAAACCGATGTTGAAGCCGGTATTTGATATTGCTATCTTTGAGTTAGCTGCCGCGTCTCTACTCGGGTCGCTACGGAACCAGGCAGCTTTGAGTGAGCTGCTACGTGGTTCGAATGAGTGAATGAATGAACAATGTTCTTGAAATCGATAGTGTATTGCCTTCCTAAAAATGATGTTCATGGTGTTGAACACGAATTCTTATTGTATGACCATCCTCAAAGCAAAGTGTAATTGAAGTGTCCCATTAATTATCCTTTCCAACTTAAACAAGGAGATCAATTTCTCCTTTCATCCAACTTCTCAACTTCCATCCCCTTACCTTCAACCCTTTTCACAGACAAGCAAGGACAGTGTTGGTTCCACGATGTCAGCGTCGAGCAGTTGCTTCGGGTTTTCGAGTGGCGAGGAGACGGTCTAGGTTTGAGAGTATCTTTGAGAAGGAAAACTTCAGCTGTAGGGAGCTGATTAAAGGTGACAAAAAGATAGAGTAGAGAAAAATTCCCGAAACGTACGAGAAATGGCTGGTGGTCTACATCGATGGCTTTGAGGCTACTTGCAAACATATTTCGACGATATCTATATTAATAAGAAAATCAGTATTTGTTGAGATAGAGCATATGATGTTGATGCTGATAGCAGAAAAACGATTATAAGTTCAAGCTTTCCGAGACGCGATGGCGATTGGGTCATAGGACGGCAGAGTAGAGTAGGTTACGGCCTTACTGACGTTTCTGGTTGCTGTATTTTGATGACTTTCTGATGTTTTAAGACGAGAAAATATCCTGTACATTTGATCCCCAAAAGCATTATCAAAAAAATGAGTGTGAACATATCGCAAATTTATAATCAGCACGTAAATTCACGCACCCTAATGCTGTCTACAATTTTCGATTATTATCTTGTATCCATTCTTATCTTTTATCTTCATATTGAACAACATCTTACAACCATTGTTGATTCACACTAAATAACCCTCTTACTACGTATTATCATTGGAAAAATACAACTGCACCTACATCACATTTGATTATCCTTGTTTGTTACGCATCACGAAAAACTAATTATGTACTTCCTTCAGAGCTGTCCTTGACTAGCAGAATATCTTCACACTACCGTATTTGAAAAATTTTTCTGAATTGAATTCAATGTAATTATCGATTAGAAGTCATAACTAACAAATTATTGATCTTCTTCTATTTGGTATTTCCTTCGTAGAGTCGGTCGAGGGATACAGACCTAATAGCGTGTCAGCTCAAATTTTTATTCTTGATTGGTAGCCGATGCCGAGAAGCTTCTCGCACAAAAACCGGCTTAAGCATGTAAGAAAATTGCAATTCCTTCAATTGGATAGAAGATGAAAGAACTCGCGTAGACGTATAGAAAGAAAAGTGTAAGATTTACTTGTACAAACTATCATCATGACTAGAAACAATACAACGACGACGACAGGACGTCTACCATCTTTTGCCGTAAGCACCTAAAAATATCAAGTCTCTGTGAGCTAGAAAAATGTCATGGAATATTATCAGCATCAGGGACGCGCCATACGTGATGAAACCACGGTAAAACGATGGATAGATTCCAAGAATTTCAATTATATCTCAAAGAAGCAGAGGACTAACTAAGGACAACGTCTTTCTGCGACGAATATTGGCTACTATGTAGCTGTGAGGTACTACGTCTTCAAAAAAAGATCTAGATGAAAAAAACGATAGTTTCTCGCCTGCTGACACTGTTATGATATTAATAAGTGCGAATGTAACAAAAAAACTGCAATTGAAAAGTGATTGTACAGAAAATTGCCGACTCCTCTTCTTTTTCCGTGCTGCTCCTGCTCAGTGGGCTGCTGGTTGACTACTCCTCGGATTCTATCCGTGCAGCAAGGTTGTTCAGAAAACAGATAAGTATGGAGGAAAATGAAATGAGACAAGTGAAATGAAGAGAGACCTCTTTGTCAGAAGTCTATTTCTCAAGAAGTTTGCGAAGTAGTATTGAAGCATGATTCCTCGAGCCATGGCCTCTGCCAGATCGCAAGCAAGAGAACTTCTAACTCTAACTCTAAATTGAGAAGTTTGAAACCCTGAGAAATCTAGTAATGAAAAGACAGGAGGAGTTGTCATGGATCGAGGTGAGTCCTCTATTTCCGCAGGATCTTGGCCTCTATTTGTTGATCTTGTCGAAAGGAGCAAGATCCTCTGTTTCCACAGGATCGAGGGATTAAGCTGTTTGGTCGCCAAAGCTGTTTTTTGACAGCGAGGTAGGATCACGTAGAATCGAGTAAACCATGGTCGAGCAAGTTCCTTCCGAGGCGGCAGCCCCGGAGGTGCATCCTGCGCCAGAGAGCGCCTCTCAGGAGGTCCCTCCACCACCGAAACCTAGAACCGAAGAAGAAAAAAGGGCAGCTAGGAAAGCAGACGAAGCGAGAATGGTAGCGGAGATGAATCGGAGAGGGTACTATCAATAAAAGGTCGATGCTCTCTTGTGGCATGTGACGTATACTATTGGAGGAAAATCAAAATCAAAAGTTTTTTACCTTCACCTCTCACTCCGTTCGCACTTCTAGCTCTTTTTCTGTTGTCACGATAAAACTTTGCGTCTACAAGGCCCACGTGGTGCTAGATTTGTATATAATTGATTAAAACGGCGGTAGCATATAGTCCTATGGAAGAAGAAAAAAAGTCAACGCAGATAGTTTTAGGGTTTGGCCGTTGTGACACGGTCTTCTTGCTCTCCCGGTATGTAAATTTTGTAAATGGATTGTTTAAGTAGTTGAATGGGAGGCGGCATGTAGTCCTATGGAAAAAAAAAACAACGCAGAATTTTTGCGAGTAATGAATGAATGAATAAAGGAACACATTTCCTATCGCCTATCGAGCACTTCCGCACAAAGAAAAAACCAAAAAAAAGGTACGAAATAGTCCCGCCCAACAGCGACGACGATTGTGACCCGCATGACATGCAGGGTATGAGCAAGTATCCTTCGTGTCCTCCAGATGTGTGCAAGGAGAAGGGCAATCTAGCCTTCAAGGAAAAGAAGTACAAACGAGCAATCAAGTACTATCAAGGCGGGCTGAAGGGCATCATGGGTATGCTATGTAAGGGACCAGAGATGCTACGAGACGAAAAGCTGTCAGAGTTGGACCTGGTGCTGAATTTGAACACGGCACAATGCCACATCAGTCTGGGAGAGCCGGAACTTGGTATTACCTACTGCGACAAGGCATTGAGGAGAAGAGACGCTTTGAGTACGCCACAACTGGCGAAAGCGCTTTACAGGAAAGCCATGTGCTACGGGGAACAGAAGACGAAGACTAGAGTTATGCTTGCGGAATTGGAGTTCTTGTTTCTTTGTTCTTATCCAGATTCAGTGTCGTAGTCATGAAAGACTGATCTGATTCTCAAGTTGTAGCATCATCTATTCCTAGTAAGGGAGATATCTTCACGCTTTATCGATTCCCTCTCTTCCCTTTCATACCGCAAACCATGGACATTCTTGAGGACTGGAAGATTTGTTTCATTGTACCTACTCACTGTCGTAGCCATGTAGATAGTATCCTCTGATGTAAATAGTGTCCATTAATGTACTTAGTCATCTTCTGCAGGAGAAGTCATCTTGACCTTGGCTTCCTATAAAGGATCCTATCCTCTTTCATACCCCAAACTATGGACATTCTTGAGGACCTCCTGCACAATGTGGACCCAGACAACAAGGCTGCCCAGCAATACTACAATGTCAAGAAGAGGGAGTGGCTGGCGCAAAAGAAGAAAGACAAAAGCACCATGAAGAAGCTCTTTGGTGCCTTCGAGAAGGAGTCAGGCTCCTTGAGGATGGAGAAATTAGCTGCACAGAGGAGAAAACTAGAGCTGTTCTTTGGAGGGGGTACAAGTACAAGTACAAGAAGTACAAATACAAGTACAAGTACAACGGCAGGAACAACAGGAACAACAGGAAAGGAACAGTCCCCAGTGAGTCCTAGCGCTGGACCTACGACAGCATCGAGTTCGTCATCGTCACCGCTGTTATGAAGGAAGGTTTGTGCTAGGTAATCCATCAAGAATGAGCTAAACGGCCTCTCAAATGATTCCTCTACTTGATACCTCTTCTTCCTCTAAGCTCAGGACATTTAGACGAGAACTTTCTCTATGTTTTTTCCGATGACGCTGTTGATCTTTTCGGATTAAGGAATAGAAGCCCGTCGAAGCCAGCTGCAGGTATCGGAAATGGAGGCGAGCGTGGAAGTGGAGAAGAGACTTGTCGAGATGGAGAGTCCGGGTCTGTCGAAAACGAACGAGAAGCTGCTTCTGCTGCAGGGCCGAAGACTAAATTTAAGGCAAAAGTCGACTTGTAAAGGCAATTTTCTTTTTCGCCATTTCTAGTTTCGTGTTCTTCTTTTTCGTACGTCTAATGTGTGACTTCTACGCCTGTAAGATTTCGTTGCTTGAATTCCACTAGATTTCTTTTTCTCATCAAAGGGAGTAGATGAGTACTACGAGATGATGCCATGTTATGCCCCTAACGCAGCTAATGGCGCGGATTGGAAGGAGGAGCTGTCAAATATGGCGAAAACGATGTCTCCTTTAGAGCTCGCGCAAGTGTGCCAATCGGTAAAAAGTCACGATCGAAAAATGTGGCCACACCAACTGCGAGATACCTGTCTCTACTCTCTGATGCAGCATTGCCTCACTGTGGAGTCGGAGCCGTCTGCTGGACGTGATATGTTATGGTGAGGAGTTGCAGCTATCTAATACGAAGTGCGGGAAGTGGTAGACAGAGGGGCCTTCGTGGTCAGCATTTTTGCACGACGGGGCAGCGGGGCTAAGGTGTAGCTGCGTCGCACGTGCTCCGCGCACATCGAAAGCGGAGAATGCCCGCCGCCGTGTGGTCGCCGCTCCTCGCGCGCTGCCGTGGTCCCTACGGCGAACCTGACGGAGGCAAGCGCGCGAAAGCAGTCAGGGGCGCCCGAGGCAGGTGGGAGACCGTGCCCCAGCGGCGGGGGCGCGCCTCGGTTCGCCGCCGCTCACTTGGGAGGCGTTCGGATGGCAGGCGTGGCAGTGCGGCTTTACGCATGGGGACGTGGCTGAAGGAAATGAGCGGTCAGGCGCTCTTTTCGACGGACTCGCGCAGGGTGTTCCAACGTCCCTGCAATGCTTGACACGATGCAGAAGCGCCCCCGCCAAGGGTACTTGGATGCAAATCGAAAAGCGACCGAGTTGGCGGGAATGTGTTGCCCTCGGTTGGCTCTGCTTCTAGACGGCAGCGGCGCAGCTATCGGCAAGCGCCCCGCTTAGGGGCTCGGGCTAGATGCGAGGGGGCCCGAAGGGTGCCGCCTGTCGGCATGCGCCACAGATATAGCGGGCGAAATCGCCCATGGAATGACGGCGCCCCGTGGGGCTTTCTCCTGGGCGCGGCGATCCTAAGACCAAAGAGGAGGCCCACCGTGGCGGCTGGGCTCATGCGGGTGACGTGGTAAGAGGTGCCCCAACAGAAGAGGCGCGAAGCCTTGGAATGTGCACAGGCGCACCGCCGAAGCCCACCGTTCATTCTAGCTGTGTCGAATTGATGGGGCAGCATGACAAGGAAGGCCCCGCCGGTGCACCAGGTAAAAAGGGGGCGGCCTCTCCTGCGGCTTGGTGTTCCCGCGCGCGGTCCGGCCCCGCCGCTTCGGCTGCTGATTTGGGGCCACACTCTCGCCAGAGGGGACAAGCGGCGGAAAGTTAGAAGAGGACCGCGCCCACGACCCAGCCGCACAGAGGAACGCGCCCGCCTGGAGATTACCAGGGCCAGACGCGTGCGGGTGCAACAGAGTAAACCCAGGAAACAGACCCGACGCGCCAGGGTTTCCCCTTCAAGGAAGCGGGCTGCGTCTTTCAGGCTACGGATGAAGGCGGCCGCCCAGGTCGTGAGATACTGACTCTCGGCGAGGCGGGGAGCGAGTCGCGTATGGCGTAAAATCTTGAAAAATGGCGGGGGTGCTGCGCTGGGTCGCCTGCTGCCCGTGCGGGGCTGAATGAAGGCGCTGACAGATTGGCGGCGCCCGACGTTGCTTACTGTTTTAGAGAGGGCCCCCAAATGGGGCGGGTATGCTCGAGAGTTAGCAGGAGGCCGCGCGAGCCTGCCGCAGAAAGCACAAGGCTGGCCACAGAGGCGGAAGGAGTGGGGCGGCGTGGTGAGGATTCTCGCAGAAAGGAGGCGCAGGAACAGCGGGGCCGGCAGCTGGCTCCTTCGCTTGGCTGTGTCTCTCTCGTGGCCGTTCAGTGTTTTCGGGGGTTCTTTGCCGTGTTGCTCTGTCTTGGGAGGGGGCGGCGCCGGCGAGACAGGCGGCGCCAGCCCATCACTGCATTTCTGGACTTTGTTTTGGCCCCATCAGTCGAAGCTGGTAGCTGTCTGTCGGTTTTGGCGGGGCTTTTATCTTCATCTCACCGCCGGCTGTGTTCCTTGCGCGTTGTCTGCTGATGTGTGCCGGTGTCGTGCCAGCCTTTCGGCGGCCTTGCCCTCTCGTTTTTTCACAGGCCAAATAGGCCTCCTAGATACAGTGTAGTGACGCCAGAAGTTGGACCAAGAGCAGACCTTCTGCGCGCTCTGCGCGAGTGACTACACACTTACTTACTTTTGCTCTAATTTTCGGCCCGAACTCGAGCGTGACTCTCTGGTTTCTGGGCGCCTCTGGATCTTTTGAGCTCCAGTTTTTGGACCCCGAGTCGTGGCTTGACGCGATTCCCGCAGCAAAGATCAGACTCGTTTGTGTAGGTTTTCTTGGGGAGAAGACTCCGGAGGAAGCGGATATTCCCGATCGAAATAAACCAGAAAGCGATGGCGTCTGGAAGCGGGTAGAGCGGCCTACGACTAGTGGCGCTAGCAGGGAATGCGTTATCTTATGAAGAAGGCCCGTCATTTAAGTATCTGAACCTTTCTCTTGCGATAAGTGTTGCGTTGATCTAAATTGTGATTGTGATCGAAAATTTATCCTTCAGCCATTCTTTCACCTAGGTTATCCATCCCAGTAAGGCACACTTCACCATTGATTTAGCCGTTATTGCATGTTTCTAATCGTGGAGGCGTACCATGGCAAGGCAGAGGAGGTGCTTTTTCAAGCTGGTGGAGGCTGCTTCTACGAGAAGGGCGCAGGAGATGAGCCCCATATGGTTTTCCTGTTGCAGCCTTATCTTAAGACTGGTCTTATACTTGGTAGCATCGTTTTGAGTACTTGATTTGAAGTAGGTGACCTAGATAGACCCATCAAATGTTTAGCTCGTACAGTTTTAACTTTTGATAAAGCGCTCTTTCTCTCTCTCTAATCACTTCCATCGATATCTTACCTCTTGGTGGGAGCCAGTGCAGCGACTGATTGAAGAAAAGCTTCCATTCTGCATCATCGGAGGTTCAGAACCGGACTACAGTTTTACACAAGACGTGAAAATCCTCGAAACTGCAGGAGCGCGTGTTGTGCTAGGGCCCGTGAAGAGTCCGTACCCCATGCGATTAGATCAGGCAGCCAAGTGTCACCACATCATCGTATCACAGGGAGGACCAGCAAGACGTGGGATGACATCCATGAATGCGAAGCTGGAATTATTGGCGGCGGATGTTCATTTGGTGGGGAAATAGCAGTTTTTGGATGCTTAGCTTCTGCTACTGTATTATATGGACGGGCGATAAAGACGTTGTCAATATCTACGCTCTTCATGAGCCTAAGATTTTTTCAATGGTAAAACTACGCTTCGAAAGACCATACCACGTACCAATTATGAAACTTTCTCTTGATCTCCCACCAACCTTACTCTCGTAAACTAGCTGACAGCGCGTCACCTCTTTCCATGTGGATGGTATGGCGTCTACATGCAATGAAAAATTTACTACGTGGTCAAAGACGAGTCAAAAAAAAGCATTTACGCTCGAGCGCAAAATTCTCAAATGTAATCGTGTTCTCTCAACACCGAGTTCGTCGATCTTAGTATGCGTCAGCAGCGGACGCAAAACCTAGAATTCCGTATATCAGAAGAATTGACTTTAGCAATTGCTCGAATCCAGTCAAATCTTGGACCAGGAATCGATCATTTTCACGCGGTCAACTCACACCCCCATTTAGATCCTTCGCTCCACTGCTGATCTGGATCTCAGAAGCTCTGCGTAGTTCTGCTTTTAACTTTTCTGGGGCAATGCAGTTCTTAGGGTTTTCAATTGCGATCTATCTTTTGTTTTCAACATTTTCTTTTGTAAACGCATTCAACACCAGATTGGGAATTCTACTCAGAGCGAAGTTCTAGTTTGAGACGTCCTTTTATCGAGTAGTACAGTAGCACAGCGTTGAGTTCTCTTGAAGTTCGCAAGTTTTGATTTTAATTGTTCCGTGTCAAAGGTAAGATGCAAAGTGAATTAGTTGGCTGATTAAATTAAGAACTTTTTCGCAGTGCTTTGTGATCGTTCGTGCGCATTTCGTTTCCTTCTGCAGGCTGCCGCGTCGTCAGAAAAATAGCGGCCACTCGCTCTCAGTCAAGTACGTACGTCACAGTGGACACGTGCTCCTTGGTGCTATCAAACAGTGCTCATCCAGAATGCTCACAGAAAACGGAGCCTGAAAAGTCCAAGCTTGACGGCTTCTTGATCTTCCAACAAGCAGACCGTGCCTTTCCTAGAACAATGACGCGACACTTCTTCCGCGAAGTAAGGATCTAACTATATGCACGACGACACACTAACCAGTGAGTTGTATTACCTAGCGCTTGATACCTGCCTGGTTAGAAGTAGCGTCGCCACAACAGTAGCATCAAGATGGCAGAACCAGAGCAAGATAAGCCCGAGTGGGCTCAAGAGTTGCAGGATGCGGTAGTGTTACTTAGCCGATCGAAGGGTGGAATACGGATAGAGAAGCAGGCGCAACGCTGCGGACTTAAAATGGCGAGTGAATTGGGGACGAAACGCGTCACGTACTAAAACTATAATTACGCTTTGTCTTATTTGTCCGGGAGTGCTGAGTCAGTTATTATATCCATTCCCTGCAGATGGTCCATTTGTGAGATGAGAGTCTGCCCACTCTCTGCAGATGGAGCGGGATAAACAAAGCGCCACCGGTGCAAAACTTCGCCCGCAATGGAATGGGCAGACCCCCCGGCACGGGCGTCGCTAGTAACAGCGTCCGCGCTGCTGCAGCTGCAAGCCCAAGCACCAGAATAGGGCCCCAACAGTAAGGCAATAAGGCGCCAGCCCATCAACGTGGGAGAGCCGAGGGAGCTCGTGGGCCGAAGGCCGAGGGAGTTTTGGGGCAGCGGTCACGGCGGGGGCGTGTGTTAGGACGCGATCGTGTGGGGCTCTCACTGCGGGCGCATGAAGTGAAGACTGCCGCGGCACCCCGGCGCGGCGGGCTCAGGTCGTGCGCCCAAATCAGTGAAATGCGTGCGAGCCACATGCGGCGGCATGGGGGGTCTTCAGCTTTCACGGGTTTGCACCTCTTACCACTCAGGCAGCGCCCCCCGGTTGACTTTAGTCAGGAACGAAAGCCGTCGACATCTTCGAGCGCTCCCCTCTGACGCCGCTGCGGGTCGTGTGAAGATAAAGGGCGGCAAGGGATCCAGTGCGCCCGGAAAGTTCACGCCTGCCGAAAGGGGCCAAGCTGCGGCGCTGGCTTTTTGCTTTTTCTTTGCTGTGTTGGGGCAACAATGCATGCCGGCCCCGGTGTGTGTGTCTTTAAAGCATGTCCTTGCTCATACATTGGACCACCGCCATGGGCTCAGTTTTGATTTCAACCCAAGGCGAAGAAGAGGGGGCGGCGGCATGAAGAGAGTGGGAAGCTTTTGCGCAAACCGCTCCGGGTCACGGCTGGGCCATCGGGGCCCAGCTCGTCCAGCAAGGGGCCGCAATAATGCGGCAGGCGACGGATGCAGCGACCCGCGTGGTGACAGCCGCCCGCGATGAAAAAAAAGCGCGCCAGACGCTCAGCGCCGCCCTGGAGGTTGTTCAGGCGGCAGGCAGCGGCGGGAGACGCCGCTGAGGGTGGCGACGCCTAAGCTTTCGAGCTGGCCGCGGCCCGGCTGGCTATCTCGCAAAGAAACGGCTCGGAGCTCCGCGGCGCGCGTCAGTCTGCGCGTTGGGTTCAAGCTTGAGAGAGGCGGGGAGCCCAGAGGAATATAGCCCAGGCATCGACCGGCTGAGCTTCGGGGAGGGGCGTGGGCGCTTGACAAGGGGGGCTGCCGCTAGGGAGCTGCCACGGGGGGGGTGTCTTGGCCCGCGTCTGGTAGTGGATGCGCCACGGCTCCGAACGGGTGGCGCGGTGTGCTGGGATGGGTTTACAGCTGGCGCTGGTCTGGTTCGGCACCCACGCAGCTAATTCCTCTCGCAGGGGTGGGCGCTTGTTGCCGTGTGAGCCAGATGGCCCAAGGTAGGCGGCGAACGTTGCCCGAATAAATCCAGAGACCGCGGACGGAGAAGGCCCGGCCGTGGCTATCGTTTCTCTTACTTATTACGGATAGGCTGGCTAGGGAACAGCTCGGGACCATTGACGGCGAGCGCGCGGCAGTGGTGGGCCCCGCTCCCACATTCGCACGGAGGTCGGCAGGATGTCGAGGGGAGTCGACTAGCGGACAGCCTTTGGAGCAGTGGGGGCCTTTTTGGAAGCCCTGCGGATGTGGTTGCGGCAGTCGCGCAGTCACTTACTCCATGCTGCTGAATGCGCCTCCTTCTTTCGGGAAGAGGGCCTGCCGCGCGCAATGTTCGTTGCTTCGGCGATTGAAGTCATTCGGTCATCACTGGCGTCGCCTGTTCACGCTCTTACACTCGTTGGGCGACACCATTGGTCGAGCGGGTCGCCAGCTCGACGGCATGGCCAAGGACATTGCCTGCCCCGACTCGTTGTGGGAGGGACTTCCCTCCAGCAAACTGCCGTGACAAGCTCGGCACATTGATGACGCGGCTGCGTGCTGTATCGCATTGGTTGAGCCCACTCCTGGAAGAGATGCAAGAGGCGCAGCGCCGTGATCAACGGGGAACCACTGAGGTTGCGGAAGCCCGCACTCGATTGCACGAAGTTGATCCGCAGAACGACGCGCGCGCTGCTGTTCCGGATCCGCACTCGTTTACAGTACAACCTCCCAAACGGCGCCGAGTCGCGCCAGCCATTCCGCGACCGCAGTATCCGACCGCATTCAAGGACGGCGACGCGTTCTGCGACTTCCGCGCTCGCATCACCGCACTGACGAAGCTTTTCTCTGTGCCTGGTGTGCTGTCTGCCGAAGCACTGCGGTGCAGGCTTCTGAGATCTGGAAGGAGAGAGCCAAGATCTGGAAGGTGTGAGAGCGCCAACATCCTGAAGGTGAGAGCGCCAACATCCTGAAGGCGCGAGAGAGCCAAGACCTGGAAGGCGCGAGGGGGCCAACATCTGGAAGGCGTGAGAGGGCCAACATCTGGAAGGCGTGAGGGAGCCAAGACCTGGAAGGAGAGAGCCAAGACCTGGAAGGAGGGAGCCCAGACCCGAAATAGCGGCCATTGCAAGAAGGCCAACGAACAGCGCAAGAAAATGGCGACGGTGGAGAAAAAAGCGCAGGCTGCCCTTTTGGACAAGATGAGGAGCAGACGACAACTAAGCCCCGAGGGAGAGACACCGCGGGCGTATCGGCTAGCCTTCGCGCCAAAGTGGGGGCAGCTATCCTCGGCCTCCCCCGTGCCTCGCTCTGTGTTTTTTCTCTCTTTTCGCTCGATGGTTTTTCCTTGATCTTCCCCTCGATCTAAGTTGGCAGCACGTGATGGAAGCGCGTGGCACACATCGAGCATGTCAGCCACTGAGTTTTCTGGTTCGGCGCTTATGATATTCTTTTGGGGGTTAGTTTCTATCTTCAGACAGTAAAGGTAGCTCTTTTATTATTCCCATGACTTGAAGTTGAAGGGGGGCTTTATCATATTGTATGTACCTAGCTGATCACAACGATTCTTCTTCCAGGTATTTCCGAGGTCGCGACTATCTGTTTACCTTACTGAGCCTGCGGAAAAAGCATCCTGTTTACCTGCAGATGATAAGTGCAGCACTTGGGAGGAAAGTGACAGAAATAACCAATCCAATTTGCGTAGAGTTGATGGAGACGCTGTTGCGAGAGAGGATTATTTCCAGGGCTAAGTACCTTTACGCAAAGGCTGTTGTAGTTGTCATAGTTTTGATAGTAGTAGGAACTTAGATGCTGAGACGTAAAAGTGCTAATTCACAACTGTGGAGTCTCGCCTTTATCTAGCTGCATGTAAGCTACTAGAATCTCCTCCACCTCCACAGGGAAGCAAGAATTTGCGACAGCAGTAAACCTCGAAAGTGGCCAGAAAGATTAGTCAGGGCGCCGCCTTTTGGAGTGCAGCAGTTTGAGCCAGACGACTTTTACATAGTCAATTTCGAGAAGGACAATCCCTATCACCAGCTCTATGCGGTATTGATTTGTTTTTACTTTTTTGATTTCTTTTCTTTTAATGCATAAATTGTAATTGACTTATTTTTCAGCAAGACCATGTCCCACGACTCCTGACAATCTAATATTCTAGACGGACTCCTCCTACCACTAGTATCACCCACTAAACCTTCACCATTATATCACTACAGGTCGCCATAGTATTCGGGATCGTTTTCCTCGTCTTAGCTCCAGTCTGGCCTTTGTGGTTGAAGATGTTCTTGTGGTATTCCTCTGTGCTGCTCACGGTAGGACTGTGGGCATGCATCTTCATACGACTTTTGCTCTTCATCGTTCTGTGGGTCATAGGTTTCGAATTCTGGATACTACCCAACATCTTTGAAGACACAGTGCCCTGGAACGAGGCGCATCGGCCCTTTGTATCCTTCACGCGGACGGCTTTGGATGAGCAGTTTTTGCTTTTGAGGTACTTTGCTAGTTTTCTAGTTACAGTAGCTTTTACGATTAGTTGTTCATGATGCAGCTTTTTAAGACCTAGCAGTGCTGTCGTCCAGGTCGTGTAATCTAAATTCATTCTTCACCTCCTACATGAACAGGTCCCTCTTCTTCGTCGTTGGTTACGCAGTTTGCGTCGAGTTCCAGAGAACGGGACTTGAATTTGAGGACTTGAGGTGGCCAATTGACGAGATAATAGAATGGGGTGTGCTGAAGATCTCGCCCCCCGTTCCAAGAGGCAACATGATAGATCTTCCAAAACTAGAAGACCTGTTGAAGGAGGAAGCGAAGGAAGCCGAACTTAGGAATAGTAGCGAAGCATCCTCTATTAGTGGTACTGGTAGTGGAGCATCTTCAGCATCTAGTAGTGGAGCATCCTCCTTTAGTGGTACTGGTAGTGGAGCATCTTCAGCATCTAGTAGTGGAGCATCAAGTGAAGATAGTTCATCTGGGATAAACGCGGATGCGGAAGGACAGCCATTGTTTGGGGAAGAGGAGGAAAACTGGCGAGACGTTGGGGCCAAGCTAGTAGATGACGCGACTTGAGATTCGAAGCTCTCAATTTTGTTCATTGGTGCACAAAGCTCCCCTGCTACATGGTAAGGCAACCCCACGCCACTCGTGGAACCCCCGCGATTGAAATGCCGCCCTCCATCTCACCAAAAACCTCGCAATCACCTACGCTCAATTAAGAACTTCTCCCTTCCCACATCTAACGACGACGAGTACTCCTTTTTTATGCCGTTGTTCGCTTTTTAAAATCATCAAAGGTTCGACAACATCAAGCAAATAAGAACTCTTGCCCCTGCGAGCATTTGCCGAATTACGTTTTTGTTCTGATGATCCAAGTATGTTCTGTTGAAGAATTGCATATGTCAGATGATTGGATCAAATTTCAGAGCTCCTGCAGTGGGAGAAATCAACAAGAACATCAAGAGGTTACTTTATAGATCCTGGAAAAAAATAAGAAGCTATGACGCCCTTATGGCAGTCTGCACCGAACTTTGTGCGAGATCAATTGCATTGTAGGTATTGTATTGATGATCAGGCTTTGACTGTTGGATCTGGTCTTTACGCACTTATGACCAACGAAGCGATCTCTAGCCTCTGTGAAAATTGGATCAAGAGGACATGGAAGAAGATCTGGAAACTCAACACTGCTATTAGTTTTGCCCTTCTGGAGGCTATTTTCCTTAATCAGAGTTAGTGGCAAGAATTGAATCCGCAAAAAACATCCATGCAAATAAGAAGTCACATGCACCAGGCTCTTTCTGTTGAACCAGTTACCTCTACTTGCATTGTGGTGAATTGATAACGAGAGACGTTGATACCTAAACTTATTGGTCCGACATTCGTCTAGCAGAAAAAATGGTGAAAAAACGACAACGATCTACCTCTGGCTCCGCCGAGCCTGTGGAGAAATCCAGTACAGCAAAGAGCTTAGCCGCCAAGCTGCGCAAGTTGTATAACGATGTTCCGACCGACAGCACTAGTGCATTAGATGCTATGGATGACGATGGTGTCGATGGTGAAAGTGGCGACGTCAAGAAAGCTAGAGAAGATGCTAGTCGAAGTGCACATCTGAGCACGAAGCTTGAAAACGCAGGTCGCCTGCGATTGCGTGCTGATATCCCCATGTTGGTGGAGGGGAAGAAGATGAGCCGCAAGGAGTTGGAAGATAGTCGTGAGGAAGTTGGAGAAGATGCTGAGGACAGCAAGGACGAAGATATGAGTGCTGAAGAAGTGGACGGGGATTCTGACGATGAGTCTGAAGAAGATGCGGCGAATCAAGAGAACGATGCTTTATCTGAGGGTGAAGATGAGTCTTCTTCTGACGATGCGCCAGTGGAGATTCGAAACGATAAAATTGGTATGACCAGCGAACCAAAAGGCGACAAAGGCAACGGCGAAGAAGCCGCTTCAGAGGACGATGATGAAGAGGGGTCTGAAGAAAACGCGTCTGATGTTGGCAACGACGAAGACGACTCAGAAGAAGCAGCTTCTAAACCAAAAGCAAAGAAGAAGACAGCTCTTGCTATCGACGCTGACCTGGAACGACAATACCAACTCGAGATTCGAGGTCGAGATGCAAAGAAGAGAGAACAAGATTATAGTGCTAATGCTGGAGCTTCAGCTAGTAGTTCGCTTTCTGGCGTAGTCGTTCGCAAACAGTTGGAGCTATACAAGAAGCTTCAAAAAATGCGAATTATGCTGGAACCAGCTCTGCGACGTGTTGCCGATGCAGAGAAAGACGAAGAAGATGCCGATGATTGCATCGATAAAAGCTCAACTTCCAACAAAGCAAGTCATTTCTCACCTGCTGCTCTACGTGGATTGCGTTCTGCTTTGCGTGATTTGCAAGCAGCGACCGTACCAGATGGCTGGGCATCTTCAATGGAGGAGCAACCTGTCAATCATGTCTCCAGTGCAACAGACGCCATCACCACTGCAGCTCTGAATACCCTTGAGCAAACACGACAAAAGACTCAAGTAGCAGTGAGGAACGAACGCGCATTCAAGGTTCTAGATCAGTCCATTCCGGCTCAAATCGAAGCTGCGCTAGAGGATGAGCACTGGCGGAAGAAGGTTGCTTTGCACCGTGCCTCACAGCCTTCTTCAACATTCGACAATACGACAGTCTATGACGATCGCGAATTCTACGCAGCCATGCTTGGAGAGATCGTCCACGGAAATGGGCTCAGCTCTAGCGCTAGTCGTGATGGAACCGATGCCACTGACGGCACATCAACAAACAAGACAAACAAAAGCCTAGCGTCTCGCGTCCAATTGTTGCAGAGTAAGAAGAACCCAGATTGCGATAGGAGAGCCAGTAAAGGGAGGAAAATTCGCTACGTGGCGATTGAAAAGTTGCAGAATTTCATGGTGCCTCGACCACTAGAGAATGCCATGGATGAAGATCTGGTAGACCAAATGATGAACTCACTATTTCGCTAGGTCAATGGATGAACTTCCCCCTAAAATTTTCATGCATTATGAACCTCTTCATTATCAATATTGCAATTCGATTGAACCCACCTCCAGAACAGGTAAATGAATGAATGAATGAATGAATGAACTTGAATCTTGTTTATGTCAGACGCAAGACCGACCCCGACGTCGAGTCTTACGTGCGGCTTCTATATAGTAGTTGTTCTCTTCGTACGCTCAATGCTACGTTTACCTCGGTTACAGCGAGTAAGTAGTTAATGCCTCGCAGTTGTGAATGAGCGCCTCCGCTAAAAGACTGGTTTATGCTAGGATGTGAACGGATGGAGTCGGTTGAGTTGCCCACCTTTTCTGTGAGTTGTGTGACGAGTGACGATGTAAATGCAAATTTACCAAGAAATGTCGCGGCGACCAATCTTTGTCCTCCTGTTGGCCACTGCCGCTTATGGCACGACAACAGTGGCGCCTTTACGTCAACACGTCAGCGGCGCTAGCAAGGGTATCCTCGTTGACAATGGATTTGCATCTGGAGGAGGGCCGCATGATTCCGAGAGCCAAGATGTCGCAAGGCGATTGGCAGCATCCAATGGTCCGAGAGCAGATGATCAGGACTACAACTTCAAACCGATGTCCGAGTTTCCTGCCCACGACCTGCCAGATATCGTCGACGGCGAAATCTCTTTTCCAGAGTTCTACGAACGGTATATCCGAACGCACACGCCGGTTTTGTTTCGCAAGGCACTTGTACTAGGGAACAATCCCACATCAAGTTAAGGCTTCCCCTAACCCATCCCTTCTGTAGGGATCCCTCAAACATATGCGCCCCAATACAAGGGAGATACTGACGCATATGCTTGAGGGATTTCCACAGGGATGAATAGGGGAGAGCTCTAATCAAGGGATGAACATGGTGGAGAGGAAGATCAAATACCTACTACTTCTAACCCCTTCTACAATCTGTGGACAGATGCTTATTTTGCGCAGAATGTACCGGATCTGAAGGTTCCGGCAGAGAAGCAAAAAAGCGAAATTCGTGATGGACCTATGTTATGATCACATGGATGCAAAGTGTTTTGCATGTTTTCTAGATCTAGGTTGCAAGTTTTTTCCAACATCAGTGGGTATCAGTTGATCGATCTTCCAGCGACGTCTCCCAAAAAGCAAGTGCCAATAAACTTTCTTGGCCTTTGTGTAACTACGATCATGTGGTTTTGTCCAGAATCGCTTTTTAGATCCTGCTTTCATGGCCCACCGAGTTGACGATGCGTGAATTCCTGAACCGTTACAAGGCAGAGGAGTTATATGGTATCGGCTATCTGGAGGAGATCGATACCACGCGAAAGCCTGCAAAACTGCTCAAGGAAATGGACTACGAATTGCAGAGCCAGAAGACAAGCAAACGGAAAGTAGATGTAGGAGCAATACCAGGTGCGGGTGGAGGATCTTCTTCTTCTAGTAGCAACAAAGACGAGGATCCACGGACGATTCTTCGCCGAGACGTCGAGATACCACGTATGCTAGCCTGTGGAGAAGTGCTATTTCAGTCTCTGAGCTTTTGGTTCTCTTCGGGTGGCACTATTAAGGCTCAGTTTTCAATGGTATAGGTATCATTTAGATTGGAGTCACTGAGATCGAAGAAGCAACCCCTTGAGAGAACAGGGGAAAACGAAGGGAAAGGGGAGAGCTTTGATGGGGGTCAGTCTCTTCCGTTTGGCATCAGTGGCCACTGACTGCTGGCCTTTGATATGAGTAAGACAATGTGCGCACCACGTGCATTCATTGCTCATGATGTAAGTAAGCGTAATGTAAAGCTAAGGCGATTGCTATCGAGTCATGATGACCATTGAAGGCTGAGCTTTAACACTAGCAGCGTTTTGCACCAGGACGATGCGGATAACCTGCTGATCATGCAGAACGGCAGGAAGGTCGTGACGCTGATAGAGGAAAAGTACTCACGGGAAATCTATGCCAAGCGTGGAGTCAGCAAAGCGCATCAAGACCAGGTGGATTTGAGGGAGTATCCGAGGTTTCGCAATGTACCTAAACTGCGAGTGCTGATTTAAGGGTACAGGTTAAACGGTAAGCTTTTGTTGGGTACTACTTTAAAGGTGATTGCTTTTGTTACTGTTTGTTATGGCTCTCTCCCTTAGGTGGGGGTTAAACGGTAAGCTTTTGTTACCGTTATGGCTCTCTCCCTTAGGTGGGGACAGCCACAACAAGCGGGAGAACCCACGAACAGGAAGAACCTGCACCTCTAAGTGATGGAAGAAGGAGACGCGCTTTTTATCCCCTATGGCATGTTCCACCAAGTAAACAGCGAAGGCGAACGTAACTTAGCGGTGAATGCTTGGTGGTTATTGCAGGACCACTTCAAATGGATGGAGCCTTTGGACGACTCGGTTGTGGATTACGGCGTTGTGAGACCGAAGTTGAGTAATGCGACACATAGTTGTACGCCTTTGTTAAGGCTCAAGAACTTTCAGAAGTGGTCATTGACATTGACGTTGGAGTCACTGAGATCGAAGAGGAGGTCCCTTCTTGAGAGAACCAACAGGGGAGATATAAATGAGAGGGGAAAAGTAGGGGAGAGCTTTGAAGGCTGCCTCTTCCGTTCAGCAACAGTGACCACTAAGTGTCGACCTTTAACTTTGGTAGCTGGTCGTGCTGGTGGTAGTGCTGATCGCTTATACTCCATGAATTTGAATCCCCCAGTGCCAGGCGCTGGCCCACATCCCCGAGTTGCGCCTCGAGCTACGTTTGCAGATGTCTCTTTCTTCGATGAAGGGACGCTGAGGACGGTGATGGAATTGTTGAAACGACGATACCTGAAGCGGCAGCACTACAACATGCGGGAGCAATACGAGTATGAGGAACATTATGGACAGGAGGACAGGACGAGGTTTGTAATTTCTGACTAGCACGAGATTGAAACTGTTTAGAGCATCAAGAAAAGTGCAAGACGAATGATACATGATTAGTACATTGTAGATGAGGGCGTTCATAGCCCGAGGACAGCGCAGAAAAATGCAGAGTTGTGAGCGGTCCAAGCGCTGGAGATGAGTTCGTCAATGCCGGTAGGAATACACGTGCAGGTATGAGCCCGAAAGCGCCGTTACTACGGGGGACATGAACAAGACTAAGCAGAGCGCCTCCCTGTTTGTTAGTTTCGTGAAGTTTTCAAATTCAACATGACTAGAGTTCTCTTGACGCTGCTCTGTCGAGCACAAATTGAGCTTGTGAGTGTTCTAACTCAGTGTAACTAACGAGGAGAATCAAAACTCGAAATCGCTAATCATCTGTTTCGAGAACCGCTTGGTAGAATGATGATGGCATCTGTGAACGAGTGCGATCTTTCTATCTTCTCTGGATACTGTTGGCTATCTACGAGCGAGACACTTGAACTTGTTACTGTATCTGTTCATAGAGAGACAAGCAAGATTGACGAATGAAAATATAGACTAGCATCAGCAGTTACAGGCAGAGGCTATCACCGAGAGAGAGACTCTCGAGAGACCACTCTAGTACTTCTGTTCACTGTAAAAATCAAAATCAATGAGTGGAAGAGAGAGCATTTTGTTCTGTAATTTTCACGATTTTCAACTCCGTTTCCTTTTCCAACGATGAACAGTCTGGATGAAACCTCCTCCACCCAAGGTTTCTATGAACCAGATATCAGATAGTCCAATACAACACCCCTTTCTTATAACATTAGTCCAATATTACAGCACCCCTTACTTATAACATAATCTAAAAATTGTTGTACACTGTCACTGTCTTCTTCTCTCATGTCTCTTAGAACTACAACTCGTACTCACAAGAATGTCAGATGCATGTAGTTGTAGTCACAAGTAAATAATACTGTCATGATCTTTACAGAAACAGACATGCACATATTTAGAATCGTCCCCTACAAAATTCGCATTTGGTGATGTCGATTTTTCTATTTTTGCATAGGACCTGAATTTTTTTAAGAGCATTTTCTCACCTTTTAACTTTAAATACATAGCTTGGCGGAGGCTGTTAGTTTGATGATGTACATACTCGATGAAAAGAAAAGTAACAGCTAAAAGCATCCTCGTGCTAAGCAATTGTTGGATATCTTCACTTTTTTTTATGATTGATGATATGGCGTATTACTATTAGTACTGTAACAAGTTGTCTAGTATGAAGTCCCAGAAAGTCCCAGTAGACCCAGGGAACGTTTGATTCTCGTGGATTCTCTTTCCCGAAGCGGTACGCATCTATTGGCTTAGGGGTAGCAGGGAATTAATTAGGAATTTTGTAAAAGCGCACTACTTACAAATAGTATACGACCCCTCAACAACAGTTGCGATCTCTCAGTAGTTCACACCATGATCATTTTTTCAACGTAATGATGTGGTTGAAACTCTTTGACCTTGAACATCACAGACAGACGATTCGGGCTTGTCCCAGTTTAATGTGCTGAAGTGTGTAGGCTGTGCAGGCCTCTCTTAATTTCTTGACTTCCTATGATTTTTTAAGTAAGGAGAAGCAAGCTCCTGCAAGATACTAACGTTAATCTACTTACTTGCTCTTGCTCTTCTTTTCAGAAGGTACAAAAAGGCTGAACGACCTCAAAGCTACTTGGCCATGTAGTAACAGAGGTAACATGACATGACATGACAATTCGTAGGTCAATTATATAGAGATCTGAAATTATCACAATGATGAGCATATCGTCACAAGGAAAAGATCTGGGAACACAACAAGACCATGGGAGGTCATCTGCGGAGCACGGCTCGTCTGCGATGTCGTTTCCGGAGGGAGCAACAACATCTAGAGTGGCAGGTGGATTAGGCATGCAACCTTACGGAACGATTCAGGAGACGAATGGAGGTCCTTCTGGAGGAGGACCTTCTTCCAGTTGGAACAACATGCACCAGTACGACGTGTACACGGGATACAGTGCTAGCAACGCTCTGTCTCAGATGAACTTCCAGTCACACAACCAAGTGCCAGATGGCCGCAGCAGTGCTGCCGGAGGCCGACCCATGGTTGGAAGAGAAGCCGGCATACTTTGTAAAGAAGCGATGAGCAATATCTTCCGGAAGTGTCAGCACTTGTATACAAGGAATATTTCTGGACGAAGCATTATGTGGCGAGGACCTAGGTACAGGCACAAAGGCCCTGGTGTGGAAACTACGAGTGGAAATTCTAGCGGTAAGGGAGGTGGTCGCGTCGATGGAAATGGAATCAACAATAGTGGGAGAAGTGGAGGTACGGATATAGAGTATCTAGACGAGAACGAGAATTTTTGGTTTCCGCAGCGACGTGGGGAGCAACATTTCTTTCTCCCGGTATTACTGGAGGATATGACCCCAACGCTCCTCCAAGGAATATCATTGTTCCTAGTAGGCTTCGCGATCTTGCTTGCAGTTTTAGCTCCAGAGGCAGGGAAAAACGCGGCTAGGGCTGGTTCGGCCATAGAAGGTACAAAATCGACAGGCCCGATATTGCCGTTTGTGTGCATATTCATAGGGACGTTTTTGTCTGGGGTACTGTTGTTGCGCTTGTTCATCGTCGTGAGGCGGAATAGCTCCTGGCCTTTCACATGGCGCTACCTCCTGATTGGGCTGTTCGTGTGCAACTGCGTGGCGCCTTTGGTGCAGCACGCAGTCATAACAGCGATTGCGAAAGGGCTTACGAGGATGACGGAGGACAACTCAATGTCAGCTTCGACCGTGAGTGTCGCGGAGATGCAAAGAGACCAGGTGTTTTTCGCTTCATCAAATGCTGATGCGGCTTTACGAATAGACAACGTGGCTCGTGTCCATGACAGTATAACCGGCACGTCGATGACGTTCTCCAGCATCGTTCCTTCATCCAGCAGTCATCTGATTTCTCTGACGCCTTTCTACCACACAGACGAAAGCAATAACCTGAGTCGCGATTTGTCTGCGGGATTGGCCGCCCTTGCGGTGGCGCCGCCGCCACTTGTCGGCGTGCTCGCACTTTGGTATTTGAGGACGTCGCGGACAACTTATCTAGCCTCAGAAATAGCAGCTCCGCTGTTGCTGGCTAGTAACCTCATCGCATGCTTCACGGCGCCGGCGATGTTTGAGTCGTTCCTGGATCGGGTGTATGATCTGGACACCATAGATTTGGACGAGGTAGCGGAAGAAAGTAGTTCTTCGGCGCAGACAAGGATCACTCCAGGTAGTTCTTCCGCCACTTCAGGGCCAACAATAGTAGTTCACCAATCGTCATCTTCGAAGCCGGCTTTTCTGAATTCGTTCACAGACCAAGTACATTTCTCGACTCCTTGGGCGACATATAACCTGGTCTACTGTTTCATTCTCCCTGTGCTGCTCGTTATGCTCCTCTATTATGTGATCAAACCGATTTTGGACTTTCTGAGGAGAACCCTTGGTCGAGATGCAGCTGCGGCAGGCACAAAGAATAATGCGAAGTACAGGGCCGAGCAGCAACAACGCCAGAGCGGAGCTAGTAACATGAACTACAATAGTTATCACAATCACATGAACAACAGCAACAGACCAACCAGAGACTTCGCTGGATCTTCCTCAGAGAATGAAGGTAACCAGCATAACACGAATCGAGTTGTCCTAGACATCCACACTGATGGGGAACATAATTCCGTCCCGCCTACTGAAGAGGAGACTGTGAGGATGAAACAAGGCAAGAATGAAGAGGATCGTGCTCGTTTCTACTGGGACGCAACGAATGGTGAAAAAATGAGAAGAGCTTCAGAAGACACTAATACAACGTTTTCAACTGGAGACTACCCATCTTCCATTGCTGGCACTCAAGGATCTTCTTCGCATCGTAGTCTTGGAGATATGATGAGTACTACAATAAATTCTGGCACGTCTCAAGGAGAAATGCCATTTCTGCCTCATCGTCCCATGAACGACAACAGTAGTAGTAGCATTGGCGCCACTGGTGCTAATCCGACTGTGTTGAGGACTGATACTAGAAATGGAGCACCAGAACAGCAGACGGCTGAACGAGGAGGAGTTTCATCAACAAGAACGGACTCAGACAATGCACCTCCAGTGTGGAACAACCATAGTGCAGGGAACAAGACTACGGGGATGAATGATTGTGCTGGTACAACTGCATCACCTGTCATGAATACTCGCCCACCAGAGACGAGGACAAGCAAGATTTTGCTAGAGCGACAGGACAGCTTGAAAATGAAGGAGCTGGTGAAACTTGCTCTTCCACCACCCAAACTCGAAAGCCTCCTACATAAGCGAAAAATGAAAGCCTTCGTACTCATCACTTCGCTTTTGTTGGCTCTCACCGTGTGGTCGCTAGCATCGCTTGGGCGAGATAGTAGTTCGAAATTAGGTCGCGCCGGTAGTGGCAAAGGGGGTGTAATATTTGCACAGTTGCTTTTAGCCGTGGTTTGTGGAATAATGCTGCAATTATTGCTTTGGGCAGTGAATTACGTCGCTCTTTCTGTTCTCATGCCTTTGCTGCGAAAGATAGAGTTCATGCTTGGAGGTAGCGATAAACTACTGATGGAGCAGCTACAGTACGAAGACGAATGTGAACGCAAAGAGCGAGAAAAACGAGTAGCGGCAATGAATAAGGGAGGTGATCATGGAGGTTTTAGTGACTACTACAACTCAGGCTCAGCATCAGGCTTTAGCCCTTCTTCTTCTGTGGGAGCTGCAGGTAGTGGAGGCGGCGCACTAGCTGCAGCATCTGCATCGTCGTATTACGACTACGTGGCCCAATACAAGGACTTCAAGCCATTAGGTGGCAATGCTGTTGAGAATGTTGCGCTGTTGCGGTCTGATATATTGCGGTCTGAAAGTGGGAGGACTGGGATTGATGCGGGGAAAGGCACGACGACTAGAGGGTCGACTGTGACTCACACGAGACGAGAGGCGCACAGAAAACTGATGACGAGCACAGAAACTGAGGATAGTGCAGCTTCGAACGAAAACAAACAGTCGGTAGGTGGACCTCCAAGGGCTTCTTCTTCGAGCGCCATGATGCACCAGAATAGAGAAGCTGCCATCCTCTCAAGTTTGAATGACCAAGTTGCGTTTCAGCCCAGACCGATTTCGCCTTGCCCACCAAGTCCTAGCATCCTGTATCTGGATGGCCGTGCTCTACCCGGACAGGGAACAACTAGTGTCCGTACTACAAAAATGGTCCACCGAGGCGGCCCTCAGGCTCCGGATGGAGGTCTTGGGCAAGGCCGTATGATCCGAGCCGATAGTTTAGTGGACACAAGTCTTACTTTACGAGAATCCAGTATAGATCGCCGGCGCAGCGGCACTTCAGTGCAACATGGGACAAAGATGATAGTCACTGGTAGTGATGGTAATAGACGACATAGTACTAACAATTGGCAGAAGAACGTCAAACCGTTGAATAGTACTTCCAGGACGAACGAGAACTCTCCTCCCGTGAATCGAGACGATGAGAGTGGAAAAAATAGTGCGACATTGAGTAAGAGCAGGTCGTCTTCTACCCCACCCGCCGCTCATCTCTACCTTTCTGCTGGTGCAGCCGGGGATGATTCATTCGGAACTACTACCATCTCACAGTCACACTACAGGGAAGGAGGTCATCGAAGAGAGCCGCCTATCACGACTGGCAGGCCAACAAATGCTCCCATGCCAACGACCACCAAACTCGACCTTCCAGACCAGGGTGGCACTATAATGACAGTAACTTCGTCGACTAGTGATAGTTCTAGTAGTACAACTTATCCGTCTACTGGAGTCGCAGGAGCTTTTGGCTCATCTGGTACGTCATTTGATAACAAGAGCTATGGAGAAGACAAGTCGAGTAGTACTTCCGAGAAGAGCAGTGCTGGTGTTTTCCTGAATCCTAGGCCACCGAATTCTGCATTCGATGCGCCTTCTTGTGCACCATCACAGTGCAGTGTGGGTGGTGGTACCCGTGGAGTACTAGTAAACAGCGGAAATGGGAGGTTCTTCAACGGAAACCAACAAGACAACAACCCTAACAAGAACAACTCGTATTCTCAGCATGATCACAGTAACAATAAAGATAGACAAAACTGCAACTCGAACTCCAACATGTCCAACAGGAGTTCTACTCTGCAGCCTGCACGACCTTTAGGCGGATACGACACTGGTTCTCACAGGAGTTCTACTCTGCAGTCTGCACGACCTTTAGGCGGAGGTGAGAGTTTTCTGGCCAGTGCTTTCAGTGTCGAAGTGCAACAGCCAAGGACTATTAGGGAGGATAGTTTGATGTGCAGCCACGAGCAGTTCTTCTTGGATCGAGAACAATTTGTCCGCGTGTCGGAAGACGTAATCCAGCGACCCAGAAAAGCTCGTGAGGATCATGCTTGGAGAGCACTGTTCCTCCTAGCTTCGGAACGCAGTCTCTTCACAGCATTAGCGCTTCTTCTCAGCATTAGCAGGAAACCAGTTTGTTTTTTGTTGAGCACTATTGCGGGAGGGGGGAACTCTGGATCTGGTAATAGCTCTGTTTCTGATGGAAGTGGGTCGGCGAATATCAAAACGATCGATGATTTCTTCACCAGCGAACAAAAAGGAGAGTATAACATATCGACGGTGGTGGTTTTTGGTTGTCTTATTGCAACGTTGGTGCAGATGGCGATGAACGCGGAGCTAGTGCGCAGATGGGAAGCGCAACGTGTATAGTTGTAGTTTTGACCTGTTGGCCACTAAAGAAAAGGCTGAGAAGATCGTGAGTATATTCTTACTTATTTTGTCATCCTAATCCCTGTGGCCTCACTAGACTAATGCCTCTCAAAAGGATACGTTTTATCGCAAGTAGTGTGCTTTGTACAGAGGTTCTAAAGAGCACTATCCTTCTGAATGTGGTACGTGCAATTACAAAGTAACCTATGTATCCATATAGCTTGATAGAACAAGATGATGATCAATATGTGAAAACGACTAGCTTTTGTACAGTTCGTTTCCCTTTTTGTAAGTACCGTAGAATGATGATATCAGTAAAACCTCAAGTTTGGTACTAAGAATCGACAGTTTCGGAATACTGAACAGGGCACCCCACCATGGCCATGATATTAGTAGGAAGCGTCTTCTCATAGATGCACAAAGGTCATTATTGATACTCAGTGTTTATGTGTTCCAACTATTGACGTTACCAGGTCTTTGAGTGGCATTGGCTCTAGCATGTAGGTAGCATTATAATGTCGCCAAACTTTTCCGACTTTTTCCTTTTGGGAGCCGAGTCATATCGATGCAAATCGACAGAATGAAAATTACTTGAAAATAATGACGAAACCCAGTTTTTTAGTCGACTTCCTCGTAGTTGGACATAATCTGTTAGATTGCTAGAGAACTATTCTATAGCCCAATAGATAGTGAACTTCGTCGTTCTTGGACAGAATATTCTAGAAGTCTAGCATTACTATTCTTCCCCTATTATCATGAATGATTAAAGAAAAGTAAAAAACTGAAAAAAAATATCGTCGATGAGATGTTCTACCAAAACTGATTTGTAAAGCAGATACCAGGCTGAAGCGAGAAGCCCTTGAATCTTGAATCTTGAATCCCCAATGAAGACACGAGGTGCGTCAATGCTTTTTCTTCATCGAAGATTTACGAAAGGGAAGTCGTAACCTTTTTTTTACGAATGAAAGAGCTTTCAATATCTGGCATGAGATGAACATCAACAACATTCTTGTTGAACTTGAAACTCTAGGGTCTTGCAGAAGTTGCTGCTCTAGCGAGTGCCCTTCGCGTGTATGCCCTTGCCTGCCCAGACGTTCTGGAGCCATGGCCCCCGCAAAATCGCATGCCAGAAAACTCTTAAGAAACCTTTAAGAGAGCACTTCTAGGATCTATCATGTGGACAAAGAACATGAACTTGAACATAGAGAAGAATAGAACTACTCTGAACACGGCAATGCGCATTCCCTATACTGCGCTACTCCTTCAGCGGTCCCAGGAGAGCGATGTGGATCACGGATCATGTAAATCTGAAGTTTAACCGTGGAAGGTTAACCGTTGAAGATGTGTGTTTTAGCAGACCTCTAGTGCATTCGGTGCACAGCTGCTTTCCATTAGCGTCCCTTGGTGTTGGATTCCTTTTTGACATCTCCTTTTCTTCCATTCCACAAGCATAGAGCACGAGCATTCCAGCCTTTCACAAGCATTCCTTTTCTTCCACTCCAGGGTATGAAAGGCGTAGACAGTCCTTTTCGATTGCCTACTTCTTCTGCGAAAAATTTTATTCGGAAACAAAACTCGATTAAAACTTTTTCACTCTCTCGTGAATGAAGAAAATTGTTATGAGATTCTATCTCGCCGTAAAGGAACAAATTTGTTCTGGACAATACTGATACTGTATGGTGACATCGAACGAAAGAAGAGGACAAGTAGTGACGAGTTTTTAGTACCAAAAAATATTCGCATCTATTCGAAAACTCAAAATAACCGAGTTACTGAGTGAAATAGGAAAGTCGTGACAACATTCCTCTTCTTTCAGTATCTCCCTTATATTCAGTAGTTACTCGCTTATTTCAGTTTATCGAATATGTATTACAAACGTATCTACTCCGAAAATGTTATCCTCGTCAACTACATGGTCTTCATCTTCTGCTGCTCCATGCGTGAAGAAGAGCAGGAGGAGGATGAATTTTGTGGGTTCGATCTCTGCTTTCCAGGTGTTGGTTTCCGCAGCTCGAGTCGAAGGCTCAGCGGCGGTTGCTGACTCTCCTCCTCACGCGGATCTTCAATTCGATGTCGACAGCAGAGATTGCATTGCCGAAGTAGTCGACCTCGAAAGAGAACTGCATCAAGTAGATCTTGAGGCCGGAATTGCACGACCTGGTATATCGGGCGTATCAGCGACACCTCCTCCTCCACGACCACAACGGGATAGACGTAGAGGCAGAGCACCTCCATTGCTCCCTATTGATGAGGCGGAGCGGGAGATTATTGCGTCGCCACGCTGGGGGCCACATCGTGGACAACCTACCACTTGGATTACACGACCAGGAGCATCATCTTCTTCACGAGGTGGAACCGGTAGATCTACTTCGGGTTTAGATACTGATGTTCTACCACGTTAAGGTCAACATTTAGTGTCCATCTTTCTCGGCATCTTGGTATCCTTTTCCCTTGTATTCTCATGAAATACAAGGTACAAGGGGTCAAGATGAGGGGGCCGAGATGCAATCTAGCAGACTCTAACCACGAATCACTCACAGGGAGCGGAATGATGGCGCTTCAGGAGCAGGGCCACGAGCTAGTACCTACGGACGTAAGTTCATGCAAGAGGAAGAACAGGAACAGGATCGAGATGCGTTAATACGGCAAGACGCAAATAGAAGTAGCACGGTTGTACCAGGTAATCAAGAAGTGCAAGTGCAACGAGCTGCAATTAGACGAGCAGCAGGACTCCGAGGACATACTATCCGAGGAGCCCAAGAGGTAGAGCCACCGGTTGTTCAGTTTCAACCAGTGATTGAGCGTCCGTTTGAGAGTTGCACACTCTGCTTATGCAGCAAAGAGGATTGCGAGGAAGAGGGCCAGAGTACGGAGCCAACTCGCGCTAGTCCCTTGTATGCGTGTGGACATGCGGGGCTTTGTCCGGAGTGTGTCAAGGATGAAAGCGCGTGGCTGGTGAAACCGATGCGGCGATGTCCCACATGTCGTGCGCCACCGACGTTACTGTGGTCTTTGATACAAAAGTCGGATCAAAAAGTTGACCTTAATAGCTACGGAAGTGACGACCTGAAAGACCACGAAATTAGACTTAGACACCAGGAAGAGCAACAGCAGTCAAGAACAATTGGTCCACCCCGACAAGAACCTCCTCGCACTGCAATTGGTGCAGAAGGAGTTGTACTAGAACGTAATACTAGTAGAGGTTCTGGACATGATGAGCCCTCATCCTCAACGTCAAGAAGCAGGGGAGGAGGATTCTTGCAAAGGACCAGCACACTAGGTCCTAGCACGGGAGGATATCGGACAGAAATTAGCCCGGAAAGTGACAGCGGTACAACTTTCTAGAACAGATGATGACTCAATAATTCCACAGTCTACATATTCGACATGTTCGTGAATATGTATTTTCCTAGTGCTGGGTTAGCTCGTGGTCCCACCAAGTGTGGCGGCTCGGCGGCGGCACCCTATCCTATCCTATCCTATCCTATCCTATCCTATCCTATCCTATCCTAGCTCTTAGTCTCTTGATTACTCGCCGTCTAGTCCACACACATTATTATCTCACCTTTTTTGTTATTTACTCCTTCTTCTGCTATTGTCAATTTTTTTAGTATACCTTTTCTCTGAACCACATATTTATTACACAAGACTTAATTTTAACATCCATACTAACCCACACCTTCAATTCACAAACAAACCATTTGGGAAATACACAAAAAACGACCTCCAGCCGCAAAGCAGCCTCTCTTCCTGTGAGCAGGATCTTTTTTCATCTCGCGTGAAATGTTTTTTTCAACTATCTAAGGTTAACAAGCCTATTTGATACACATGATTTGCATCGACCACAGTAACAATTTAAGACCTACTCTCTCACTAGGTTCGCCACCGGATTTAGAACGTGGAGACGAAGCAGCAATAGTGCACGACAACCAGCGACCACATACCGCAACTGCTAATATGATTGTTGCTCTTGATGATGTTGTCGAGAATGATGATCTCCACGCAGAATATCAGCTTCCCGCAGAAGAAGATCTTCAACAGAGTGAGGCACAAGGACCCCCAAAAAAGCAAGAGGATCTCGCAGTACTCCAGCTTGCGAGAGATTTGGCACGAAAGCTGTGCCTTAAAATGGATCCTCAAGCTGCACAAGAGGCTACAGGAACGCCACAGGGAGCAACGCCACAGGGAGCAACGCCACAGGGAGCAACGCCACAGGGAGCAACGCCACAGGGAGCAACGCCACAGGGACAGGCTCAGCGTCGACCTCAGCGTATTTTTCCAGTACTGGCACACCGTGGTTGGCGGTTACAATTACATCACCAGCAGGCGGCTACATTAGGGCATCCACAAATATCCATCACTTCTAGAAGAGCTTGATCTTGGTAGATCTTGATCTCGGTCCTCCCGTTTATTTCTGCAGGAATAGTAAACGGTGACCACGTCGTCCGTTTATATTGAAGGGAAATATACGGGGATCAAGGTAGATGCTCGTGGTCTTGAAGATGGTGGTTTTCTGCGGTGCCTCTTCTAACTGCAGCGCCTGCCGACCCAAGTGGAAGTCGCATTGGTGAGGCGTTACTCAGTGGGAACAATATTGATATGCCGGACCGTTTTTTGTGGGCCATCTATGCTGCGTCCTTTTTACGACCAGAGTGCCGCTGCCCAGAGCACCACTCAACTGTTTTCAAAGAACAAGTTCAGCGAGACGCGGAACAAGGCGAAGAAATAGTAGATATATTGCCAAACGAAGAACCCAGGGGTTCTATATTTTTCCCCCGTCCTCGAAATCGTCGAGAGAGCGCTAGTTCAGGAGGCGAACACTTGGGCAACAAATCTTCCCCCAACATGTTCTGCGTGGTTGACGCATTGACCTATGAGCTAGCTGGTCTCAATCTATGTGCGGCTGAGGCTATGGTAGCAGCTGGCAAGCCTACAGCTGTTCTAGGAAGGCGTAGTGCGGTAAAGCAGGTGTCTCCCAATGTAGGCATCTTGTGGAACTCCGAAAATTTTGGGGGTTACGTCATTGACGCAGAGAAACGACGAATCCGAAAGTTCTGCGGTATTTCTTCAAAGGCAGAAAGAATAGGAGGTTGCTGTGGTAGAAGTCGTGGAAAAGAGCATGAACAGGAACGTCGAGAAGGTGTGGTGGGTGATCGACAAGAGGTTGAAATGGATGGAGGTGGACAGGAGGATAGAAGAAGCGATATTATAGCCGGCACTTCTTCTTCTAGAAGTGCACCTGCTTCTAGGTGTACTAAAATAAGGACAATTTTTCTAGAGACAGTTGGTAGCTCCTCTTGTTGTGAGCCTTTCTGCTATTGTGGTAGGAACACGCGTTACGACGAAAGATATGTGGATTCGCTACGATTAAGGGGCTCCACATTGCATCCTGCACTACCCTTCTTGACTTGTTTCCCAATAGGAAAGGGGTCAAGGATGTTCTGAAGAATGCAATAGCGCGACCACTAATACGAGCGCAACTGAAAGAACTGGCTGAGGAACTTATTGCGGGACCTGCAGAAGAGATCGCGGATGGAGATGATGATGCACAGCGTGATGATGTTCAAGTTCAACCTGATGAACTTCAACATGGAAAAGAACTTCAGCAAAACTGTACAGGTCAGAAAAGTTGTACTACACCAGAAGCTACGGAAGTTACAAATATTCATGATCACCAAGGACAACATCATAGTACTTGTACTAGTACGAGCAGTCATCAAAGAGAACAAACAAGCCACCAGAAGACAACGAGTTTGGCGGGTTTGCTTCATTTATCACCATTTGTAGTTGATGTTGAGCGAGAGCAGGGACTTGCATTCGACGCAGACGGGTCCTCTACAAAGATTGCCTCTGTACTCGAGGAGCTCCTGGTCGCATCGGAGTGCATGGAGAAAATCGATACTTGCCGAATCGCGATGCTACTTTAAGCTTTAAAGAATTCCTGCCAGAAACATACTTAGAAGTACTATAGGCTTTAAAGCATTTACATCAACAAAGGAAAGTAGTACGCCCTATTTGACATCACTGCTCGAGAAGAAACGTGTAGTCTTTCAAAAAAGCAAATATGAATGAGAATTGGTTCAACCTTTAATTGTCTTTTTGTGGGAGTGGTCTGCTTGGAGGTGGTCTCATTGCGATAGACCACTTCTTCATGGTGGAGGACATGAACGTGCCCAAAAGCGTTTTTTTTGCGACGTGTATTCCAGGACTCATCGCCACAACCAAATTGCTGTGTTATGAAGAGCTTCTTTTTGTTTTTTGTCTTGATAGTTAGTTTCCAGTTGCATGTGAAAAAACTATAACTAAGCAATCTACAACATACCGATACCAGGGTGAACGCTAGATTGAATTTACTTTTTACGAAGTTGGTAGGTTCGCGAACCTCTAAACTACCCTTTGCGAGCCGCAGAAGATGCTGTCCCGGTCATACCGACGCTGTCGCACGCTTTGGTGTCGCGCACGAGGCCACCATCACCATCATCACGAGAAAGGGAGGCATGCCGGGGGAAACAATACGGGGAGCAACAATGAAGAAGCTCTATCGGTGCAAAAACGCTTGCTCCATAAGATTTTCTGCCCTGATGAGTAAGCAATTATTACTTAAGAGTAAAAACACGTTGAACAAGAACTTTGGTCGGAAATGACAGTATGACAGCGTACTATCAGATGTCGATTGCCATGGATTAGTAGTTGTAATCATCTCTACTACACGTGTGGAATGCACTACTAGGTGGAAATCCGAATAGACTGTCTAGTTACAACTACGAATACTAGAACGAAAAATACTAGAAGACAAATACTGACTTTGAAAAGTCCTAGGAGGTTCACTTCATGATACTAGAAAACAAATCAGGACACATAGAGATATTAGAAGTCAAATAAATAAGCCTGATACTATCAGCTCCTCCTGTATTAATACAACGAGGGCTACATATTGACTTGTGATAGCGTCCTCGTTGCACTAGCCGTCGATGAAAATGGTGAGACCTACGGGGCTAAAAACAGGACGACGATAGCGCCGGCGCTTTGTTAGTTTATTTAGCCGAAAAGAATATACGTGCTAGAAGATAGCCGATTCTTTTTTCTATGTTTCTCTGGTCTTTGTTTTTTCGACTTAGTTAGGTCTGCTCCACCACAATTTTATTTATAATTATAAGTCAATGTCAATATAGAACCCTGCTTGTTCACGATGTATCTCATTCTGTGACTCCTCAAAAAATGGGCGTTTTTTCTCATATCGACATGGTTGACACCGTGTTTGGACCAGTGCTGGCCCGAGGCCATCAAACCGGGACAACTAGGACAACTTAAATCCATCCAACATAATTATAAGTAAACATACGCTGAAGATGTTTTCATACTGGTTGTATGCTGGCGGTTGTACTTAACCGTCGGAGTGCTTCCCAGTCTTCCTTTGGTTTGTCGCACATACGAGGGGAACCACCAATTTGAGGCAGATCTCTCTTTCAGAGTTCTCTACCTCATATTGCTTGACCATTCTTGCTCTCGTTGGTTTACAAGTTTCTACTCTTTTGTGGGATCTTGTCACATCGGTTCATCCTGCGTGTAGCTGCTACATGCCTATTACGGATTCACTTGTGATAGCGTCCTCGTTGTATTGACCGTCGACCTTTCACCCTACATCAGCACGCTTGAGTAAGGGGTTGGGCAAGAGTGAGTCGGTGTTCTTCCAACGTTGAACCTTCTTATTAACCGTCGAGGAAAATTACAAAAACCGACAATGGACTAAGTAGTCAAGAAATGACAAAAGCAGTTGTTAAGGACAGTTTGCCTAAATGTATGAATTTCACTACCCGTAAAAACCGTAGAACGAATTATTGAAATCTTTTTGCGTATTCGAGATGAAAATTGCCGCGTTGGTATGTAAAATACAAATATCGCAAAGACATGTTCTGATGTTGTTTTTGTAAGTTCCACCTAGCCTCTACCTGCATATACTGAACTCGTCACGACGCATGGCCTCATGTAGCGCTGTCCTGGATCTGTATCTGAAGCTGGCCTCATGTACGTCTGTTCTTTGGTAGAGTCTGATTCACACCTACAAGACGGGTCTGTACAAGACGGGTTTGAAATTCCTGCAGATGAAAGAAGCATTCACTTTTCTACGAGTTGTGGAGAGAGATGGAGGATGATGGAGTCATGACGCAGTACCATAATGGGTCGAGCCTGGGATTTGAGGGAGTAGCGTTGTGACAAAGGTTAGCTGATGCAGCGTGGACGTGAGAGCTTGAGGTCGAGTGTATTCAATGTTCCACCCTGTAACGAATCTCGTGACGTCGGTGCACCTGGCATCCCTGACGTGATCGAGGCCATTGGACTTAACCTTAACAACTTAACGAATCCCGAATAAAAGTCTAGAAAAATTTGGATGCTCTCCATCAAAGGAGATAGCAATTATGTCCCGGTTTCCTCTTGCCTTTGGCTTGCTGGTTTGTAACCAGTTGGGATCAGTCGCCTCTGCTGGAGAGTCCTTGTTTCCGTTAAAGCAGAGAGTTCAGGCGGGAATTGAGGACTACATCAACAAGAATGCTGTTCTTGATGCGAAAAGTGGAGAACAAGAGCAATTACTTCAAAATGCTGCTCTGACGTCGAAACGACTTTCTGCTGAGTTGCTCCGACCCTTCATGGCCTTGAAGGAGTATCGCAAGAAGAACAATGATCTTGTTTCCGGAAGTAGAACGACAGCTTCTACATTGTTCAAAAGAGGAGCATCAGCATCTAGTACAACAACTCCTCTTCCAGGAGCAGCAGTCCAAGAACTTCTACAACAAGGTTCCAAAAACTGTGACTTCGAATGCGCAGCAGCAGGTATCGTCGGCTATTTTGCTTGTGCGGGTGGCTGTGTTGCGGCACTGAAGCCGGGAGCTGCGATTGGCTGTATCACTTTGGCTTGTCCCCCGATCGTAGCAGCAGCGACGGAAACATGCTTGAAAGTGAACCCGGAGTGTCAGCCGAAAGATGGAGGTAACACTAGTTGTGCTACAACTAGAGCTTGCATTTGTTTTACATTTTTCTTTTTGTTTCTGCCCACCGAATTTGCTTCAAGGAATTTCAATGCTGTCTGTAATGATAGCTGTAGTATGCAAGGAATTTCAATGCTGTCTAATGATAGCTGTAGTATGCAGAGGTATCTTCATTCAAGCGATACAAACACTGCTTACATGTACAACTTGAGGACGATTTCTCATGGCATCACATCTCCAGGTTTGCAAAGTTTTTCATGGCAGTCACTGCAAGGGACGCAAGTTGCGGACTTGATTCACGGTGTAAAATCTGGACGACATCAAGCGTCTCTGCAGCGCCTTTTCGGCGAACTAGAGGTCGAGGATTTGATGGAGAAGTCTGCCCAAGCTGTGCTCGATTCCCATCCGGAAGTTCAGGACCAGGGAGTAGAGCTCATACTCAATGACATTTATGTGTGATCAGTCGTTTTGATGGGAACTACATAGGAAACGATCACATTTTGTAGGACAAGACTTTAGGACAAGACTTGTGGAGAAAGCGACACGACGTCATAGACAAAAAAAATTCAACTGCGAAAAAATTGAACAAAATATGCAACCTTGATGGTAGTGTGTCGCAGTCGCTATATTTGGTATTCTGAAGACAAGACTAGAAAGAAACCTCTGTAGTAGCCGCAGGACGAAGGACAAAGAAGGATGATCTAGAATAAAATCACATATTACATACAACACATGGTCCATAATTTTTCCGTGTGCACGGTAAAGCTAACACCAGTCACGTCAATGAAGGTGCTTCACAAGTGTCGAATCGTAATAGAGAGATGTTCGCCGTAGTTGTGCCGGAGGGGGAGGTAGTTCTTGAGTTGTGAACAGTGAGGTTGCTCATGAACTGTGCTTCTCGTTGACAATGCCTCAAGTAACACCAGTTATGCATACAGGAAACTTATCAAACAATCTGTCCACTTCAGGCAATAAATAATTTCTCTAGGGACCACCTGCACAAACTAGGAATCTTTTACCTTCTACCTTGTTGAGTCTTTAAATTTTTGTGTCGCATCAACCAACATCAAAAAAACAATGTCTCTGTTTTGCAACCGTTTCTTGCTTCTTTCGTTTCTCCCCTCTGTGGTAGAAGCTGCACTACTTAGTAGAGTGGAACGACTGCAATCCAGATCGACGTATGCCTCATCCACCGATTACCCGACACCTACAGGGAATGAGAGCGCTTATGATATGGGAATATTCGTAGTTACCGGACTCACTTTAGAGCATAAGATAGTCTCACTTTGTGCCATTTCCGAGGGAAATGGCTGCCATGGATCTAGACCCACAATGGGTTGTTGATAGACCGCGTGACACCGTTGAAGATGGGACCATAGACGGAAACTGCTTGGAAGTAAGCGGGTTTCGCTCGCCGTTATGGTTATGTCTAGATAGGCTTCGCCTAGCGACACCATTAGGATTGACTTATGTCTGCGCATTGGTCATGGAAGTCTTTGAGAGCGTTGCGGAGGATATCCGATCCTACGCCAGACGTGGTCTGCAGTTGGATGTAGCAGCCGCGCCTTGCGGGTGCGAATCTGTTGGAATGTCAGAAGACAGGACCTTGCTGTCGCAGCGAGTATAGCAAGGACGCTTGCTCTGGTGCGTGATGGAAGGTCGTAACTGGGGTGGCAGTACAGGGAGCCTTACGGACTTGTCTGTCTGCTGACTGGCCAGGCCTTGGGTGCTCTTCGAGCACTAGCCTCATGTGGGTTAGGTGTCTAGCGTTAGCACAATGACACAGTATCATCCTTCCTTCGGTTGGATCTTGGTATAGTTTGCATGATGTGATGCTTTTCAGGTGTTGCATTATGTGACCGGACAGCACATTCACGAGGTGGGTGCTGACGCGGTGCTGCGAAGGAGGGGCAGCACCGACCTGGCCCGAGGTGTCCAACGGGTGCGTCCATCCGCTGCGCGGGTGGGCGGATGGAGGATCTGCGATCTCTCCTTGACTATCTTGACTTCAATGCACTACATAACGAGATCATGGCATTCGCCTGGTGTAAGTAGACTGTGCAGGAACTGGTGACAAGTCAGATGCTTCTGGTGATGGAGCTGCAAGGCAACTCACGTTGTTGCAGTGACTCTCACGCGGGAGGAGCGTTCTAGGAAAGCAGCGACGTTCAATGTGAAAGATAGTGAGACTATCTTATCTTGTTCTGAGTATGGTAAAGGCGTGACTTCTACTAGTTGGGGGCTGTTCCGGGGTCCGATTTCCCGAAGAAAAACACACTTGACATGATCACAATCGAGTAGAAGAACAGTTCCTAGTCAAGTCTAAACTTGAAACACAAAGGGAGTTAGCGTGAGCTTTCATATGGCTTTGATCCTGCAAGGGATCGAAGACCTGAACTAAGGAAGGAATGAAAACGCGCTCTGCAAGTCGTTCCGACTGAATGAACAGCAAGAATGAAAATGGAAATATAAGGGCGAAGATCTCTCCTTCGGAAAGAGTGCAGGACTGTAAAATTTAAATTGACGATCAACGGCGTGTGAGGATAGGTGACGGCTTCAGCAGCGTGTCCGTGAGAAAGCGAGTTTCAATTTTGGCACTTCGTGCTACTGCTTGAACTGAAGATGGATCTTTCTGCGTAAGAGACGATGAATGTTTGCGCAAGGCTGTGAACAAGTTAGGAAATTGCGTTTCTACATTTTTCCGAGCTTTCAGCTTCAGCATACCCGTGATTACTGGATATCAAGTAAGGACGAGTCAACAAGTCTTATCATCTTCCAATCTTTATCAACCCCAGGGAGAGGCTGACTACGGAAAAGTCCTTATTCTAAGGCAACCACGAACGATCTCCGATCGTGCTAATCAAGTTTGTAAAAATCTTTGTTGAGATATCATCTCTTCAAACTACAAGATGGGTGGAAAATCCGGACAATACGGTGACGGCAAACCCAGCCGGTCTTCCTCGAAGACGGTTCGCAAAGCCGACGACCACAAGGATAATGCCCAATGGCATGCCCGCAACTACAGTCAAGGGAAGGGAGACGGGTCGTCGTATAAGGAGAGACGACAAGACCGTGAGAGCCAGCGAAGCGAGTCTCACGGAAAGAACAGGAGCGCGTCGAGCTCCTACAACGAGCCGCATCGTGGCCGAGACCGCGGCTACAACCAGTCGTATCGCTCCGGCAGCGGTTCGAACTACCCGACATCCGGAGGCACTACGTACCCGCCAGATGAGCGAGCAGCGCTCTTGGCGCAACCCGGAGCGATGGGAGATGACGGTAGCGGCCCTGATCCATATATCCATGGATATTCGCGAGATCAGTGGAAACGCTGGAACCGTGAAAAGGCGGACAAGTGTAAAGCCGTCACTGCAGCGGCGCATCCACAGGGTCCACCGACTCTGGAAGCACCACCTCCGGCTGTTGCTCCCGCAGCGGCGGATGTGATGATGCTCGATGAGCAAACGAAGGTCACTGCGGCGGTGGAGATGGAAGGTATTTCCCCGAAGTACGTACCTCAAACGATGGAGCAGAATGTGGAGGATAATACCGCATGTCAGCGGGGATGGAAGAACTCGCGTTCTGCGGAGGAAATGGTCCAGGATGATGATTTCTTCCTGAGTCCGGCCAGAGACGAAGAACGCGCGAAGGTGGCGACTCGACCAGAAAATCTCAAAGTCGTCTATGTGGACAATACCGTCCTCAAAAACATCTTCAATCAGGAGTTGCAAGTTTCGCTGCATCCACATTTCGCGCAGAAGACCTGGCGCCGTGCCAGTGCAACGAAGATTCGCGAAAGTTTCGTGAAAGGTGAGCTGCTAGTCTTCTTCGAAGAAGGTCGGCTGACTGAGGAAGAATTCAAGAAGTTACCGCTCACGCCGGCGCTACCAGGAGTGGATCCGGATGATCATGATTCCACGCCGCAAATGCTTAATCAACTTTTCCAAGTTGGTTATTGCAAAACCGTACTTCAAGTTGGATTTTAGAATGATAGTCAATACAAGTTTTACAAGCTCTGCTCCGTAGAGTTTCTGGCGTAATGATAATTGGAATCGAAACAGCACAAGACGCGAAAATGTAACATTTAAATTAGAAGTACAAAACTTTCTTCCGGAAAAAAGAACTACCATGACCTATTGATCCTAAGGAGTCATGTTTTCACTGAACCTTACAGGCGGCGCTTGGCAAGAACCTAGCGACCTACTTGGCGGGCGACAGTTTGACTGATACTCTGTTGGGTCAATTCTTGGCCCTGGGACCGGGTAAGCCGCAATTTCAAGTAACGGCTCCGAGCGCAGTGAGCACGTTAGTGGAGCACAGGTCCAATGAGTCCCTCACGGACCTGCTGTGGCAGTGCTACAATGCGGGAGCTAAAGCGGATCTCCTTTTTGCGCTAGCCATGAGCGAGCTGGGGATGCGGTTCCCTGGACTGGTTTCACTCGACCAGATCTACGATGTGGCGTATTCGGACTCTACGATCCGTGAGCAGATTTACGGCGGATCATACAAGCAGGTGACTACGTACTACCAGAAGACTTGTGAAGTGCGGGAACTGCGTAAGGTTCAAGGGTCGAAGAACCCTATGGCAGCACTAACCAAGGCAGATAAGAAGGCGCTACACCGGTTGCAGGGATTGAAAGGCGAAAATCGCGCCGCGATTTTACAGTCGTTGCTCGATGAAGACGAGCTAAGTCTGGCACTACCAGTGCAGCGCCAGCACCAGATGAAAGCCGAGGCTTCGAATAAATCAACACCGGGTGCTTCCAGCTCCGGAACCCAAATGAATTCGGCAACCACGACGGACCTCCACTACGGTGCCTATGGCAACGGAGGCCCAGACGACGCGCTTGGTTTTGCCAGGTGTAGTCTCCGCTACGTCGAAAGCCACTCCGACCTTCGGTCCGCACCCAGCAAGCTTCGCAGGAGGTTTTGCGCGCTTTGTTTTAGATCATCCAAGTACTAATCCTGATAACAATTTTGGACCTACATCTTCTGCAGTAAAACGTTGTTCATCACCTGAACCAGTTGAACGGACTTCGTCTGCATCTGTGGATACTCTTTGCAATAGTCGATTACCATTTTTCTCACCAATTTCGCAATCGGTTTCCAGCTGAGAAACCATACTCACATCGCCGAAGTCACGCAAATCCATCCAGCTTTCAGTTGCTGAGGAGGACGAGAAGCAGGCGGCTGAAGAAAACAAGGATACTGTTGCGGCTGCGTCATCCGACGATCAGTCGGTGGTGTTGGTGGACCATGTGGATCTGGACGTTCGACCTCAGGAGGAAGAAGGGGACATTGTGTTGTCTGGACGCGAATCACCAATGAGTCGCTCAGCGCCGCAAGTTCAAAACGTTTTCACCGAGGATGTGCGACGCTTATCCGATTCTGCGCTTACAGCGCAGACTCGTCTCATGGAGCTCAGCCAAGAGTTGGCACGGCGTAAACTACAAACCACGAGCTCAAGTTCAACGGTGCGCGCAACTGCTCCCGCAGCTAGCTCCTCTCCAAGCGTTCCGGCAGCCGCTACCAGTTCTACGAATTTGAGTGGAAGCTAAAGGGTGTGCACCTTCGTGGTGATGTCAGACAGGACGAGAAGACTTATTGTTTTAGGCACTGCATTCGGCAGGCTCATAACAACGCTTGAGAAGGGCACAGATGGCAGTTTATCGCTGAGTCTTTGCAACCCTGTCTGAGAACGAGCTTCCCCATCCCATGCCTAATCCTTGTTACGTTAGCAGTTTTTTCTAGACCGTGAAATGAAGCAAGGAGGAGAAGGGAAGAAACACATAGGGCCAGTCAAGGTTCTGCGCCGATGGTGCGACATTGAAGCTGAAGTTGAAAGAGTGTAGTGTTCAACCAAGAATGAACTATCATCGATGGACTCATGTTAATCGGTATGCTGTTGCTTCGCCAGCGTGGTGTTTTATGGACAGCACAGTAGCGAGGCGGGTGCTGACACTTCATCGCGATGGTGGGGCGATGTTGAACACCGAGCAAGAAAGTAGAGCAGGCCGCTGGTTGTTCCCTTGTCGTAGGGCTTCCGGAAATGTTTGCCATGGTTGTAAAGCTTGGCGCTGCCTCTTGTAGGTTGCTGAGTTTATGCATCTAGGGTGTTATACTGGATTTCTGGATGATGCCTTGTTGTAGGTCTTCCCGGCGGTTCTGTTCGGTTCTAGCTGGTGCGAGTACAAAGAGAGTAGGTTTAGGATTTTTTCTTTTGTCTTTGTGGACACAACGAAGAGCGAAAGAGAGGAGGTTAGAACGGTAGATGGTTTTTTTCGTCATTTAGGGCAATAGGCCGAGGCCAGCGAATGGAGAGCTGCGATCCTCGTTGATCATGATCGTTTCTTTTTACGGTAGGACTAGTTGTGATTTCTCCATCTAGGGCCCTAGGCCAATGCGGTGCTTCAGTTTTTTCGACTGGACGACAAATAGTACATGTTACATCTGCTTACTCTTTGCGGTTTCTGTTTCAGCCCAAAATACACCACCCTAGGAGAGAGAGGCTAGAAAGCGATAGCGGGTGGTTCCCACAACTACAGGATGACTACTCTGACTGCTCCTCCTCGTGCGACCGCTGTATGCGGTTACGGTTTATCGACCTTCTTGGTCGCCTCTGCCTTCCTATCGGGGTTGGTAAGCGTAAGCAACATGTCGCGGACACCCGTGCCGGTTTCATCGCCACCACCACCACCGCCACCTCCTGGAGCTCACCATCACCCTGGAGACAAGTGCGACGACTGGGATTCGGATTACGGCTGGTTTGCGTTAGCCCGGTCCGGTTTCCTCGACGCGGTTCCCGTGGCACTGAGTTACCTCAGTTTGCTACTCGCTCTTGCAGTGATGACCTATGAGATGTACAGTCACTACCAAGGCATCACCGAGAGGGACCCTTCGGCTCCAGTCCCGGTTTCGGTTTCGGGTCAGGATTCCAAAAGAGCGCCTTTCTTGGCTTCTTCCTTTTTAGGCTCTGGCTCCTTTGACAAAGCGCTCCAGCCGTGGGAGCAGAGTACATTCTGTGAATCTGCTGCGAACGAAGGTACTAGCAGGTTGCGCAAGACAGTAGAAGACAGTTTAGACCTTGCGGGTTTTAGAGTTGTTCGTTGTTGTCCAGTGGTAGATACAGTGACGCGCTCCAGTGGTATAGGACTTTGTATGGAAAAGATGGGGGCGAATTTTCCCACGAACACATTTGAGAGATATACGGTAGCACTTGACATTCACACTTACCTTGATAGCGTCAAGTTTGAGGGTGTAAAGAGTGTATTAGCTAGACCGGTTGCAGGGAGGTTGTATGAAGCGGCGCTAATGACAGTTGACAACTCCAAGTCCCAAGACGGGGGCGTGCTTTCTAAAATGCACGCCTCAGCGGTGAGGTTGGAGACAAAGTCTATTGAAGATTCTCTGGCATCCAGGCAGGCATTGGATCGATTGCGGCTGGAACACCTTCAGTCGCCGACTCATGGCTGGCAAGCAGTCGCGAATGGGGCGCACAAATCCGGCGATAACGTCGCGGATTCTGTGGTGGAGTCAGTTGAGGCAGAAGCGCGGAGGTATCCGAATTTATCTCGGGATTTCCTCTGTGCTGCCTGCTTGATGGTATTTCGGGAGCAATTCACCAAACAATGCGGCCTTCGGCCTATTGTGGTGCAGGAAGAGTTGGAAGCTCAGCTCTATCGGTTGCAGCCGTCTGGGACTACGGGAGTGGAAGTAGGAGTATATTGCCAGAAGTTTCGAAATAAGTTCCAAGAGCTAATGAGCGAGCGAGCCACGCAGCACTCTGGTCAAGTTTTCACGACGAAAGACAGAGTGGGAACATCGCAAGAACTAAAGCGGTTTGTAAGAGGTCTACTCCGATCTCTCCCGTTTGATTATACCGATTCATTCGAGGAGAGTCTCATCAACCAGGGAGGTGTGGAGAATGCCACCATCGATATGGTGGTCGAATATTGTGTAGCTCGGGCTGACGTCAAGGCTACATACTATGAGTCACGGCACTATGACTATAATATCAATCGACATGCGAGGAAGCCTCTCCAGCAAATGCAGATAAGCTCTGAGGAGAGTCCTCCGGACAATCCTATGAATGCTGCAGGGTTTTACCCGAAAGAGGATCGTAGTGCGCAATTTATCACTTGTGATCCGGTGGAGGAGTACACCGATAAGGGAGGCAAGAAATGGTTTTTATGTGGTGATCCGAATCACATGAGAGGGATGCACTATGCCTGTGTGGCCCACGTAGATTGGTCAAAGGAACCCCGGGTGTGCAGCTTTCCCGCATGTAATGGTCGTCGACATCCTGTCGATCGTTCTGGTCAACTCTGCTGCCCAAACTTATTAGCAAGGCAAGCAGGCCGGGTCTTAAGACGAGGACCAAAGACGCGAGTAGTGTATTGTGATGTCCTTGTGGATGAGAAAGGAAGGCCGCATCACCCTAGTTTTTCGAAGCCGCAGTTTCAAGCAGGGCTCGCCGCCGAGCTAGCCGAGGTAAAAGCAAGTGGCACAAATCCTTTGTGTAAATTTGTTTCGCCTACGGAAGCACAACAATTTCACCCGCCGCCGTGGGTAAAGTCGAAGAAGCTCAATCCAAATCGTGGAGTACAAAAGCCAAATGACAAGATGCGAAAGGGCACCGGGAAAGGCGCGAAAGGGACCGGCAAGGGCAAAGGTTCCGGAAAAGGTGGGCGATTGAATTCTATGAGCAATGATTCAGGGGAAGACTTGTCTCTGCAAAATGAGCATGAGACTGGTCCCTCGATCGATACTTCGCTCTGGAATGATGTCCAATTAACGGCAACAGTAGGGAATCGAATGGAAGTACAGGAACCATCTTGGGCTGGCGACTCGGCGAGGGATTTTGTGTGGATATGGAGCCAACTATTTGTTAGTTTGTGGATGGTGTGTAAAGTATTGGAGCAGGGGGTTTGCTATCTGAGAGGCACGCCAACGGCGTTGCCTCGACTGATATCAAGGGCCCAGTTACGCTTCCAGCGTGACCACGGTATTGTTTCAATGATGAATTCAGCGTGGGAGGCAACAAAGCAAGAAGCCAAGCGACCACGCCGAACGCCAGTGTATATCGCTGGGTTTCTCGGCCGGGACATGCCAGTACCCCTATACTTGGATCCGGGGGCGTGGTTGGGCTACGACGTGATTGACAAGTCAAGCTACGAGAGGCTGCGTGGTAAGAGAGAGCTCGAAGCGGTGGTCTCACCACCATTTAGCTGCAAGCCGGTGGAAATCTCTTTTGGAAGAAAAAAGTTTTCGCATACCGCAAATCGGGAGTGTGTGTTATGTTTTAAGATTGCTACGCGATCTGGAAAATATCTGGACCTTAAGAGAAAGTTTCTGATTGTGGACGGATTGAACACCCCTGGATGTATCATTGCAGGCGATACAGCGGTGTACGATTTGGGAATTAATTACAACCCACTTAGCAAAGGGAATAAATGGGTTGAGCTCCTTGGAGAAGAGGTTCCCATTGTAGAGTTCAATACTTCCACCAACAAACCGATTATCAATGCGATGACGCGCCTGGCGTACGTAGCGGCTTTCGCCTCCATTACAGCAACACTTCGCTGTCCGCCGATTAATCATCCGAATACGATGGCCGTAGTGCAGCCAAGTTTGAAAGCTGCAAGAGATGGAATTTCGTTCCTTCCGGTTTTAATCGAAGCCTCTGATACTGAAGAAACCGAGCACGTGGTGGAAATTTTTAATCATAGACCGAAGGCGCGGAGTGTTGCGCTAACGCGAGAGCATGTCAAAATCCAGCCGTTGGAACCAGTAACAAAAGAGACCCTGGTGAGTAACAGTATGGCTGTAGCTCAAACCCCTGGAGGTTCTACGCCACAGCCAGGGGGCGAGGGTGTTATACATAGGGATATTCAACACCCTCAATCGCAGGACAACCCAGTTTCTCCGAAAATTTCTTCAAAAATTCAAAATAACCGCTGGGATCCGTTCAGCGGGTGGAAATCGTGTATGACCTTTGCGGCCCTGATCACCGATCTGGGTCTGTGGGATATCGTGGGCAAGCATGGGCTGCTCGCTGGGGGCGAGCCCTCCTTGATGAAAGTGAATAGCACGGACTATGATCCTGGCATGGCAACGCTGGGCAGCCGAGTATGCGCAGATGTGTGGCGTCTCGGGGGAACCTTTGCGGACGAGTCCTCTGAAATTTCGGATTGGGACCGCGAAGTGCATAACTTTGTGGATCCACCGGTGGACCTCCCTAATGTAAGATGGGAATGGTACAAGTGGATGAAAAGTCAGCAGCGAGAAGCTGGCACAAGGGAGTTTCGAGGGACGGCAGCCGCTGCCGCGACGAATAAAACGCATGTCTTCTCCGAAGAACTTCCTGAAGCAAGGGATACTGCCCACATGGGAGCCCTGTTCCAGGAGTGGGAGAGCGTGTGTCAGATCCAGGGTATAGTGAATATGGCAAAGTATAAGAATAAGTCCAAGCCGAAGAATTTCGAGGACCTTGAGAAGGAAGTTGACGACCGAACGGCAAAACGGGCGAGGAATCAAAAGTGGCAGGTGCCAAGCGAAGAATGGACCGCGAATGTGATGAAAGTGTTTTCGGCACAGTTACAGGGTTACGGCCATCTCTCGCAGGAACAGAGGGATAAGCTTCTGACGGTGATTCGGGAAAATGCGCACTATTTCTACGATGAAGGATGTCCCTTCCCTAGTCTGAAGACTGTGTGCCATTTCGACTACAATCCGAATCGAGTGACCCATCGAAGCCTGCCGCAGCCGTTGCAGTTGAGTGCGTATGGGAAGCGGTGTCTGGATTTCCTGTTTCAAACGCAGCTGGATGACGGCTTGTTTGAAAAGTGGGATGGGACTGACAGCACGCGACCAATTTTCTGCAGTCCTGCTTTTTTGGCCCCACGGAAGAACTCGGCTATCGGCCGGATCGTGGTGGACTATCGTAAGTGTAACGAAGCGCTAACTCCGATAGCGCTTCCGGCACCGAATCAGGAGAAGATTTTCCATAATCTGAAAGGGAAAAAGCTATATTTCGGATCGGATTTGTCGCTGGCATATAACCTAGCAAAGCTAGACAAGCAAACGCAGCGACTTTTGGCGGTTGTGACGCATGCTGGGGTATATTTGCCCACACGTCTGACGTTAGGACCGAGTCCGGCCCCGGGTTGGTTTCAGGCTCAGACTGAGGCTGCGTTCGGACACTTAAGCGAAGTGTTCATCGATGATATCGGGTTCGGTGAGGATGGCTTAGACGTGTTCATCCATCGGATGATTGGCGTCTTTGAAGCCTGTGAATCCAGTGGAGCACGATTGTCGTTAACCAAGACGTTCATTGGTGCCGACAAAATCGAAGTTCTAGGTCATATTGTCGATGAACAGGGAATGCACCCGAGTCCGGCGAAATTGTTTCAGATTGAAAGCTGGCCGCTACCGACGAACCGGGAGGACTTGGTCTCGTTTGTGCATGTCGTGCGCTATCTGCAGTGTTATACCAGCGAGTTGCAGAATGTGGCTGCGCCACTAAAGGATTATGAGCTAAAGAAGCGGCCGTTCGCCGAGTTTCACTCGGACGAAGCGGCAATCGCAGCCTTTGAGGCGTTAAAGAAAGTCGTCTCAAGGAATGCGGTGTTGATCAAACCCGACTATGACGCGGCGAATACTTGGCGAAGACCGTTTGAAGTATTCACCGATGCAAGTCAGCATCGGTTTGCTTGGGCAATCTGTCAACGAACGGCAACGGGACAACTTCGAGTATGGAAATGTTCGACCCATTCGTTTGATAAAACGCAAAAGCAATGGTCAACACTGGAGCGCGAGCTTTATGCTATAGTGGACTTTGTTAAGCATGGGTATAACCTCGTGAAGGGAAGCAAATGGGTGATGTACACGGATCATCAGAATTTAGGAACGAAAGAGTTAAACAACCTTTGTGCGAACAAGACCACCGGCGGGAAGCTGCTAAGGTGGTTTTATCTGATTGCCCGCCCTTTGTCCACCGGAAAAAGGGTATATCTAAAGGGCGAGGCAAATGTGGTAGCGGATGCCCTTTCCCGTCTGAAGGATGGGGATGACGTGAGTGAGGACCTGCAAGAGTTAGATGACCTAGCTGTCATGCTTCCTCGTATCCGATCACTGGTGCAGTTCATCTTCTGTAATCCCGAGCAGTTGGATGAAATGATGGCTGAACGCAAAAGAGTCCTTGCGGTGGATAACTTCCTACCGCCAATTCACCCCAGTGAATTGATGGACGATCCCCACGATCACTTGCCGTGTGCATTGGCATCGGACCGGGCCATTGGCGGTGATGTTGGGGCCAGTGAACTGCAGGTAGGAAAGAAAGTGGAAGCGTTGAACCAACTCAATAGTGCGGGACCTTTAGGAGGTGTTACTTTGGATGAAAGTATGTTCGATAGTTGTGAGTTTCGTCAGGATGGAGGCGCGTTTCACGTGTTTCGATCCAGTGAAGGCGAAGAGTTGACCTGTAACCCCTGTAATGCGGGGCTGCTGTCTGCTTCAGAGGAGGAGGACGCGCCGAATCTGATAGCAGATGTAGGCATGGAGGGGGAAGAGGTTAAGCGTCGAGTATATGCCGTGGTGATTACGCACCTGGGCCGTGTGTTGGCCGCTGATGTAGATGAGTATGGCATTGGAGGGCAGTTCAATCTTCGATTGCCTGGCGGGCCAGTAAGCGACGGTGAGAGTGTAATATCAGCCATGCAGCGGTATTTGACGCAGCAAGTACATAACGGGTCTGCGTTAGCGGCGCAACTCCCTACGTGTCCAAGTTTGAGTGACGCGGGGATCCATTGGGTTTTGCTGCGAGTAACTTCAATTGATGATCTCAAGTGGAAAGAGGGGCTACTCACCGCGGATAATCATCCGCGGCTCCTGTCTTGGGAGAGGTTCCTGGAGTACCTTGGGGGGCCGTCGCGAGCCAATAAACGGCTTCGAATTTGCATGAAGCACATGAGGTCACAGCTTCGGCCTGCTGCTGTGACAGAACGATATCGAGGGATTTTCCTCCCGCGACGGTTGTATCGTCGCCATGAGCCGCGGCAGGACAATATTGTGGTGCATGGTACTATTGATGGACGCCCTGTGGATAGGGAGTTCTTTCGAATCTCGGGCAATGCCACCTTTACCCATGCGTATGATACGTCCTGGAAAAGGTTGAAGGAGCTTTTCGCAGAAGCAGAAACGCTGGCTGCGAGACGAGCGGGAGAGATCCAGGGGAATGAGGCGAGTAAAGGGCACCACGAGTTTTTTCACGTGTTTAAGAAACCGGAGAGGTCGGCCATTACTCAGAATGTCTCACAAGATTTGTTTACGGTTTCCGCTTCGTGGGATCCTCAGTCTTGTTTTTTGGATGATCCTCCCTGTGAGAATTATACCGAAGTTCGGCGATGCTATGTTGGGAGAGTGCCAGCAATACTTTGCAGATGTCAATGCGGGCAGGGGACGCACTCAGGCGAATCTCCTGACTTGACAGAGTTTGTCCCGGCGACAGATCTCGCGACCCTTACGGCCGAGATGCGAACGAAGTTTCTGGCCAACCCAGATGGCGTTAAGGGATTTCGTGTGTTGTTCCCTACGCTGCCAGTGGTGGAGCAGAATTATACCATTGCCCGACGAGACAATGTAAGTGAAGATGGGAGTGTGGATGTGCGAGCAGGTGAAGGACAGGTCGCGCGGGTAGCGCTATGGATGGCGGGAAAAGCCACGTCCTTACAGGCGGGGCCTCCTTCGGCCTTCCCGGCGTTACTAAGTGAGGATGGTCATACCTTCACTGTGAAGGCAGGGTGGTCGTTAAGAGTTTGGAAGTTTGTGTTTTGTGGTGAGGATTCGGTAATTCCCGCACTGGTATCTCTGCAGGGTGCTGGTATTCGCAGTAGCCTGTACAGGGATCAGGTGGAATGCCGCGAGTACGGACCTATTTACTATGCGTGTCTTGCGCGTAATAAGGGACGGGACTTAGTACAGATAGAGCTAGATGTAGCTCGAAAATACAAGGAGCTTGCTATCGGTCGAGCCGCAACATCGCGGATGCCGGAGCATTGGATCGACGGCGACACGAGACTCTTAATGACTCGTTTTCGAGACCATCCTGTTGTTTGTATACCTTTAGGGGGGAAGCAACCAGCTGCGGTGGGAGGGAAAACGGTTCCCTGGAGAAAATATTATTTAATCCTCGCGCATAACTCTTTGTTGGGAACCGGTCATGGCGGGCCGACCCTGACTTATAATCATTTACTTGATCGGAGCGCGTTTTGGCCGACGATGTGGAGAGATGTCCAAAATCATTGCAAGTCGTGCATTTCGTGCACCATTGCTGAGGCAACAAACACACGAAATAAGGCCCCACTAGGCCACGAGACGCATTTGGGATTCTTTCGAATCTTGAACGTTGATCATGTGGGCCCGTTCAAAGTGGACCGGGGCTATAGGTATTTGCTCTCGGTAAGGGATCACGCCACGCTGTTCAGCTGGTTTATCCCGGTGAAGTCGAAGTTCACGCGAGAGGCTGCGGAAGCTCTGGTGGCGAATGTATTTTGTTTAACTGGTTACCCAGTGATTGTTCGATCAGATCGAGGATTCGGCGAACAGGGCGACAAGAGTTCAGGCAAATGGCTCCAGGTGTACGGGGTGCACCATGCTCCAGTGATGCCTTATTCCCCGCAGGCGAATTGGTTGGTTGAAGTGTTGCACAAACCATTAAGGAAGTTGCTTATGAAATTTGCGGAGAATTCAAAATGGATTGAGCTTGTTCCTTACTTGAATTGGATTGCGCGCACAACGCCTTACGAGGTGTTGAATGGAAGATCTGCGTATGAGGTGGTCTTTGGCTGTAAACCGCGACACGCGTTTTCGGAAACCCTCCGGACTGCGTTCGGCGGGAACGCTGGGGCCGACCTTTACTTGCAAGAGGCGAACAAATTTCGTCAGAATATAAATGAAGAAACTGAACGCTTTAGAAACGAGAGGAGTAACATTCGATCGATAGCACAGACGACACTGCAGGGGCAGCATCTGTGGACTCCTTTGGTTGTAGGAGACTTAGCGGTAGTGAAGAACAATAAAGCAAGGAAGGAGTCGCTCGATCCAAAGAACTATCCAGCGTTGTTCAAAGTAAAAAAGGTCAGTGCGCGCTATATTATTCTTACCGATCTGCATAATCAGGACGCGACCGGTGCGGCGGCGGGAAAACTCCCTACGCATCTGGTTACGCGAGCAGTTCCGTCTTCTCACGTTTCCCAGTTCTTGGGACAGCTTGACTATATTCCGTCGACTGCGGATATGTTGGGCAAAACGAGGGAAGACTTCATGACGGAGGACAATAATCAGAAGGATGAGATCTAGGGACGATGGAAGTTCCGTTCTGAGGCCTTGGAATCTTCGGACCAAGGCCGTGCTTCTTCTGTTCTTGTCTGGGTGGGCTTACGCGCATCAAGATAAACACTTGCTAGCATTATTTAACGAAGGACTTTGCTGCTATGGCCAAACTCTGCGGGCTGGTTATATGTGGGTGAAGTGAGTCCGATCGATTCGGGAAGAGGCCGACTGTCTCTTGGCCTGTTCTAGCTCAGCAACAACAAAGTCTATCAACCTAGTCAGGTTGGGGCACAGTGGTTTGCGAATCAGGGAACGCTGGATGGCTGGTGGTGTAGAGGACTGACCCCCCTTTACCCCGGCATGCAGTGACTCGAGATTATATGTTGTGAGCCGGATTCACATAAGACGTCGTCCTGGGGGCGTCTATGGGAATATTCGTAGTTACCGGACTCACTTTAGAGCATAAGATAGTCTCACTTTGTGCCATTTCGAAGGGAAATGGCTGCCATGGATCTAGACCCACAGTGGGTTGTTGATAGACCGCGCGACACCGTTGAAGATGGGACCATAGATGGAAACGGCTTGGAAGTAAGCGGGTTTCGCTCGCCGCTATGGTTATGTCTAGATAGGCTTCGCCTAGCGACACCATTAGGATTGACTTATGTCTGCGCATTGGTCATGGAAGTCTTTGAGAGCGTTGCGGAGGATATCCGATCCTACGCCAGACGTGGCCTGCAGTTGGATGTAGCAGCCGCGCCTTGCGGGTGCGAATCTGTTGGAATGTCAGAAGACAGGGCCTTGCTGTCGCAGCGAGTATAGCAAGGACGCTTGCTCTGGTGCGTGATGGAAGGCAGTATCTGGGGTGGCAGTACAGGGAGCCTTACGGACTTGTCTGTCTGTTGACTGGCCAGGCTTCGAGTGCTCTTCGAGCACTAGCCTCATGTGGGTTAGGTGTCTAGCGTTAGCACAATGACA